ATACCAGGTCAGGTACCTACACATGGCTATGGAGAGATACTGGAGATCTTTCAGCTGGATCAACCCTTACACGATGGGAAGCAACGCTTATGGTTTGCGCGCATGCAATGGTTCAAGCCATACCATGGGAACCAAAGGACAATTTGGGATGACTTGTACGTCGTCCTGTTTGACCTACTAACCATCGTTCACACTAACATCATGAAGTTCTGCCTTAGATGTCTGATTATGGGAGCTCGGGGAATACCAAATGCAAGAATCACACCTCCCTTCGCTTGTGGAATTCGACTGGATTGGTAACTTACTGGCATTAACTGTTGTTTCACTCGGAGAGGATCAGCGCAAGGTGTGGGCAACAGTAGACCTTGCAAAGGTGCGTAGCATTATTGTTTACTGATACCCAGCTCACTACTCAATCAATACTCAGTAACTGGAGTCTAGACGTTCATGTATTACAAGGATGGATGGTAAATTAAACATGATGTTTGTTAATTTTGTAACAGAGCATCACAAATCCTACAACATGCATTGCTCAGAATGCGAACAGCAAAGCGAAGTTTCAATACTTGTTTTCATCATCCGATGACCCATTTTCATTAGATGTCTTGAGCCATTCATCCAATTCTTTGAGGTAGGTGGCATCCGCCTCAAAAAGCTCTTCTTGGTTGACACGAGAATAGAAGCCTTTTAGCCAGCTGATGCCCTCGTGCACCACCATTCCCGGGTGTTCATCTAACCACCTCTCATCTACCATCGCCCTGAAGACCATGGCCTTTGCCAGTGGCATGTTGTGACTCAAATGCTTTGGGGTGACGTCAAAGACCCATTTGTGCACCTTCTTCGTGGTTTTGCAACATTTACACTGTGGTTCCTGATTCATATTGCTAGTATTCGCATTCAGGTCCTCAGTTACATCTTGCCGCTGCTTCGTGGCACACATGCTGAGATAGCGCAGAAATGCAACATACTAATATGGCCAGATTTGTGAGTCACCTTTGCTGCTCAGATATGAATTTAACTTACATCGACTGAGCACCAAGCCTGACCTACAACCCGGTTTGCAGATTGCCCAACCTCTGCATCCTTCCTTCGCTGGAGCGTGTCGTCACTAACCTCGTTGTCATTGCAGCTGATAATATCAGATCCGAGGTTGGTAAGGATGAGGGCTTCTGCACCCTGATGTCCAGTTTCCACTTCATACTGTGACGCTGCCTTGCATCTAGCTGTTGCAACCTACCAGTATGTCAGGCACACTCGGGCGCAATATCTGTGAGAGTTCAAGTACCGTAACATGCCGAGCTCGCTGATGATTCTGTCCCAGCCTCTCCTTAGTCCTGCATGCACCTTGATCACTCATTTCCTCTTTTACCCTTTTGTGGATCGTGTGGAAGTATGTTTTCGCGCAATCTTTCATTATTTGGAGGTTGAAAGACTTGTTGGGTATGGTTTTTAATTGGAGCTGTTCCCTCTGGCTCTATTGCATGTCAGGTGAGCACTTGCAATTCTCATATTATTCACGTGCTACTAGATGATACCTTTTCATTATTAAAGACACGCTCGGCGACTTCTTTAATGAACATGTCATTCAGTTTGTCGTCTACATTGCCAAGCCAGTTGGGGCGCCAAAGACATGTGCTGTCACTCGTCGATATGAAAGGTTTGTCGTTCTCGAGTGGTTTGATAGCAGCAAGGGCTGCGACACGGTTTCTTTTCGTCCCTTCACACTCAATTCCACACATGTGAGAGAAGAGTGGCTGGATAATAGACTGGTGCCTGGTGAGTGCACACTCCGATACTGAATGATAGCGTAACATACCTTGAGAACAGAATGGTCATTTGAGTTTGTTCTCGATGAAGTATGCTTCTGTTGATCCACACATTTCTCCTGCAGTTCTCTAAGCATTTGCTTGACAGTTTCAAGGCGCAAAACGAGAGATTCAGTTGCCTTCCTGATGCTGGTAAGCTGTTCTTCCATGCTGGTGTTGGCCTCGCTGAGGTGTTTGACATGAGCTGTGAGCTGTGCAACTGTAGCATGCAAGCTAAGCTGGTCTCCTTGGTAAGATCCAGTTCGAGAGTGGGATGCTGAATATAAAGTCTGATAGTCTTCCATTGGCATCTCACTATGTCCTCTGCCATTCAACTGACTATGGGAAGGTCTTCCAGCATACGAGAAGGACATTTTGTCACAACTGTTGACACCCCCATGGTAAGGAGTGAAGCCAAGATGTTGGCTTGGTTGGTTTCCTTGGTGTGGATAGGATACCTCGTCCTGCGATCCCTGCGAATCGACGGCACCAGTTGGCTCCATCATATCAAAGGAGAACTCAGGTGACAAGAGCTTGGCAGATAGGGTGAGTTGATCGACTGACAACAACGATTAGTAGTGACTGACCGATGGTCCACCGTGGTCTCTTTGCTGAGCAGGGCCAGGGCCAAATGGATCATCTAGGCCTGGCACAGAAGGGAGGCGAGTGCCCTGCAGGGTGTTTGAGGGCGCCATGTTCATCTGTGGTACGTGATGTCCACGTGCAATGCTATTAATATTCTGGCTCAACAACTGGGATCCAGGTATTGCTCCACCACTTGGAAGTCTTTGGCGTTGAAGGTGCAAGGAGCTGGAGGGCATCATGTGTGTCTGGGTCTGTGGTACGTGACGACCGTGATGAGTTCCCTCCTGGCTCATCAACTGGGACCCAGGCATCAGCAGTGGGGTGCCACCTGTGAGCCTCTGCGAATGCATCATATCCTGCTGTTCACCAAGGAGGGGAGCAAGCAAACGTGGGCGATTTTTTTGCATGGCTGGGGGCGCTGGGTAGGCATTTTGGAAGCATGCGTTGTACTAGGCACTCATCGAATATAATCTGATCTGGTTATCCTGAAAAACACGACTGAAGGCAGGAGGATCAATTGCATTTATACGATTTAACTCGGTGTACATAGCTCATAGTCACATTCAAATCTGATCTGATTATTGTCGCGAAGGTAAAAATCATCATGGTGATAGGCATGCAAATCCAACCAGATTATGCTCCGAAACGAGAACACTTCGGCACTATATTCAGACATATTATTAGGAGTAGCTACCCTCGGGATATACAACGGTTATTGTCATTGACCCGACTATCTCCGGACCTGATTAAAAACCCGTTTCCGCAGTGATTGTGCCTCGTGTGCTCGAGCTCGCTACGTACTGAGGCAGGGGACTGCGATTACCTCGGCCGGACCAGTTGAATGTTTGACGTTATTCGATTCTGACACAAGGCTTTCCACATTGAATGGTTGGACTGGGACTGCGCTTCTTCTGAGCGTTGAATGGATGATGGCGTGGCAAGACTAATCTTATAGCTTCACTCGTCTTCATTTTCTGAGCAAAGAGGGCCGTCTGGATGAGCATAGTTGTTGCTAGGGGATGGACCAGACCCGATTTCCATTGTACTGCTGTCACGATGTGAGAAGGTAGATGTGCACCACACCGAACAGTAGACGTACTAGGAATGAGAGTAAGACTTCAGATACCTGCGAGATGGTGATTCTTTCTCCAGGGAGCTCGTTGGTTGTTTCAGTGTCGGGTGGAGAATCGTTCAACACTGAAACAGGTGGTGGTCGGTGAACTAACGAGCGCTGCGCGAAGCACAGACGGTCTCATTAAGAGGATAAAAAGCGGTGGAAAACTTAATGGGGTGCGATTTTGGTGAAAGGGATAACGTCGTCGGCCTTTAGATGGTTGGGTGAGTGAAGGGAGTCGTATGGCGCCTGCATATTACTACTATTCCCAAGTGCCTTGGAAAGGCCGACGAGCGTAGTGAAAATCTCAGATCTATTGGATCACCAGTTAATCCGTCAGAGTCTACGACATTAGAACATCAACCTATTCATATTCGACGCCTCGGGTAACAAAAGCATACGTCTACCTGCAGGGCCCGCAAGTTCCCGATGAATTTATCTGAGCCTGGAGCCCAGGCCTAGAGGAAGACGGACTCCCGCGGGCAGTTCTGCAGGTCCTTTTTAAACGGAATGTTTTCCGACTAGTCAGCCAAAGCATACTCCCTACCCCTTACCAGTCTTCAAGCCTGCCTTCCACGGAAACAGGAGCATGACTTGCAAATGATACTATTGGAGTCCTGGCCGCAACTTCTGCGCGGGGTAACGGTCGGATGTTATCTCTGTTAAAGGAGCGTAACGAAGACCAAATACTTACAGTAAAGTCAAACTCCAGTCCAAGGTCTTAGAAGGTGGATTCGATCGTCCACATACCCCTTGAAGAAATTGCGGTCACCGGTTGACATCATTGTTGTGGTTTTGTATAGTCTCGCGAGTTGGCGTGGAGGCTCGCCGACGTAGTAATGCGGGCCTGTTGTTTTTCCCTCAGCCTTCTGAAAGGCACCTCCAAGTCCAAACCAGCAAAGAATGGCAGTGGTAGGTTGTGGGTGTTGACAAGCTTCTCAATAGCGTGTCCTGCTGTGCCTGCATCCCCTAGTCACGGGATCACTACTGGCCTTATACCTTGATATTCCTTGATTTTCCGTTAACCTTGCTTAGGTTCACCATTGTAATGGCTTTATATGAACATTGTAAAGCCATATTCATGTATACTGCTGGACTTGATCTGTAGTACATACTCGGAATTGAGTGTTTGTCTCCAACTGCTGCCGAACAAGTTCGCTGAATTGAAATATACTGCAATGTCTAGCTGAATCCTATTGTTTATCGTCATCCCGACGGACAATCATAGACAGGCTTGAACGTTGAACCTTGAAGAGTGTACACCACGCTCGGATGCACATCCCCTCTTTTCGAATGCATATCGGTTGGCTCCGATCGGTAATGAGGCTCGGTTGCCACTCCACATCTGCAAAACTGCCCGAGGGAATGAGCAGGTTATACCTGCCTCCGTTTGGAAGTGACTTGTCGTAAGACTCGCTAAGACACTTGTTGGCCAATGAGAGGGCTCGCTCAAGTGCGAAAGAGCTGTTAACAGCCGCGTCGCGTAGCTGTTTCCCAGATGCACTCTCTTGGCAGAATTACTGAGTAGCGCCAGAGCCACCTGTCACACTTTCCACTGCACAGTGCACACATGTCTTCTGGTTGCTCAAAGACACGAACGAATTAATTTCCCTCACTAAAGTACAGCTGCTATGTCTTCGCGCACGGATACGTTTGGCAGAAACGGCGAAGACTTGTTGCTGGCATCTTCGACATGCGGTGATTCAGCACTTCGTGACCCATCTTCAGTCTTCGTGGGCTCTCCGGACGCACTCGGTGGCAGAAGTGAGGATGAGCCATGGACGCCTCGCGTGCGGCACACGACGTCGCTCGGGAACATTCATTCTACCTCCCACTGTCCCACCATCGAACATAGGAGCTTTTCATACCACTATCCCAGGCGGCGTACTAGTACGGCCACAGAGCAGAATTCTCCGGTTCCGGGATACCCTTCAATTTCAATGAACAGCAGAACGCGCGGGTCTCGTGAACGCCAATGGTCAGTCTTTGGACAGCTGATGGAAAATGAAGGACAGCTCGCGAGTCCTCTTGTGCATAATCCAAGACGTAGCGAGTCGACCGAACGGCCCGGGTCGTGGTCATCTTCGATGCATCTCCCACTATACGCACCTGCGTCATCGCTAGGAGACCGGAATGCGGCCACGGGGAACTCGGACTCGGAGAGCGTCAATACTCTTGCAGCGCATACCGCGACAACGAACGTCTCGTGCTGGACTCGAATATACACGCGATTTCCTGTTATTCCGCTATTGTGGAAGAACATCTTAAAGTGCTCCGTAGCATACTTTCTTGCGTCTCTCTTCACGCTCCATCCATATCTGTCCGACTTTTTTGGTGACCTGACTTCCTATGGACCAGGAGGGGGCGGGCCATCGCCTTCGGGGCATATGATTGCCACTATGTAGCTACTGTTCCCCTTGCCGTACACCTTTGCTATTCCGCTCACCATCCATTCCAGTGCTGTGTATTATAACCCTGCAAAATCCATCGGTGGGATGGTAGAGGCTGATACGTTCTGCTTCATTGCTTGGTTGTACACCGCTCTTGTATGTCTTACTGGGATGTCTCTATTCTGGTGGCTGGACGTTCAGCCAGGATGGGAGGTGGTTGCAGATTTCGTGCCAATTCTGTGGGTTGGGTTCTCGATGTGGGGATTGTCCTGGATGAAAGTCTGGATGTCGAAGCCGACATTCAATTCAGGTTCGTCGGTACCGCTCTTTTTTTATGTAGTCTCTGAGTTACTTCAATAGCATGTAACATGGCAGCAACTGTCCTTTTCATCGTGTAAGTCTGCCGCTTCTGTGTCACGTTTGACATGCGCTAAGAGTCCTCAGAATCGTAAAAGAGGGCGGTTTATGGACCTTCCTTCAAATGTCTTCGATCGTCTTAGTGGGAACACTCATTTCCAATCTGGTTTCTTTTACCTTGTGGCCCCAGAGTGCAACGGATAACCTTCAAGCTAACATGACGAAGACGTTAGACTCCTTATCGATGCTCTTGGGGATGATAACCAACATGTTTCTTCTCGAGGAGCCAATCCACAGACCGAGTTACGAGAAGATGCAGAAGGCAGTTGAGAGCCATCAATCCACCTTCACGGGTTTGAAGAAGGCTTTTACCGAGGCTGGGTCGGAGCGGTTCATGATCCTGGACGACGCCAGCAGTACGCTTGCGAAACAGGCTTATGAGGACGCTGTGGACAGCCTGACACGACTAGCGCAACATCTCAATGGACTCCGAAGTGGAACAAGACTGCAATACGAGCTGAGCAAGGCTCAAAGCAAGGGGAAGCTAGTTATCAGGGGAAGCCATCTCCAAGATGATGGGAGCAGTATTTCACGTATTTCTGTTGGTCAGGGAAGATCCCCCATACCGCCCCGCGACGACTTGGAAGAAGCGCTACTACGAACAGCAGCGGATATGTTTGGCGATCTTATAGATGTCACCGGACCACCGTTGAAAGCCCTTTCGGTCCGTCGTCGCGCCATAGTCTCTAGTGACTAATGCGAATCCCCTGCAGACGACTTGCACGTCATGCCTGAATAGACTGAGAGAGGCATTTGTGCATAGTCAAGGCATTCAAGGAGAAAGGATGCACCCTCAAGATTTCCACACAATTATCGACGGCATTGAACGGGCGCTGTACACTTTCGAAAGCACTTCAAACCATGCATTTTTACGATTGTATAAGCAGAGTAACTGGGCATCGCCATCAAGGAGATCGACGAATTCGACAATAGATAACAGCCAAACATTGGGAGATAATGAGCACATATTCATCGTCTATTTGTTAGTGTGCTAGGCTCCTCCGAATACTTTCACCAGGTTTTTCTGACCCTCTCGTGCAGCTTTATCTTTACCCTCCAGGAATTCGCTGGAGAGCTGATGTGCCTCACAGATGCCATGCGAAGGATATATGCCGTGGAATCAAGCAGATTCTCGAAGCAAAGTTGGTGGCAAAAATGCGTAGTCAACGGTCCTAAGTCAATCTTCTTATACCTACTCTCCTTCCGACGGCCGTCGGCTCCTGAGAAGCGGGGCGCCACTGGTCTGCAACGTATTTGTAAGCAAGCTGTTCACTTGATCTGGCGCTGTGTTGACACTGGACACAGCGACGTATTTCAGCGGACACCACCATCCTAAAGTATCATTTCCGAAAGTGCAGCCTCATGCGCCAAACACTATTCAGACGCCTGATCGTTCTGATCTAAATTTTTATGGACGTATTAAACGATCGATGTGGGAATTAGGTGATCGACTGAAAGGCCGTAATGTTAAGTACTCGTTCAAAGTTGGCATGTCCACCGCGATGCTGGCATCTCTGGCGTTTTTCGATACCACCCGTCCCATCTTTATGCAATATAGGGGAGAATGGGCCCTAGTATCGGTAGGTTTTCACTCTTCTCCGGACGGCACAGTCACTCACTATTTTGGTCCAAAGTTCTTCGTCGTGATGTCTCCCACTATTGGGGCGGTTCGTCGTTGTTTATCCTTGAAGTAATCCCAGTCCTGACGTTGATATATTTAGACCAACTTTTTGAGTATGCACCGAGTGCTTGGTACTTTGTGGGTTTGATTTCGTGGCTAGCCCTTACGCAACACTCATGAAATGAAGGATCGGAGCAGCAGTGGCAGCTGGCGTTTATACTCTTTTCCACGACAACCCTATCGTTCTGGCCATATTTGGGTTCTTTTTCTCCATTCCTTGCTTCTACTACATAGTCGCAAAGCCAGACTATGCAACATCAGGGCGCTTCGTGCTGCTGACGTATAACCTAACTTGCCTATACTCGTGCGTCGTCCACCACAATTTGCATGATGACAAGTCGGTTAACATTTCGTAAGGTATAACCTACGCCGGGAGGATGTTTCTGTCCTCGAAATCGCTCACCATAGATCAGCTGCTGTTATTGTTGGCGTGCTGTGGGCGCTCTTGGTGTCGCGCTTCTGGTGGCCCTCGGAAGCAAGAAGGGAACTCAGCAAGGGCCTTGGAGAGTAAGTAACACGATATACGTACAACTGGCCATGCAGCTAACAGCTACTGCGATCTGAAAGGCTTTGTCTCAACGTGGGATGGCTGTATACTCGTTTAGTTGCATCTAACTCTGGTCTGGAGTTGGATGACCCAGAGGAAACTGATCATGCAGGCGGCGGGAATGTTGCATGTGAAGGAACTCCCTTGCTATCCAAGTCAGCCAGTGCGATCCTCGGCGACTCTGTCCAAGAATTCATGGCAATGCACGTATTGTTCGACTGTGGTTGCGATCGATGATAAGATGATTGTATATAGGGAACTGCACCTTCAGATCAAACTAATTGAGCTGCAAGGACTTCTGGCTCAGACCCAGCACGAACCACGATTGAAGGGACCCTTTCCTGTTATGCTTTACCGCTTGATATTGACGAGTTTACAAACAATACTCGACAAGTTGCATAGCATGCGCTGTGTGACGACGCGGGAGGAATGGTGCAAGCCTTTTTTTTTTTCGCAACAACCACTTTCTAATCAGCAGTATCTTGCTCGTGACAGGTTCACGGTAATCCTCACAACTTCATCGCATTCTTTCCAAGTTGATCATACTGTCCGTAGGACGTCAGAAGGGATTTCATCCTTCCAGTCAACAAAGAGCGGCGGGAAATGGCCGGCAACATCGTCCTGTACTTTTCAGTTTTGGCATCCGCTTTTCGTCTGAAAGCTCCCTTACCGCCGTATCTGCCGCCAGCAGAGGAAGCACGACAACGCTTGGTAAGCAGCAGCTAACTCCTGTGACTCGGTGTCTTGTCTAATTCGCCTCTGGGTAGGTGGATGCAATTCGGCAGCTCGATGTTGTGAAGAACAGGGATGTCAAGGCATCCAAACAACTGCTGTTCTTTGCCTACGCCCTCACGATGAAAGGTGTTACGCAAGAGTTGGACTACCTTGGCCGTACGCTGCAGGACGCGTTTGGTGTTATCGGACAGACTGTCGAAGAATTCGACGCGTTATTCACGGATGCGGACGTGGAGAGGAACGATGGCGTTTCGCTTGCTTGAGTGTGTTGCTGTACACTTTAACGCGATAATAAGACAGAATGACGGTGTGCATTACGCCCTCTCTTATATTCACTGACCATAACCGGACCTTGCGCTTTCGGCATGTGTTCTGGGAGGACCAACGTCTAACTTGCGTCTGTACACGTTCTTTCATCTTAGCACTATGCAACGAGACTTACAGACAATGAAATGTTGGGGGCGACCTGCATCCGAGTCGGCTGTTTCCGTCGTAGCGCTGAAATTGTAAAACGCATTCAGCTGACCCAACACAAGGTTGACTCGTCAAGATGCCGGCTGTGCGCTATTGCTGTGTCTTTGATCGGAGCTCCTGTGCAACACTTCGCTCGTACTATCCACAAAAGGAAGCATCGCGTTAACTCTAAACCTTGCGGAAACGATTGAATACGGACGGATCAAGCCCTGGCCAAGATGGGTTTCATAGTAGAGCCCTCCGACTATGTAAGTTGGGTTCAACGTTTGCCAGGGATACATGAGCCCACCCGGGCTGTGTGGGCTTCTAATGAATTGGGTACCATGGGTCAGTGGCGCCCTCGTAATCTGCATTCCCGGGTACTGGTCTGCTATCGGATCTCGAAGGTTCAGAATCCTCAGCACAGCTGATCAGGTGGGTCAGGGATTCGGGCGCTACTAGCTAGGACGCATGCATCGGTGCATTAGCCCCTATCGCGCTTGTGGACTATTTAAGGGCGATCGCTGCGCAAAGTAGCAAACGAGCATACGTCTTTCCATGACGTCCCCTTTCGCCGACGGACTATGGTCTAGAACTCCAGCCCATGGCAGTATCTAGATGTACATGAACGGTTATTGCGCGGCATATTGCCCGTCGTCTTCCTTCCCTTCGGCAGTGAGAGGATTGCGCCACCCGTTAAGTTCTGGGTCCAGATATATAGTGGTGTGTAGGGTGACCTCCCTCGTGAGTACGTTCATTTAATTCCCGTTCGACTCTCTCCACCACGCTCTCCCAACCAGGGTTATGGCATCAAGCGCAACTAGAGAGATTTGTGTTCAAATCTCAGGTAGGTGTTTCTCTACCTCGAACACATACTCAACCGCAAGAACGCTCTTACTCACGACGTGCCTCTCTCTTTGGTTAAACAATTCATCACCGGATGTTGTTGCAATTGAACGTTCCTCGATGTTTGGAATGTGACAGACATCAAAGCCAGCGGCCTCCCCGCCAAAGTCGGTTTTTTTACCGGGCTATTCTATATCCGTGTCAAGAGTGGCGGGGTCGTGAAGAGAACGAGCATTGCCAAGTATGCCAAGGACAGTGGTGACTTCGTGGCTACATGGCAAGAGACTCTTGTTTTGTGAGTTTCATCTAGTCCTCTTGGAGCCATGAGGCCATCTCAGACTGGCTGACGATGGTTGTCTGTAATCTGGGACTTTGGCGGCTTCGCAATACTATCGTCGTATCCATCTAAATGCGCGCACGTATGAAACATTGTGGTTACGGGACTTGCCCCTCGAAATCACTGCGGTTCTCAAAAACAAACGACTCGTGTACCTGATAGTTCTGCCCCAGAGTCGTCCAAAGTGCAGATAGAGGTGTTTGCGCGCAGGTTTTTCTTTAGCTACAAGCTTATAAAGAAGACCGAGAGTAAAGAGAGTCTCGCTGACTTACTGGTGCATGCTGATACGCGTAAGTTCATGTCCCTCAGACAGCGTTTGACCTGACAAACGATGTGTGCATTTGACTAGCCGTCGAACTCGAACTTCTGGAAGAAGGCCATGCAGCGGGTCGACTTGTTTTTCGGATTTGCAAGAATGATCCTGACATTGGCAACACCAATCTTGAGTCCTTCACTTCTCCTCCAACATCTCCCATTTCTCTCCCTTCACCTGCCTCGCACATCTCCCCGCACGACGCGCCACCATCAGCATCTGGGGAGTAGACTGTAGCTTTGGTCGCTTCGGGCTACCTTGAAGATGTATAGTTACGGGAAACTCAAAGCCCCCCTAAACCACCGATATTATATATGTATGTAGGACCCGCCGTATACAAGTATACAAGGGCTTGTCAACACGAATACGAGACGTATGTCGCAAATTTATTTGGTCCATTGTCACGTGCCCCCATTGTAAGCAGCGTGTAATGGACCACTTGCCATTATAATGGTCAGGTTTGGCTAGATTATAGCAAATATGTGATATTTTACATAAGATATAGTGCGAATGTGTAAAATATTATGTACAAATACCCATTTTTGGCAATCTTTCAATGACACATGGGTGGCATTGGCATGGCTTATAACGGAAGTGTGAACAGCCACCCTTAACATGTATTATAAGGTTCTTATCACGTGCCCAAGAAATTTGCGACAGTACTACACTCATATTTCGAAAATATTATGACTTTGAACATTGCAAGTGACGGGACAGATTCTATCTTGTAGCGGGTTCACTCAAACCGAGCAAGTATGCATGGCTCTGCATTATACAGAACGATCGAAGCCAGTCATTACGGACACCATCAAAGTTAATTAGCTGTATCTACGGATGAGAACACAACAGGGAGCAGCTAGATAGAGTAGAGAACGAGTACCTGTGGCGGCCTCTACAGCCTAGAATGTCGTGGTCAATAGGCAAGGGTATGAAGTCCGCATGTGGACTCTACCAATAGTTGAGGATGGCATGTAAGGAAACGGAGAATGGTATACACTCTGCTTGCGTTCCGTTTCTAACGATGCCAGGTCAAGTGCCGTGACTCTAAGGAGTGCTCAAAACGTGATGGTCCCGAGGTCGACGAGTATATATGTATGAGGACCACAGAAACTAAGGTAGGATGAGGGTGATCGGAGGGACGGGGAAGATGCGACGAGGTGGCCTCGATGATAATGTACGTTAAGATAGTAAATTGGTGCCGAGACAGAGGCGGATGGTCGCATAAGTAGATGGGGGTCCGATATGCATTGCGGGATGTATGTGGCCAAGATAAACAAGCGACGAAAATGAGATTCAATGCTGAAGATGATCGTGACGGAAATTAAAGGGAAAGGATAGGTGGGAGGGGAATGGAGAGTTGCTCGTAAATCATGCACCAGTATCCATTACCGGACATACGCCATCTGCCCGCCATACGCTGCTTGTGGTGTGAACCCCGTCTGCATTTCAATGGCCGGAGTGTAGTGCGCCTGATGCGAACGGGGCTGGGTTGACGTCGAAGGTGTTGCAACGTACTCGCCCTTCTCAGACGAAGACACTGGATCCTTCTCGGTTGCGGCTGTAGCAGCGGTTGGATCGCCGATACCCGCACGGGTTCCCCAGGCAGTTTCGTGGAGAGTAAAGAGAGCATATATCTTCATGATGGCGAAGTAGTAACCAAAAATGATGAACGCGGGGACGTAGATGATGTGTTCGGGCTGGTGCCACAAATGGGGAAGGAGCTTAGCCGTACGCGTTGCAAGTAACCAAACCATGTAGCTGGCCGCGATGTTCCTAGGAAGCGGAGATGAGACGAGCGGAGAAAGAAGGGAGGAGAAGCGTACCACCACGGCAGGTGGTAGCCGCCTTGGTCGACAGGGATCGTACTCTTGTAGGTGAGATAAGACACCAGTGTGGGACCAACGAGAAGCGTCAGAGGATTAAATAGTTTGTCCACCTGAACTCCGAGGTCGCATATATTGTTAGTGTCTTTGAGGGTCAGTCAAGTAACGAGGGAAACGTCTTACCATCGTATAGGCCACGTAAGGATGCGATGTCCAAATGTGTCGCTCCATGAAGAGTGAGCGTAAATCGGATCTCCAGGTATTGCGCGTCCAACGGAGAACTTGCTTAAGGAACCGCCAGTTAGGCTTCATCGTACTGAGCAACTCCGCTTCCTTGCAGCACTGGACGTAAGTGCTCCAACCGTGGCTGACCATCCACCGTGTCAAGAATTTGTCGTCACCCGAGTTGAGCTGGTATTTTCCCAGCCAGTAGTCGTGAGTGAATCCATGCAAGAACTCCGGATCCTTGAGGATGATCGTGCGATACGCAGCCGTTCGGCCCGACAAGCAAGGAATGCCACCGTCGATGTGGGTTGAAGAAGCAATTTCGATGTTGCGAATAGTAAGACGGAAAGCAGCCAACACTTCCCAGACAGTCATCCTCTTTCCTACTGGCTGTACGCGTTGTGATGTCCCTACTCCACCGACCTTCTGGTCTTCGAAACAAGCGAGAATGTAGGGCAACATGGTTGGAGGCCATATGGCATCGTCGTCCGCAAATACAATGATATCAGTGGTCGTATTGCGGATACCGTGTGCCATCTGGAGCCGTTTATTGGCGAATGGGACGGTGAGGACGCGGATACGATCTGGGTCAACCTGGTTGGCGAGTTCCTGGAGGGGTCCCTTCATTTTCTCCTCTGTGATGATGAGGATCTCTTTCGGTTTTCCGGCGAGCCAGCTGTTCGCAGCTTCCTTGAACTCCTCGCCGGCATCGATAGTTGGCACAATGATGGTGACGTCCTCGGACGCAGTATAGGTTGGGTTTTCGGGTAAAGGAACGGGTCTGTAGGTGAAAGAGGCGGCGATACGGATGAGGTACCACAAATAGCGGTAGAATCTGTCGCAGATAAAGATGAGTGGGTGAGACTGTCAGACGACCTGAACGCACCCAATGACGCCGAAGGGGACGACTGGGAGTGTGTCAGCGTGCGCTGGACGGCAATGCAAGTGGAAAGGTGTACTTACAGACCGGAAAGTTGTCTGAGGTGAGGTAAAGCATGAAAGGAGTGGACGCGTCAGGCGCGCGACGAGGGCGACGAGGGGAACGAAGAGAAAAGGACCGGCGGGGTTTCAAAGGGGGAATTCATTTTTATTATACAATGAGGGGGGCGGACTGAACGGGAGACACGCGGGTACACAACTCAGTCCCTTCGGTTACCCGCTTTACCCGCTCGGGTGCCGCTCGCGTCGAACACACCCTCTGAGATCTCTCGCTCGAGGGCTCATCGTATCTTCTTCAGCTTGGTCGGGCAGTGATAATGGCTTCAAGCCAGTACTTGCCAGTGGATTATTAGTACAGTCTGCATTAGCATTATGTAAGAGGCGTCATTACACGGCGGTATACAAATGTCACATGTCCCGACTACTACGCCAAGACAGCGTCTAGTCGAACCCCTCCACAGGAACATTCCATTGCCATCTGCCTTCCAAGAATCCCTTGGCAGTGTCTTCTAACATGATCTCGTTTCGCTTCGACACGTACACCTGATCAGTCCTTGTCAGTCCCTGTGGCATTCTACATCACGTTGCAACTCACCGTCTTGTCTGTCACCTTCTGTCGAAGGGTCGGAATGATCTCAGGCTCAATCTGCGACTCTAGCAACTCTGACAGATCCTCTACCGCACGCTCCAGGTCCCTGCAATCCCACGTCAAAATGCATTCACCGAGTTATGTCCTGGAAACTCACCGCTGGTTATCTTCAAACAACTCCTTCTCATTCCCCTTCTCAAGATAGTAAGCCATCGCATACGTCCACTTAAGCGTCATACGGCACTTGAACACCTCATCCACCGCCTTCTTCATAAACTGCACCTCAATCCAAGTCAAGTTGGACGTAACCTGCATCTCCTCCATCTTCTTCTCCGTCTTCGCGTACAGCTCAACCGACAATTTAGCAGACTGTTCGTGGTTGGCCCACCGATTGTAATACTACAAAAATATCAGTCTGTGTCATCAACGTTGATGTCGGCTTCGCAACCCACGTGAAGGTAGCGCTCTAATGAAGCTCGGCTTTTCGACTGAGCGTCTCGAGCATCCACTCCACCCTTTTCGTCATAACGGTTGCACGAGTACCATGCCGTGCCGTGCTCTGACCATGGACCTAGCCGCATTCTTTCCGTCAATACTGTGTCACCTGTGACGAAGGATATTCATACCCATGCACACCCAGCAGAACTCGTGCTTGCACTTTTTACACGTCATATGGCTGCAGAAGACGGTCCCTGTGAGCCCCAAAACACACGCCAAGCAAGACTGCGCGAGACGCACTTGCAACCTCCATTCTTCTCGATCGTACTTTGACAGTTACTACATTCCTTGGTATTGCTCTTGATCCAATTAGCGGTCTCGCTATCATCTCGACATTTTTTCAACCACATCTTCGCAATCGAGCAAATCACAGGCCGGTGGTCGCTCTCGATTGGACAGCCAAAACAAAATCTGTGCGGGGGGTTCACATCTGGGCCACATGTCACGATGGGCACGATCGTCGTCAGGGCACTTTTGGAGGCCGCAGTAGGACACGATACCGTGTACGTGCACGATGGGTATGGACAGTACTTGAGATTCGGGTTGGATGCTACGAAATGTCGCACGAGCAGCCCATTAAATCTCTCCCAGGTCTCTGGGTCATCGGTAAGTGCAGTTCGGACGAAGGGGTCCGGTGCCACAAGAGCACAGCCCTCTGCCATACATCTGATCGCGTGTTCACCCTCCTCACGAATCTTACCCGTGATGTAGGCAGTCCAGCACCCGGAACAAAACGTGTGATCACATGCAAGTGCTGCAAATGATGCCTGGGTATCGTCGAAGCAGATTGGACAAACAAAGGGTTGAGGTTTTGCCTTCGGTAGAGCTTCCCACGAGCGGCCTAAGCGTCAATCGTTCGGGAGAAGGGTATGAAAACGAGGCACACCTGGTGTCTGGCGTGCGGACCGGCGGAATCCGCTCGTGCGAGTGCCCGAAGAAGAGCCCTGCGAGCGGTCAGGGCCAAGTGCGGAGGGCGAAGCTCTAGAGGGGGGAGAGATGCCTGCAGCGACAGTGACCGCCGAAGCGTTATCCATGTATTTTTCTATCAACCGCTCTTTATTCCAATTCATGTACCGCAGCAGTAACGACGCTGCACTCGCCTGCAAAAGGGAGCCGAAGTGCCGGGGCGAATTGATTACAGGATTCGGAAAGACAGAAATGACATACCTCGACGCCGAATATTCCACTTATGTGATCGATGTCGCTCGCCACGAGTCTCTCGACAGCAGACTGCGGGAGCGACTCGTACTCGATCTCGTACGTCTTACGGACGGTGCGCTGGGGGACTTTGAAATCGTCCCCGAAATCATCCATGTCCATACCATCGTCTGACGACGCCGAGTCTGTTCGGCGATAGTCAGCCGTGTGCTCAGGCTTGCCCGGCGGCTCTCGCGGTGGAGTGAATGCGCACCTTCGTCCTCCTCGACGCTCATCATGTCCTCGTCGTCATAGTAGTACTCACCGTCGTCGTCTGAGTAGTCGTAGTCGTTGTCTGATGACATGTTCGTCGTCGCCGTGGTATTGTTGGTGTATTGCGGTGGTATGTACTACTTGGTGGTACTCTGTCAGGGCACCTGGGATCGATTTAGGCATGCTTACGTGAGGAACCGTATATGGCACGTTGTTCCCATGCCTCTTTTCTGTGCACGTGACCCCATAGCGAGTCAGTCAGTTTTTTTCTGCATACTCGAATAGGAAGGCGACGATCGATTGGGTGGATGCTCGCCCTGCGATATGGCATCGGTCAACACCTTCGACGCCAGATACCCGCTCTCTGCACTCGGACCCTTAGACCCCATCGCATAGCGGGAATTAACACAAAGAAAATGTCTGAAGAAACGAACGCTGTCAAGCTTCACAAGGACCCCGTCACCGGGGAAATGATATCCAAAACGTGTGTATCGCACACTGTGCCAGTGACTCATCAACTGATGGGTGTGCCTGCAGCGAGCTCAAGCGTCGCGAGAAGCAACGCGATAAGGAGGCAAAGAAGGTCGAGAAGGCCGCCGCATCCCCGCAGCCCCCTTCCAATCCGTCGCAGAACGAGGACGACCTTAACCCGAACGTGAGTCATACTACCCCTCGTCGTGGCCGACACGCTGGATTCTGTCATACTTGTAGCAATATTTTGAGCTGCGCTCGCGGGCCATTTTAAAACTCAAGGAGACGCAGTCGCCGAATCCTTATCCCCACAAATTCGATGTTACCAAGTCCATCACCGCCTTCATTGAAGAATACGGCGCCGAGGGTCGCATCGGCCCCGGCGAGAAGCTTGATGTTACCGTTGCACTTGCCGGACGTATTCGTACTGTCCGCAACAGCGGCCCAAAGCTTAGGTTTTACGATTTACACGGCGAGGGCGCACGCGTCCAAATTCTTGCCAACGCCAAGTGCGCAATCCACCCATCCCATTATGCGTGCTGACGCCCCCTCTCAGGGATGCAGACAACCCAGAAGAATTCGTGGAAACACACAACATCTTCCGCCGAGGAGACGTTGTCGGCGTCGTCGGTAATCCCTCCCGCAGCCAGAAAGGCGAACTTTCCATCTCGCCCTTCCGAATGGTCCTCCTCGCACCGAATCTCCATCAACTTCCATCCGGCCATTTCGGGCTCAAGGACCAAGAAACACGCTACCGCAAGCGTTACCTTGACTTGATCGTATCAGAGGATACCCGCCGCATCTTCATCACTCGCGCCAAGGTAATCAGCTATATCCGTAATTATCTCAACAGTCTTGGATTTCTGGAAGTCGAGACACCCATGATGAGCATGATCGCGGGTGGAGCAACTGCAAAGCCTTTCATCACTCATCACTAACGATCTCAACCTGGACCTCTACCTGCGCGTCGCACCAGAGCTCTACTTGAAGGAGCTCACCGTCGGTGGGTTTGATCGCGTGTTCGAGATCGGCCGTGTGTTTCGAAACGAGGGTATCGATCTCACCCATAATCCCGAGTTCACGATCTGCGAATTCTATATGGCGTACGCAGACATGTACGACCTGATGGAAATCACCGAGAACATGGTCGAAGGCATGGTGAAGTTTCTCAACAACGGGAGCACCATTGTCAAGTTCCATCCCGAGGGCAAAGACGGCAAGGAGTACCGTCATGGACTTTGAGGCACCTTGGCCGAGGTATGATATGATTACGACGTTGGAGGAAAAAACTGGTGTCAAGTTCCCACCTGCCGATACTTTACACACGGAAGAAACCAACAAATTCCTTCGGGACCTTTGCCAAAAGGTGCGGAAAGCATGGAGACAAGACAGGGAATATCTGATCTGACATAATCTCCAGCACAACGTCGAGTGTGGAGAGCCCCGCACCAATGCAAGGTTGCTTGATAAGGTGTGCACGCGAGCTGGCGCTCCCCCTTGAAGACGTTCTCACCTTCCCTAGCTTGTCGGTGAATTCATCGAACCGCTTTGCATTTCCCCAGCATTTATCGGTGCGTCCCTCTCATCTTAACACTGTCACGTGTGATGTCATCTGAGCCCTCGCACAGTGGGCCATCCTCAAGTCATGTCTCCACTTGCCAAGTGGCATCGCTCGCGCCCTGGTCTCTGCGAGCGCTTCGAAGGGTTCATGTGCGGTAAAGAATTCTGCAATGCCTACACGGAACTGAACGACCCCTTCGAACAACGCCTTCGCTTTGAGGAGCAGTTCAGGCAGAAGGAACAAGGCGATGATGAGGCTCAGCCCATCGATGAAACATTCGTCAATGCGTGAGTATTCGCTCCTTATTTTTCGCATACCGTTCGTGCTGATGTAGTTTTTTCTCTGTATAGGCTCGAGCACGGTCTCCCACCCACCGGTGGATGGGGAATGGGTATCGACCGCCTCGTGATGTTTCTTACTGACTCACCGAGTAAGTCAATCCAGTTTACGGCGTTCGTGTGACTCGTACCGACCTCCTCTGTAGATATCAAGGAAGTTTTGCTTTTCCCTGCAATGAAGCCTATCGAGAATGCACCCAACGTTTCTGCTGCTGCACCCGTACACACCCTAGCAGCAGCATCTGGGCAAGTATGAGGATTCGGCAGAGAAAAAAGAGAACCGAGCGTTGAAGCTCCATCTTAGTTCACTTCGTTACTTCGTTGATAATGGCAACCTGCGGATGAACCAATCGTGGCTCTTCACTGGCGCTTGTCACTGATTTCCGCAGCAAAAGCTCGAGTTGCACTATCATATGACACTGCGGTACTAAGTAAATATGTCTACACATTCTATCCAACAACACTTGCTGCAGATTACTGTGACTCGATGCAAATTTGGGAGCAAAACAGCCTAGCTAATCAACATCCATCTCGGGTGGTCCACGAGCTTCCTCGTCCGCCTTTGGTGGTGCTTCGCCCTGTGGTTGAGTGCCAGGGTCAGGCGTCTGAGTTCCGGTCTGAGGAGTCTGGCGACCAGTGGGCGTTCCGGCCGGTGTTGGGTCCACCTTCACGGGCTTCGGCTTCGGCTTCGTAAGAATGGGTACAGCAAAGTAGATGAGCTCCTCCCTCTTCTTCAGAATATCAGCCGTTTTCAGCACGGGGTCGTCGTTCTTGGGACGCTCTGCCTGTCTTGCAATTTGGTCATCGAGCCACTTCTGAACAGTAGCGCACTTCTCAACAACGCCCTGCTTGTCCTTCTCGTCGATGTGTGCGTACTTCTCTTCTGTGGACGTCGCCTGCGCAAAGTACTCGTTGATCGTCTGGCGTAGTTGGGCGATGTCTTTGGGACGCTTTTCGGCTTCGCGGTAGCGATTGACGATGAGATCGCCAACAACTTTGAGGCCATCGAGTTTGGCAACATAGGCAGATTTTGTAGCGTCCTCGCCCTCCTCGCTGTACAGCCAATCCTCAGCCTCCTGAAGCATTGCCATAAGCTTCTCCTTTTCCTCTGCCTTTACGTACAACCCATAGCGGTCCTCTAGCTTACCGCGCATATCGTACACGTATTCCTCAAGCGCGTTTTTGCGGTCCTGTCAGCTTGTATAAGTTCGTGTTTCTATGAAGCGAACATGTGAACCAACCTCAGTATCTTGGACAAGCTTGTCGGAGGTGTGCATTTGCGCTTCAAGCTCCTTGCACTTGTCGATGATGGTAGGGTCAAGGGAGGTGGTGCCAGTAACGAAGGGCACGTTAACCTTCTTGACCGTACGCTTCTTCTTCGAGGGCGCGCTTTCAACGGCTTCACCATCCACTTCCATCGCGGCCGGCTCCTCGCGCTCTTCGACCACCTCAACATATGCCATCTCGAAGCCCATGGTGCCATGGATATTCAGCCGCGTCTTTATCTTCACGCAGTTGAGATCACCCGATGGGTCAGGAGGGACAGACTTCGCGGAAAAGCGTGCAATCCAGGAGTTGATGGCGCCTGGTAACTTCTCCGGTTCTGCATACTCTGCGCGGAGCTCAAAGGCTTCCTTGCGGTAAAAGGTAAGGACCTTGGTGGAAGGTACAGTATTACCACGGGGGAAAACAACGAGTTCGGTATCCTCGTCGGGGTCACCAGGTGCCCGGTCCCAGGTCACCTTGATGGGGTAATGGTTGATGTCTTTGACGTTGAACTCTCGCACACGGAAAGTGGGCGAGAAGAATGCACAGGCGAATGTTGCACCTCGAGCACATGCCTCATCCTGATTGACAGTCGTCGATAGGGCTTTTCCATTGAGCGCAGCCTGAATCTGAGCGCGCACAGCAGGGATACGAGTCGTACCACCGACGAGTTCGACCGAGTCTAACTGATCGACAGAAAGTCCCGACTCGGCGAGGGCCTCTTTGATAGGGGCTGGGATTCGTTCAAGGAGATGGGCTATAAGTCCTTCATATTCGTCGCGCGTGAGTCTCGACGAGGCATCAATGTCGTTCATGATGGATTCGACGTTCAAAGGGGCCTCCATGTTAGCAGACAGTATCTTCTTCAGACGCTCGCATGAGACAGCCAGGCGGAAGGTACCCTTGGGGCTGGACAAAACGTCAATTTTATATTTCTGCTTGAACTCTGCAGAAAAATGTTGCAGAAGTGCATAGTCGATGTCGCGACCTCCGAGGTGACGATCATAGCCGGTACCCTTGACGGCTAGCTGGCCTTTTGCGAAAGCAACGATGGAGACAGACATGGATGAGTGTCCGACGTCGACAAACATAACATGGCGTGGGTTTTCGGGATCGGGAAGGTCAGATTTCGTGATACCATATCCCAGTGCGACAGCTGTGGTGTCGTTGATGACACGGAGGACGTTCATGCCGGCAATGGCGGCGGCGTCTTGGATCGCTCGCCGCTGGATGTCTGTATACCATCCTGGAACAGCGATGACAAAATCGGACACAGGGACTTTGAGTTCCCCTGAGGTGATGTCTCGCAACTTTCCCAAGTACATCGAGACTAGCTGAGTGGCAGAAAACCTTTGTCTCTCTCCGAGATAATCCACCTACGGCGGTTGTTTGGGTGAGTACTTGATCGGGGATTTTCTGACGGATAGAAACATACCTCCGCACCGACGGTGCCATTCACATCGACGAGAGTAGCGTGAAGGAACTTTCGCTCGTCATTAAGCTCTGGATCATTGACTGTCCGGCCAATCAGACGCTTCAAGCACCCGACTGTGTTTTTGAAATTGGATATTTCCTGCGTTTTGGCTGGCTCGCCAATCGCACGTTGTTTTGGCCCGAAGGCGACTAGAGATCTACAGACAGAAGATGAGAAAGACGAGCCCAATTGGACAGATCCAATCAACGGGGTATGAGCACGTACGGAGTAGCACGGTTAGAGACCTCGTTAACGATGATATCGATTCCTCTGTTTCTTGCAACGCCGATCTGGAGGTAAAGGGTGTGGTGAGCGATGTCATCTACGCGAGAGGTATGGGAGGGACATGCCTTGCTGTGGAGCGTGCCAAAATCGATACCAACGACTGACATTCTGAGATCGTTAAGGACGTGTCAGACAGACTAGGTTTGTGGTCGTAGACGAGATAAGAGACGGTGGGTCGCGTTTTTTGGTTTGGGTTGGCTAAAATATATTTCGAGGAGTGGTCCTGTCATTTGGTAGGGTTGCCGTTTTTGGGTTCGAGTGCGTTCTTGGGCCTTCTACGGAGTTCTACTACTATTGATCGGGTACAGTAATAATACATCACTCTCATCATCAATCTATTCCAACATGCTGTAGTCGTAAGTGATGGTCGTAGGTACGGCATCAGAGCCAGCGGCGGGCAGTCTGAATCCCAGTCGTCAGGGTCTGGATGCACCTGTTCAACCATTGCAGCAGTTCACTGCAATTCATATCTAGTCAGCTGTGTCTTCAGTATCTCAAAGGAGTCCCATGATACAGGGATCACTCGAGGCGGGGGTCGCCCAGTAAAATGACCCCTAATAGTTCCGTACTACAGCACCCGTAGAATCCTGTACCGTCGTGTCCCCAGCCCTTGCAAGTGCATTTCCGAGATAAGCCCCTTCGAGCGAACTTGCGAAGCTTCCAACCTAGACAGAATTCCACTGTGGGAGCACGTCGCAATCCTCTAGGTTAAGGCCCATGCACTCCAATCTGCTTGCAAGGCCCTCGGGCGCATCATGAGCAAGTTCAGAACGTTTTGAGAATGAGGCAGGAAATTCGATCCCGAGTAACTCATTCAGGGGGGCCAGATTTTATTCTGTCGCTCCTCTCAACAATCCTGGGTACACTTACAAGGACAAAAGAGACGGTCTAGTGAGGAGCGACATCCATCAGCTCGGTGCATTGTTCTTGCAGCACAAAGGTCTTCCCATGCAACGACCAGGGGCAGATGCCAGTGGCGTTCGTCGCCTGGAGGATTCACCTGTCTTTCATCCGATTCCAGAGCTGGAGTCGCGTGCATTAGGAGAAAGGACAGTTCCGTGATCGATCTTTGAGCGTCATTATCTCAGGCGCATCTCCATATGCCAGCTGCTGGTAGCAATACACCGCGCAGAAGTAATGTTGCAAAGCGAAGTGAGGAGTACACAGTACTACATAAATTTCAAGCGAATCATTCCTCTGAGCTTGCAACGCTGCTGGCATCATCTTGACGCCGTTCTTGCATGTCCACATCCCCACCAGCCGCTCCCAAATCAGTTGCACCGGTGGTCTTGGATGTTGACGGAGTAAAGCCCGACAGCATCCCCGACCCACCAGTCTTCTTCGCCTGGGCGGCCTTCCAGGCATGAGCCATTTGTAAGAATTTGTAAGACGTCGGATTTGCTTCCCGCTCGTCGTCCGCGAAGACAAGTTCCCAATCTGCAATAACAATCAATATCCAGCTCCGGGAAGCGGCACCATGTTCACCTTCGACCACTTGGCCGGTCTCCTTGTCGACGTGTTGTTTCCTCCCAACAATAGGCATCATACCCTGCACCTTCGCCACGTCTGCCTCGGTGCCGTTGGCTTGTTCATACGTTTTCCAAGCCTCCAGCAACGTCACTCGCTGCACATGCAGGTTATCAGTATGTCGTTTGGAACCCCGGGGTACTCGCATACCTCTGCTTTAAGTCCCTTGCTTTTGAGGTCTTTATAACCTCGGTCAAAGACTTGCCGTGCCAGCTCTGGGTTCCCGGGAACCATTTTCCTCTCCGTTTCTTCGTCTTCTTCGTCTTCCTCACGCTCAGCACGCGGCAATGGGATAGGTGAACCTTCAAACTCGGCGTACGAAATCCACACTTTGTGGTGACCACTGAGGGCAACCAGACGCTCATATAGCGAACGTGCTTTCTCCCGATCGCCTTGCTCTTCCACTTCAAAGTCGATATACGCTTTCCAAAGCAGTTCGGGCATCGCAAGTGCTGACTGGGATACCGCAAGTTCGAACATGGCCTCGGCACGCGCGAAGTCTTCAAGGGCCGTCTCTAGCTCGGCGTACTTGATCCAAGCAGCCGAATTCGTCGGATCGTACTGGCAAACCATAGCTTATCAAGGGAACGACTGGTGTGAATATCAAACTGCTACATACCTCGATGTACTTTTCGTACAGTGTTCGAACACGGTCGAACTCGCGCAACTGCGTAGAGGTTAGGAGAAGCCGGATAGTGGGCTGAATGTACATACATCCATCTCAAGTTGAATGTAGCCCTTGAATAGGGCTTCCTTCGGACACATACCCATTCCAGCCCCCAAAATCTTGCGGGCAGCAGGAAGGTCGAGTCGACGGATTTCAAATCGGGCTGCCATAATCCACAATTTCGCAAAGGTGAATTGCTTGTGAGGGACGAGGTTGAGGGCAGTACGATAAATTTGTCGTGCGCGCTCGTAGTCCTGAAAGAAAATGAGAGTAAATGTCATGCAGAGAGAACGGACGAATCGCTCACTTGCCTTTGTCTCGATTTCCTCAAAGAGAGCGTAATCCAGCCACAGGAAGATGTACCGCCGCCAATGCCGCTTTTCATGACCTGGCGGCACATGCGCTACTGCACGTTCGTAGACATCACGTACACGTTCCGTCGAGGCTTTCTCCTCTTCTTTCGTTCCACCTTCTTCTCTGAGTGTTCTCAATGCGCCTTCTTCCAGTCGTGCATAATCAAACCAGGTGTCGTAGTTGCGTCCATCGTGTGACACTTCATCCTCGTACTGTATCCTTCGCTTTCCAAGCACAGTCGATTCGAGTACGGATTGAACACCATGTTGCTTTTCGAATTTGGTATATGAAGCATAAAGATTGGCTGATTTTGAACGGGGAAGGCGATCAAGAGCAAACTTATCACCGATGTAAGGCCAGCGAAAAGACATCAATGCAAAAAGATATACACACCTTGTAAATTACGCGAGCACGTTCGTATTCTTTTAGGCGGGTCTCCATCTTAGCGAATGCGTTGAAAACTGCTTGTGCCTTCTCAATTTGCTCTTCCTCGTCGCCAAAGAACTGCAGAGCAGTCTGGAACACCTCTCGCGCCTTGTCATATTTGCCTCGTTCTTCTTCGAATTTGGCCCATTTGACCCAGACTCTGGGTTCAGGCCGTACTGCTATCCAGCGCTCGTAGATGACGCTGGCCCTATCCAGCTCGTTATACCGCTCCTCCATCTTGATGTAGGCTTGCCATGCCTTGTCGTCTGGTTCCCACTGCATCCAACGCTCGAAGACCTGGCGGGCGCCGGGCATGTTTTGAAGAAGTTCTTCGAGGTAGACATATTTATACCAGAGCTGGTCTACGCGGGGCAGGAGAGTGACAGCACGGTCGAAAAGATTACGCGCGTGTTGAACGTTACGATTTTTGAGTTCCACTTCCGTGTAACTTAACCATAGTGGCACAGAACGCGGGTCGACGTCGAGAGCGCGTTCGAAGACGGAACGCGATCGATCGAATTCGCCCTGACTTGCCTGGAAAAAAACAAACAATGAACACCTCAAGATGGACGGAGAAATAAAGCACGCAGACCTCCCAGTTGGCATATTGAGTCCATTCTTTGCTACGAAAAGTTATTAGGTTAAGCAGCAGAACATACGCCGAGTGAGAGATGGAAACCACGTACATGCTCCCTCTGTTCCGTCGTATCCTGTCCTCGAACTCCTTGCGCTTCCGTCCGCGGTACTCGTGAAGCTCCTCGAAGTCCTCGACTCGTTGCTTTGGTGCACGAAAAGTTGACTCCTGGCGTTCTTGAGCCTGAACAGAGGTTGTCAGTATTTATTCAGGCTAGAAGACGACCGGACATACCTCTCTGAGGAGTTGTTCAGCAGTGATCTTGATGGACGTATGTGAGTCTCTGGACTGCCTAGCTGAGACAGATGAGTTCGACGAACCTGCACTGGCGCTGGCGCGCGGTTGCGAATACTGAAAGACACGAGCGGTCAGAGTCATGTGTGCATTTCAATGTTTTGGATAGGCTTTACCGTGGTGCCCTGCCGTCCTGCATGGTTGTGGTCGGTGGAGGAGTCTTTGGGGTCTCAGCGTGGCGTCAGAGTCGGCACTCGGAATTTGTTTGGCTCGTCACTTCCGCCCGTTAATTGACAGACTCGACATGGACATGGACATGGACATGGACAGCACAGCGAATACTGGCTCTGGACGGTCCATCGACATCGAACTCGGCGGGCAAGAAGTAATTACAATCGATCTATGTGACCTCGACCCAAACCCGGAAGACGTCCTCGACCTTCTGAAGGAGGGACAGTGCAAGGTTTCCGTTTGGACGCGCCTAGCCAGCGAGTACTGGCGCAGGGATTATCTCGAGGCTGCAGAGACTATTGCCCATGCCGCAGTAGAGTGTATGTATACCAACTACACCGCTTGGCCCATATTGACATCCGTGCCCCCATCTAGCTCTTACTGCCAATGGAGCGGTTGCTTCATCACCCCCCGTTTATGCACTTCTCGCGAACATACAACTCGCGCACGCACGAAGGGCTCCAAAAATTGTCCTTGCAGATGCCAGTGTGTACATTATCCTGCTTGTGAGCTCGTGCTGAGTTTCGCCTAGGGGAAGATAGACTCGACGGGGCACGTACCAAAGAGGATTACTACCGCGAAGCAGCACAGTATCTCAATGCCGGCGAACGTGCTGCAGCGGAGGGTGGGGAGGGAGTAGGCGGAACCCTTGCATTCTTAACAAGAGGTTGGTCTCATTGCGTTCCGGCTCAGTGTTTTCTAATCGTATCCAGGGATTCATCAACTGGCTACCCGTTCCATGGACGATGCGTTGCGCTCATTCGAAGGAGTCCTCGCAGAAAAGCCAACCAACATTGTCGCGTTACTGGGCAAGGTGTGTCCCAGTGTATCCAAGCTTGATGATGTCTGACCGACACTCCATCACAGGCCCGTATTTTGTACGCTAGAAGAAATTACCCGCAAGCCCTGAAGCTTCTTCAACAAGTACTTCAGCTCAACCCTTCTTGTTTACCTGATCCTCGAATAGGCATCGGTCTCTGTCTTTGGGCAATGGATCATAAGGCAAAGGCAAAGGCAGCTTGGCAGCGTAGTTTGGAGGTGGTATGTGTCCAATCCGTTGTATCTTTATCACATCGCTTAGTGAAAACTATCAGAATCCGTCGGAGTGGTCTGCACAACTCTTACTAGGGCTGGAGTCTATAAATGCCAGCAAAACTGGTAATCTCAGTGAGGAAGAACGCGCACAGTCGTTTCTCATTGGTACCAAATATATCGAGGCAGCCTTCAAGGCGAACCAGAAAAGTGCCGCGGCCGCGAATGCTTTGTGTGAGCTGTTCTTGCGGAAGAGCAATCTCAAGCGGGTGCGATTGTTACTTTTCCCCTATCCAACAGGCTAATAACGCTCCACCTTGTACTCTTGCGTGTAGGCGTTGAAGCTGGCAGAGCGAACCGTTCAGTTTGCAGACACTCTGACGTTATTTACGGAGGGTAATCTGCGCGCCGCTCGGGTATTGCATGCAGAAGGTTCGCTGGCAGAGGCAACAAAATACTACACAACTGCTACCGAAGGTCAACCCAAGCATATTCTTGGGGCGATCGGCATGGCTCAGATACAGATGCACAATGGTAAGCTTCCTCTGAACCCCCTTAACAGTGGGAGAATGTAGGATTTATGTACCTGGCAGACGAGATACCCGCTGCGATACACACTCTCGATACGCTGATACAGCCCCCTGGCCCCCAGAGATCTGTCGAAGCAACAGTGATGCTGGCGTCCCTGCGTGCACACCCCAGGCCAGGGGTGTCGAGTAGCGATGCTGCACAAGAAAGGCTTCGTGCTCGTGAGCTTTTCGATCGCGCAACTAAAATGCTCGAGCACGAAGATCCACGTCCTAATGGGAATGCCAACGCACCCACTCGTGCAGCGGCTGCGACCATAGATGACCTGGAGATGCACATCGAAGTAGCACGGTTGTGGCAGGAAGAACAACCAGAGCGAACTGCTCGTGCACTCCGTGAAGCTTTGCGGATCAGTGAAGCAAATGGGCAAATTGATCCCCGGCTCCTAAATAACCTCGGCGCTCTACAACACATGGAATCTCATCTCGATGCGGCGCAATCAATGTATGAAGTAGCACTAACGAAGGCCGCTAATATTGGTGGCGACTCCGGAGAGGCAATGTCAACATCATTACTGTATAACCTGGCCAGGGTGTACGAAGATAAGGAGGGTCTGGTTATGGCAAAGGAGGCTTATGACAAGCTACTTGCCCGTCATCCTGAATATGTAGATGGTTGGTTGCCAAATCCCTATAGCATGGGTGGCAAAATTGATCGTTTCACAGCTAGAGTTCGACAGGCTTTTATGCTAGCCAATTTGAATCAAGTCAATGAAGCACATGAAATATTGAAGCATGCCCTTACGACGCATACTAGTAATCTCAACCTCCGCGCCTACTATACCTCCTTCCTCATTCAGAACAATCAGCTGAAGGTTGCCAAGGATTTCGTCTATGCCACACTCAAGGATTACGAGCGATCCGACGCTTACTCACTCTGTGCCGCCGCTCTGATCATGTACCACCAGAGCCGCGAAAGTAGAGATCCAAACCCCAAGGCAGTAGAAGAGCGCAAGCGTGGCTTTCAGCGTGCTGTGGAAACATACCAGAAGGCCTTGCAGCTTGACCCACTTTGTGCCGTGGCTGCACAAGGCCTCGCAATTGCCACTGCAGAGGATGCCTTGGGTGCTCTCAGTGGTGCCTCCGTGGCATCCATAGCCGAGGAAATTCAACTACGGATGAAAAACGCCCGTGATGCGTTAGATGTGTTTGCCAAGGTTCGGGAATCTCTGAATGATGGGTGTGTCTACGTCAATATCGGGCATTGCTATTACGCGCGAGATGAGTTCGACCGTGCAATTGAGAGCGTGAGTAGAGGTCTGAAGACGCATTCTCAGCTCATTCATGATAATCCCAGTATGAGACCGCTTCCTCAAGGTACTACGACGGTCACAATACTTCAGTGTTGTTATACCTTTGCCGGTCGTGGTATTCCAAAGGTAGCAAGGAGCAGTCGTTTCCCGCTATGAACACCGCGCTAAAGTATGCACAGATGGTTAGTGTGATTTCCTTTCTACATATATACTTGTAAACAGCTCAACGGGCATGATAGGCGCTTCACCTTCAACCCAGCGACAAAGCGACAATTTACAACATTGCGATGATCCAACAGAAGGCCACAGAACTTTTGTTTGAGCTACCCCCTTCCAAGCGCACGCTACAAGACCTCGAACTAGCGATTGCACAAGCAATCCATGCACAGCGGTATGCCAGTTTGCCTTCACGAGATACGTATGCTGAATTAATCTTATTCCAATAATCAAAGGGTGTTTGGCTCCCTCGCCGCTGACCCCTCATCCTCTGTACCATACAACAAAGAAGTAGCGAATCAGAGACGCAAGTATGGTGAGATTATGTTGAGACGTGGCGACGAACACCTTGCTTCCCAGCGGGCGTTCGAGGCTGAGGCTCAAGCACGACTGGACGCTGCGAGACAACGGCGACAAGATGAGAAAATGCGTCTAGAGGCGGCTGAGGTACGTAACCATTTCTCCCTTGTATTATTCATGTCCAACCTCTCATGATTCTGTTTCGTTACCTAGCGCGCCAAACTGGAAGAATTGCGACAGCAAGCAGAGAAACTTGCTGAAGAGCGACGCATTGCTCGTGAACAGGTACTGGAATGGACTCGAGAAATACAAGTGGAGAGCGAGGAGGAGCGCGAGCGCAAAGCAAAGCGGGCGTCGAAAAAGCTAAAGACGGAGACAGAGAGTGGCGACGAAGCTATCAACGGGGGGGAACTCAAGAAGAAGCGGAAGGGGAAACTAAAGAAAGTCAACGACCAAGGAGATGAGAATGAACAGCTGTTCAGCGACGAGGACATTGACAATAAACCCGCCAAAAAGGTACTGTGTTATCACTGACGGCCAAGACGGGGGCGCTAACTTATCTATAGCGGGGTGCCAAAAAGAGGGTCGTCAGGGACGACGACGAACAAGAAGCAGGTAGTGGACCACGCAAAAAGCAATAGTGAGTATATTCTGATCACTATTTTAAATCACTCAACTAGTTCGCCTTACAGTAAAAGTAAAGAGTATATCTCCGACACGGATGATGAAATGACATGATCCTTCTGGGCTACCTCTTATGTCCATTTCGTTATTCGCCGCTACTTTGCATTTAACAAACCCGCCGTGTAGTGTATATGTTTCATAGTTGAGTTTTTTTTTGTTATAGACACTTCGTTGTTTATGTATACCACGAGAAATCTGCGTCTGATCTTCAACTGGCTGCGCTTGCCGTAGTTCCGGATTCCGGCCTACATATTACCGCAAACCAGCTCAGTAGGTTTCGTCTAGTTGCGCCTACTTATAGGATATCTGGCACAAACCCCAGGGTAATCGATTGATCAATGTCAGATCTGAAATACTGAAATACGAGGACTTTGACCTTGCGCTGTGCACCATAGCTTAACGGCAGGTTCCAAACCAGAATCGACCCGGTCTGAATACCTGAGACACGCATGTGCTTGATCTTTATCCCTTAGACACCCGTCACAGATACAGCGTCTGATGCTACGGCTAAAAATGATCCACTATAACAACTGGTATGGGGATTGCATAACGGCAAGGAGGGTATTCGAAGCACAAGCCTCTGTCGGTTTTGAGCGTTTCTCTATAGCTCCTGCATTGCAGTAACACCTAGCACCAACAGACACAAATGTACTTGACGATGTCCAACATTGAACTCCGAAGGTCGGACCGTCTGTCAAGCGTGCGTCCCCGCATGCGATGCCATCGAGGAGCGGATTGCAAAATTGACTGGCTCAATCTCTCGACTCGGCTCGCCGTGGGATGGTCGGACGAAACTTTCCCGGATGTGAATTATCAGTCGTGAGGCCTGGTAGTCGTTCGATAATTGATTCACGAAATGGGAATACTCACGATGGAACTTACGCAGAAAGAATATAGGGCTAAAATTATCCTGTAACAGTGGGGTCAAGTCAAACATACAATTAAGAGAAAAAACTGGAGACATACGAAGCAGTGACATTGGCCAGAGCTGTGCGGTAGACAACGACGACCGGAACGGATGCAATGAATATGCCTGAGTTCAGGGAGGTACGCAGTTAGTTTTCTGTTTGAGGCACACGGGGCCTTGGTGGGCTTACCAAACACGCTGCGAGTCAAGATCACAATCACGCGCATTTTCCTATGCATCAAGGGAATGTACTTACGGAAAATAGAAGAGCACGCTTTCTCTGACCAACGTTAGTGTCATCAGTTGTATGCTCCGAATTTCTTCCTTGATATTGGAGACCGTAAAATCCCCGAAACGATTAAACCTCAATTTCATACTCGAGTAAAGCAAGTAAAGCGTGAGTCCAAGGAAAATCGCTACAGTGAAACATGAGATCCCGGATAACTTTCGAATAAGAGGACTAACTGGCAAACCAGGATTGCTATGATCCTTTTGGTTTGTCAGTTTCATATAGTGGAATAATTGTGAGAATTCCCACCAGGCTGGGAGTATCCGCGCAGAGTTAGGAGGTCCGCCTAAGCATACAACCTGGCCAAGGAATTCCGGCTGGAGGCTCGACCACCCTTCTCTCCATCCATGGGGCCACCTGTAACATATGCGATACACTCGACCTAAAATGTTGCAGGTCATTCTGTGAGGCTCACTTGTGAAGAATTCTGCAGCAAAATTGACGGACCAAATATTCAACTGGTATAAAGGGGGCAGGGGGATCAAGAAGAATGTGAGTAGGACAATTCATATCTCACTGATGACCAGATGCGAGAACGAGTTGGTGTTCTCGTAATCCGTTCGTGCCATAGAACATAGCTTGATACATGGCATTGAGACGGATCACCCGGATGACGTTGACGAGGGTCGTATACAATATTCTCCCTCCGCTAGCAACACAGTAAGCCAACGGCTGCGAAGTTGTGAATCGATGGAACTCACAAAATCAAGTAGTAGTAGTAGTAGTAGTAGTAGTAGTAGTAGTAGTAGTAGACCTTGCAACTTACCGCGTGAAATGGTTAGTAACTTCAAAATTGGTTCGTGTGAATGCATACAACTAATAATGACGTCAGTCAACAAAGACATATGAACTCGCTGATTCGCGTACAGGTACAGAAAGACCCCGGTGGTTGTTCACTGGCATTCCATTGAATAGTAGGATACAGTGAATGAAAGACACCCTACCGGCAAAAAAATCCCCTGCGCGAGTTGGGACAGCAGCCAAGATAGGAACTTCCTGAGACTTACGTAAGGTAAAAAAGAGCATAGTAACGGCCAAAAAGAAAATGTGTTTGAAGTAGGACGCGACGAACTCTGCTGCGCCAAGAGATATACTCGTAGTGTCGCAGTAATATCTCCAGACAAGGGGAACCTGCAAGAAAATGCTACGTCAGGACGCGAGGATAGAGGCCAGACATAACAAACCTCTCTACCGAGATTGGTTAGGATGTCATAGACGAGGAACGCCGCACAAGATACTATATCATCGGTGACACGCGAAGTTTGAGGTCAGTGCGGGATCAAATAAGTCAGAACTTAGGGTTTCGTTCACGGGTAACATATGTAGTTGACGAGACGAATCTGACGGAGGTTGTCGTGCAAAACTTGAAGTTCCTCTTCTGCTGTTGCAGACATCGTGTATTAGAGGTGCGGTCGCCAACCAAAGGACAGTAGGTCGATTCTGAAACTGATGTACGCTGGGCCAACGGGCATCGTCGTTTAATATATTAGAGTCCCGGGATCATATCAGTCTGCCGGCGCGCAGTTGGCGTGCAGTCACACCCACTCCTGCTTTCAAACACTGCCAACCTGCACCGCCAGCCAGCGGAGCACGACCATGATTTTTGTTACTGTCATCGCACTCTACCTCACTTACCGCTTGTATCGATTTTTGCACGGGCTTCATGTCAGTTGTGCCTGGCAACCCCCCTTCACATTCACCTCACTGACACCGTGCAGAAAACCTCCTACCTTCCTGGTATAAGACCGTTGTTCGATCCAACTGTCCCTCCAGGAAACTTCATCCCAACATGCTGGTTCAACTATGGCTTTCTTTGGACCTGGGTTTTTCGCAAGACAGGCAGGCCCGTGATTCCTCCTTCATTTTCGTGCAGCTGATTCCCTCTTCAGAGCAGTTTAGACCCAATTACGAGGTACTCTCCTCTGTGCCTATATTGTCTGGCACACCGTTCTACTACCTTAGGTCTGTCGAAGTAGTCAGGCAGTTCCTTGGAAACGAAATCAAGAACCAGATCGCTAAACCCGACTCCTTCACAACCGCTCGGTTAGTCTTCCCTTCCCTCCTCAGGTAAACCCCTCTTAATGTGATGTAATGCAGTTTATGGGGCCACAGTGTAGCTTCCCAACATGGCGAGGACTGGAAACGCCACAGGCGAGCCGTTGTTCCCGCCTTCAACCAGACGATGTAAGTGTTTCGTCTCTTTCTCCTTACAGTAACTCCACTATCACGTTTATACAGGTTCTCTCGTGTGGCAGAGGAAACGGTTGCTGTATACAACGACTTAGTCACATCGCAAGGATGGAGCAGTGCCACTCGCGATGTCATCGTCCACATCGATCCTCTCATTATAAGAGTATGCCCTTTCTGTTTAGTATATTGAGCGATTTGAAAGTGAAATATTTACAGTTTACCTTCGTCATTTTATCACGTTGCGGTTTTGGTATACCCATCTCTTGGAAAACCAACGAAGATGACTCAGACGATGCTATTTTTGAGAAGGCTCTTGCTACTGCGTCAGAGACATTCATCCCCCGTATTTCCATCCCAAATTGGCTTTATGCCCTGCCTATCAGAGCGTCAGTTAAATCAAATTTACATTGCCATATGTTGAAATCATGCCATGCCAGCTTACAGGAGATTGACAATGCTTGGAACACGGTCGTCATACTCATGCGCAAGTTTGCTCAGGCTCGTCGGTCTGATCTAGCCGGTTTCAACGAAGACGGTGACAGAACCAGGGACGTCTTTACCCGGCTTGTACTTGCTGCTGATGAAGTTGGGAAACATGCTCTCGATATTTCCGAAGTTGTGAGTTGCTAGGGTACTCATCACTCTGGATAGGTTTTTGGAGGACTGCCACAGGCACCCAACATGCTCACGTTGCTTTTCGCCGGGCATGGTAAGGCGTTCTCGAATGCACTTTGCGAGCCCTCATGCCTATTTTCAGAGACGACGATGAGTTCACTTATCACGACGCTGATGATGCTTGCGCTTTGGCAAGACGAGCAGGAGAAAGCTCACGAGGAGATCGTCCGCGAGTTTCCTAAGGGAACACTACTTGTGCGCCGTTCCCTCCAATTTTACCGCAGCGAATGTGCTCAGTCTGACATGATATATATCGGTCCCCTAGACGACAAACGTTTGCAAAGGGCTGAAATATGTGACAGCATGTGTAATGGAATCCAATAGGTTGATTCGTACGTCTCGACTCCTTACACCTAGCCATCCTCGTTTGTTCACGCGCCTATTCGTAAATGTGCTGTCATCTCGCTCACATGTTTGGTAGCGGCAACGGTGTACCTCGGCCGAGCGACGACGACAACGGAAATTCACATTACAATCAGACGTCCAAGGCCCGAGACGATTGTTATCCCAAAGGACGCGATGGTAGTCATTGATCAATTCTCCATCCGTGCGTAATAAAACAATAAATTCATCCTGTCAGTCTAGCCGGTTGGGTTTGCTGACGGGTTACACCGATACAGTTCACAACCCAATCGACTTCCCGGCACCAGACGTTTACAATCCTTCTCGTTTCTTGGATGAAGTAGACAGTGACATGCCTATGACCATCTTTGGCACTGGTCCGCGGGCATGTCTTGGCAGGAAATTTGCGATGACGGAAATGGTGTGCTTCATTGCACTTTTTCTGAGGGATTGGAAGGTGGATGTTGTACCAGAAGACCTGGTGAATGTCGAGCGTGAGGCTCTCAAGGGTTCACGAACTCAAGCCACCGGGACCAAGATGAGCGAGAAAGAGAAAAGAGAAAGGTTGCAGGAGCGACTCATGTCTGATGCGATGCTCAGAGGGACAACATTCGCGTTGGGAAAAGTGAGATTATGTGTGAGCGCAAGACACTAGTACTTGATAGAGACCATTGTTGTATTTGGTGTGTTACCTGCTGATTACCGTATCGGTGTATAATATTTTGTACAGTTCGCGGGTTGGAAAACCGCTTGCTTTACGCTCCGTATATGGCGGAAGGTCAGAAAGTTGGTGTCCAATATTCTTATATACTTGGGAGAATGGTTCACGTCTTCAGTGCTATGTTAGAGGCCGTGACTACGCAAATTGTGGCGCCAAAGAATTACACTTGTTGGCTTCCACTTTGGGAGCACTGTCGGCTCTGTATGACTTGGAGTATCGGAAAATAGTTCGATTCCTTCAGGACCGCAATGATTCCTCTCGCGACTGTCTGGTAAAGCGCCAGTTTATGCTCTCGTACATAACTGTTGACCCCACAGTAAAGGAGTGCTGGAATTGATACGGACCGAGTTGACCTTGCATAGACATGACACAGTGCAGAAGCCAATGGTCGGTGACGACTTGCCTCAAGCCACAGATTGAAGCTCTTCGATCACGCTCTTGGCGAATTGTTGATCGAGTCGCTGCTGACATTCATAGACGACCACGATCCAACGGTCAATGGTCGTGGGACGGAAAAAAATTACTTATCGATCCTAACTGTGGATTTTTCCCGCTTGGGTCGTAGATCCCCTTCATGGCTACACCCGACACGCTGTGAATCATGATGGCCCGATCAACTGCGGCCATCTCAAGCTAGTAGCAATTCGAGAAGATTAAAGTGACGTATACTCACTTTTGCGTTGACGTCCCCGGTATGCGTGTGAGATGCCCTCGAACTGCAGCGGACTCGATCAACACCCAGATGTAAAGTAATGATGAAGTGTATTTGCAATTTCAAGTTCGGTGCCTACGAAATGTCTCATCAACAGATCGTCGCATGTTACGACAAAAGATGATCTATAGCGACAGCTGGTATCGGGATGTGACACATAACATTAACGTAGCTTATGCACTGCAGTAGCACCTAGCACAAACAAACACAGATGTGCTTGACGGCGCCCAACCCGGCCTGAACTCTGAAGATCGAACCGTCTGTCATGCGTGCGTGCTCGCATGCGACGCCATCAGCGAGCGGGACGCAAAGTTGATCGGCTCTATCTCTCGACTCGGCGCGTCGTGGGATGGTCGGGTGAAACTTTCTCGGGTGTGAATTATCAGTCGCGAGGCCTGGTCATCATCCAATAATTGATTCATAAAGCGGGTGTACTCAGGATGGAACTTACACAGAAAGAGTAGATGGCTATAATTATCCTGTAGCAACGTGGCAAAGTCAACTATACGATCTAGACAAAAGAACTAGAGACATACGGAGCAGTGACGGTGACAATAGTCGTGCGATAGAGAGCGATGAGCGGAACGGTGGAAACCAATATTCCTAGGTTCAGGAGGTATGCGGTTAGTTCTCTATTTGAAGCACACAGCACATTCGTAGGCTTACCAAACATACTGCGAGTCAAGGTCACAATCACCGTCACTCTCTCCTATGAACCAAGGTAATGTAGAGAGCTACACTTACGGGAAATAGAAAAGCACGCTATCTCTGACCAAAGTTAGCGTTATTGGCTGAACGTTCCGGATTTCTTCCTTAATATTGGAGATCGTGAAATCCCTGAAATGTTTAAGCCTCATTCTCATACTCGAGCGGAGCAGGTGGAGCATGAGTCCAAGGAAAATCGCTACAGTAAAACATGAGATCCCTGATAAATTTTGAATAGGAGGACCAACTGGCGACAAGAATTGCCATGATACTTTTGCTTTGTCAGCTGTCTATAGTGGCATAATGGTGAGGAATTCCTACCAGGCCGGGAGTGACAACGCAGGGTTTGCATCTTCGCTAAGCATGCAACCTTGCCAGGGAATTCCGGCTGGAGGCTCAACCACCCTTTTCTCCATCCATGTGGCCAGTATAGCGCATACGATGAATTCGATCTAAAAACGTTTGCAGATTACCTCAAGAGGACCACACATAAAGTTTTTTGCTGCAAGATTAACGGACCAAAATTTGAACTGGTTTAAAGATGGTGAAGGATCAAAGTAGGCATGTGTAGGACAGATAATAACTCACTGATGACTACAGAGGCAAGAAAAACTTGGTGTTTTCGTAATCCCGTCGTGCCATGAAAGATTTGATACATAGCATTAAGACGGATCACCAGGATAATGTTGACGAGCGCCGAGTACAATACTTCTCCTCCACTAGTAACAAAGTAAGCCAATGAGTGCAAAGTTGTGCATGGGAACTCACAAAGTGAGAAAGTAGTAGTAAACTTTGCAGCTTGCCGTGTGAAATGGTTAGTATCTGCGAAACTGGTTCATGTGAGTACATACAACTAAAGATAGTGTCAGTCAACGAAGAAATATGAGCTGATTCGCATACAGGTACTGAGAGGCCCTGGCAGTTGTTCACTAGCATTCCATTGAATAGTGAGATAGTGAGATACAGTGCAAGAAAGACGATGGACACTGTACCAGTAAAAAATCCCCTGTACAAGTTGCTGTGACAGGAACTACAGCTAGGATAGAAATGAAACTTACACAAGGTAAAGAGGAGCATAGTAACGGCCAAAAATAAAAAGTGTTTGAACAAGCATGCGACGAGCTCTGCCACGCCAAGACAGGTGCTCCTCTTCAGTGTTACGGTAATATCTCCAGATAAAGGGAATCTGCAAGATAATGCTGCGTCAGGACGCAAGCGGTGTCGATGAATGGAACACAGTGCAGCAGACCTCTCTGTCGAGGTTGGTTAGGATGTCGTAGACGAGGAATGCCGTACAAGATACTGTCACGGGTTCAGGGTAAGTGTGGGATCAAATGAGTAGCGGTGGATTTCATTTACATGTAACGTAGTTGACGAGACGAATCTGTTGGAGGTTGTCGTACAAGGTTTGAAGTTCGTCTTCTACTGAGGTGGACATGATGGACCTGCAGATGAAGATGCAGCTGACCACGGGATGAATCGATGGAATTTAGGACACTTCGGCCATCATATGCATCGCCGGATTGCTATACTCCTCTTTCGCGTTACAGTAACATCTCTAGATAAGGGGAATCTGCAAGGAAATGCTACCTCAGAAACACATGCTAGAGATGTCAAGTATTGAGGTGCAATGTTACAGACTTCTCTGTCGAGGTTGGCTAGGATGTCATGGGTGAAGAACGCCGTACGAGATACTATCGCAGAGTGTGAAGCGAGTGCGGGATCAGATAAGCGGTGAGGTGCGGCTGACCTATGGATTTTAATAGATGAAACTTGTAACACTTCTTGGATGCCAGGTCAGCGGTATTCGGCCATTATATGCATCGTGATTGCAATATCATTGGTACCGCCTTTGGACAGGCCATACTTAACTATGGGCGCACATTCGCACCCACTCCTGCTATTAAACACTGGCGATTGCACCGCCGGCCGTAAAACATGATTTCATCGCACTCGGCCTCACCCTCCGCTTGTATCAATTCTTGCATGGGCATCATGTCAGTCCAAGCTCGCAAACCCCCCATCAAATTCATCTCACTGACTGCAAACAGAAAATCACCTGCCTTCCTGGTATAAGACCATTGTTTGATCCAACCTGTATCTCCACGGTGTCCTCATTCATTGTCGTTGTGTGCTTTAGCGGTCTAGAAACAAAAATGAAGGATGTGTGACGATAGTTCTGATGTCGAGCTTCCCTCTGAAACATTTCACTTTTCATTTGCATCAAAGGGGCACAGACTGACCTAAATTCGATCTTCGATTGGCGCGTGTTCCACGATCCTACGGTAGACATCGATGAGCAGTGACTAAGAGACCACTGGCATCACCATTGCCAAGAGTCCGTTTACTGGACCGCGTGGTCCCTTCCCCTATGCGCACATGTACGATGATGTACCTACCGCTTCCGTGACGGCAGCCGTCGTGTGCCGTCGTGTCCATCCTGATAGATACTCCCAAATAGGGAGGGAGGCACCGACGTTAGTGTAAGAGTAGGGTGAGGTTTCCTATACTAAACAAGGCTGGTCGGAGATCAAGAGAAGCCCTAAACAGAGAACTTACATATTAGGAGCGGCCTAAGTACCGCATTCCTAGACCAACGCGTCGTCAATGATGAGTTGATCGATGACAAGCTATGACGGACGCCCTGAGAGATATAATATAATTTACGACACCATAGCTTTCAGCTTCAGCCTCGAACAAAGTTGCCCCAGTAATTGCAACTCCAGGTTCGGCGCCGACGAAATGCCTCATCAACAGATTGCCACATATTACAACAGAAGATGATCTACAGCGACAACTGGTACCGGGATGCAAGGCATAACAACACTGTAGCTCGCGCAGTAGCGCCCAACACAAACAGCTAGCTTGACGGTACCCAACGCTGAAGGTCGAACGACTGTCACACATGCGTCCCCGCCTGCGATGCCATCAACGAGCCGGACGCAAAGCTGATTGGCCCAAACTCGGGAGTCGACGTGTCGTGGGATGCTCGGGACGCTCGGGCGAAACTTTCTCGGGTGTGAATTATTAGTCGCGAGGCCTGGTCATCATTCAACAATTAATCCATGAAATGGGCATATTCAGAACGGAACTTACGCAGAAGGAGTACAGGGCTATAATTATCCTGTAGCAACGTGACGAAGTCAAGCATACGATTAAGAGAATAAACTAGAGACATACGGAGCAGTGACATTGGCAATAGTCGAGCGGTAGAGAGTGATGAGAGGAGCGGTGGAAACCAATATCCCTAGGTTCAGTAGGCATACAGTTAGTTCTCTATCTGAAACACACGACGCTTTCGTGGGCTTACCAAACATGCTGCGAGTCAAGGTCACAATCTTTCCCGATGCATCAAGGGAATGTGGAGACTACACTTACGGGAAGTAGAACAGCACACTATCTCTGACCAACGTTCGCGTCATTGGCTGGATGTTCCGAATTTCTTCCTTGATATTGGAGATCGTGAAATCTCCGACATCTTTAAACCTTGATTTCATACTCGAGTAGAGCAGGCGGAGTGTGAGTCCAAGGAAAATTGCTACAGTAAAATATAAGATCCTTGATAGCTTTTGAATAGAAGGACCAACTGGCAACCAGAATTGCTGTGATGCTTTTGGTTTGTTAGTTGTATGTGGTGGTATAATGGTGAAGAGTTCCTACCAGGCCGGGAGTGACAGCGCAGCATTTGCTTCTTCGCTAAGCATGCAACCTTGCCAAGGAATTCCGGCTGGAGGCTCTATCACCCTTTTCTCCATCCATGCAGCCAGTATAGCACATATGGTAATCTCGATCTAAAAAGGTTGCGAATTACTGTGAGGACCACAAGTGAAGATTTCTGATGCAAGATTTACGAACCATAAATTCAACTGGTTAAAAGAACGTGGAAGATCAAGATGCGCGTGGGTAGGACAAATCATAGCTCACTGATGACTACAGAGGCAAGAAAAACTTGGTGTTTTCGTAATCCCGTCGTGCCATGAAAGATTTGGTACATCGCATTAAGACGGATCACCAGGATAACGTTGACGAGCGTTGAGTACAGTACTTCCCCTCCACTAGTAATAGAATAAGCCAATGAGTGCAAAGTTGTGCATGGGAGCTCACAGAGCGAAGATGTAGTAGTAAACCTTGCAGCTTTCGGTGTGAAATGGTTAGTATCTACAAATCCGCCCCATATGAATGCGTACAACTGATAATAACTTCAGTCAACGAAGAAATATGAACTCGCTGATTCACATACAGGTACAGAGAAGCCCTGGTGACTGTTCACTGGTATTCCGTTGAGTATGAAGACACAGCGCGAGAAAGACGGTGGACACCGTACCAGCAAAAAAGCCCCTGCGTAAGTTGTTATGACAGGAAAATGGCTGGGAGAGGAATGAGACTTACACAAGGTAAAGAGGAGCATAGTAACGGCCAAAAATAAAAAGTGTTTGAACAAGCATGCGGCGAGCTCTGCCACGCCAAGACAAGTGCTCCTCTTTAGCGTTGTGGTAATACAACCAGATAAGGGGAATCTACAAGAAAATGCTGCGTCAGGATGCAAGTGTTGCCAAATAGTGAGGCGCAATGTAGCACACCTCTCTATCGAGGTTGGTTAGGATATCATAGACGAGGAATGCCACACAAGATACTATCGCGGAGTCCAGGGTAAGTGCTTGTAAGTGTGAGATCAAATGAGTAGCAGTGGATCTCATTTACTCGTAACATAGTTGAGGAGACGAATCTGTTGGAGGTTGTCGTACAAGGTTTGAAGCTCGGCTTCTACTGTGGACATGATGGACCTGCAGGTGGAGGTGCAGCTGACCACGGGATGAATCGATGGAACCTATAATGCATCTTCGAAATCGGGCCAGGCAAGCACGGCAGTATTTAACCTTCGGCCATCATATGCATCACCGGATTGCATACATAATCAATGGTATCGCCTTTTACAGCATAGATATGGGCACATGACAGTCACACCCGCTCCCCACTCTTCGCTGTTCATGTGAAGGGTAGATACTAGTACCGTAGCGTGTAGATACGGACCAGCACAATGATTCGATTTGTATCATTGTGGTCCACATCAAGCGCGCCCTACGTACTTAGTTAACCGAGATCGTACACTAAGTATCAGAATGCAAGTCGTCGAGCTTGATTATTACTTGTTATCGACGAGGCTATGCGACGCACAGCCTAGTACGTACGGAACTGATGGCAGTCTTCTGAGGAACATGCTCGGTTATGGTATAGTACATATGTAGTCCTGAAAGTTTGCAGTGGCTCGTCATTCATTAACATTGTTGTGCTGAAACAAATCTTGTTGACGGAAATGGGGAATAAAAGGGAGCAAAGCAAGTCTCGATACACTTACCAAGGCACCTAATACTCACCCCGAACCCAATTCTTGATGTGCTTCACAATCTCACGGCAGATAAAAGGCTCCAGCGGAAGGTATTCTTGGATTTGAAATTCCATTGCCGGAGTCGGATTTGCTGCCGTGCGGTCGCTTCCCTCTTGCGAAATATCATTCGCACTTCCCGTGATGGCCTGATGTCCGCTGCGGCGCCCATATTCCAAAGTGGAAACTTTCCGAAGAAGAATGTCTTGGATGTTGCGCGTGTTAGTGGCTACCTATAGGTGCGCATGCTGACTTGGTGTAGTGCGAAACTTGAAGCTACTCTGAGACGGTCCAAGCAGGAGAATAGGGTACTTACATAACGAGTACCGAGCAAAGGTACTCACTGACCATCCTTCATCTTTGTTGGGTAATGAGCCATCACTTTGTACTTCTGGCCCTTCAGCATGTGCAATTTCATTAGGTGTTCTTCATTTCATCTTAGCTCCCCTACAGGTCTTATTGATGCCATCTGCCTCAACCAACTGGCTGCCTGATGTAGCCACTCCATCATCAAACAACCAAGTGTCACTTGGTATACTTGCCCCTTCAGTATGTTCTGACCCTATGTCTAAGAGGTTATACATGTTTTTTTTTGGGTAGAATATGACACAGTCATTGTTTGTCCCTCCTCCCCTAGCTCATCAATGCTGCCCTTTTGGTATGAAAGCACTGTACCTCCCTGCACCTCCTCCTGTCTTTGTACTTCCAGGCTGCCAACACCATGCTCAAGATACTGCTGCAATGCCACATCACCCTCAGCAGTTGCGAGGATTTGGACGATGGGCCGGAATGGACCACGATGTGTGCCCAAAAGGATCCCCAGCCTTCGTGTTATCGATCCAAACACGTAAGTGCCGTCCCATCGATTGGAGATCGAGTCGGTCACGGAAGCAAAAAGGTCGTTTCGACTACATATAAGTACCCACATCAGTCGCTGGTTCGTAATCCAAGCATTTGACCCAGCAGTTTCCCTCCTTGAAAATCGAAACAAACCTGTATCTCGCTATCATTACTTCCAGTGGTTCTGGTTGTCGTAATCAGGAAGTTGGAAGCCCTCCAGGCGCTCCTGGACACACGGTGAGAAAACACATGATATATTTTTTCTGGGAGTTTCAGCAACATATTGTTAAAGTAATATTGGGCACTTGTACTTCTATAGAGGGAGTGTTAGTTGATGAGGGTTTCTTTATGAAAGTGACAGCAATTGTTTGTGGAAGATGGGTTCAGTTGGAGCAGCATCAGGAAATTAAGACTTTACTATTTTTGACCTTTTTGTGACTTTTTTTTTGACTTTTTTGTGACTATTGTGACTATTTGTGACTTTTTGGGAAGGAACCTACTATCTGTACTTTTTTTTTGACCATATACAGCATTTTGAAGAATGAAAACAGAACAGAGTCTATTGAGACAACTAAGTGATGATATATCTAAGCCAAGAAGACTAGAAAATGTCTGAAAATTCAGAGATATTGAGCCATTGGTGTGATGCACACTGTCTGAGAGAAAAATCACAATATCTCTTTGGAACCTCAATCAATTTGAATGTATGTGGTACCTACTGAAAGCTATGAATTAGGTGGTTTGAACAAGACCAAAATCAGCAAGAAAAGTGCAGCCATGCCTGCAGGACATGGGTAATGATAGTAGATTCCTTCCCAAAAAGTCACATTAGTCACAAAAAGTCAAAAATAGTAAAGTGTTATTTTCCTGATGAGTCTGCGAAAGTGTGTATTGAAAGTAATACAGAACATCAATGTTTATAGGAGTGGGAGAATGTCTATAAAAGTGTGTTGGAGAACAGTGTAGGATAAGGAGCAAATGGTCTGTGATCAGTCTAATATTCCACAAGGCTAATTACACAGGGTGGAAGGTGACATGACTGCTGGATGGTATGGGAGATTGTTATACATCTGTATATGGGCAGAGAAGAGTGTACGAGCAGTCTTCAATATGATGTGGAGGATGAGTGGGACGCATAATGAAGTAGAGTCACAAGCCAGGCCACCGAGCGTCCAAACGGCTTCGACGACACCCAAACGGTAGAATATGGCTATGGGCTGTGGGCGACGACGACGAACTGTTGCGAAGTCGAGAGATAACCAACCACGATCATTTAGGCCTTAGAGATCAGATCTCTCCAAGCAAAGCCTGGGAGGGGATGGTTTCTTCGCAGGAAATGAAGCTGTTCCACAAACGCACAGACTGAGCTAGTGCAGCATACCCGACCCATCACTGAAATCATTCTGCACGGTATCACGCTCAAAAGTTTACTCTCGTCGTACAAACTCATAACTGATGGTACCATCGTATTCGTCGCCGACTCCAGCAATGTCAATATACAAGCAGCGCACGCCACTGCCCATGACATGCTCACGTACAACTATGTGTTTCCAAGTGGTCGTGCCGTAGCGTGATGAATGGTCGAATACGGGCGTGTATGTGCCGAACTTCAATTAACAGACTCGTTTACTGTAATTCTCAATTTTGGGTATCATCACCCTACGGTACATCCTAAAGCAAGCCTGGTCGCAGTCCAGACTTCGGCAACATGAATTTCGCAATTGGGTTGTTCCTACAACTAACTGTAACACGATGCTGGTGTCCAAACCGGAACTAAATAAACAGTAGTGCATCATGTACAGATCAATTCAATCAAGCCAGAAGAATAACTGTCACGTGCAGTGTATAAGGAATGGAGTGCTCGTAACTGTATAGATGAGCAGTTAAATAGATAAGGCACCATATAAACTGAGTGTATATGTAGAGAGAGAGATCGTCTGCAGTTGGATGAAGGGTACAGTGGCCAGTGTTCTTGAACAAGCGCATGAACGAACAAATGGAACAGGTATGATGATCCATCCAGTCCAGTTTGTTTATCCCAATGGTTTCTGGGGGATCAAAATCTCTCCCCACGGCCACGAGATGTCACATCGAGGTATATATCGTCACGTCGTAGGAGGTTAGAGAACAAGAACGTATCCCACCAGAAGAGTTACGAACGCGGCCAGGGATGCCGAGAGACGTTTATGAGACGACAATGCGCTCGAGGTCGTTGGAGTTGGGAACGGAAGACCGTTTGTACCGGTAATAGAAGCTGGGTTGGCGCCAGAGGAACCTGTAACACGAGAAAGTTCTAAGGCACTCACCAAACGGAAGCTGAACACGTACCACTTGGACTCGTGTCTAACCCGCTCGCAAGCGCCGCGAAACCCACGGAGGCTGGGTTAGCCCGAAATACGGTGTAAACATTCTTGAGAAAGGTATCTCCCACGACCCATGAGGGAACTCCCGAGCCGGTGCCAACGGTGCTTCCGATGTCGAAGATACCTCCTACACACATCGGCGTACCAGCCGAGTTGGTGCCGAATTCGCCCAGGTTCATGTCATCAGAGCTCATAGGCCAGTCTGTGCCACCGAATGAGATGGAAACAGTCACACTCGTGGTACATGCTACGTGCGGGGAGAATCAGAGAACAAAAGACGGAGAGCAGACGGAAATGCGTACGGAAAGCATACATGCCAGCATACTGGCCAGAGAGGGCTTCTGCACCGGACACAGCAGCCCAAATCTCTGACACAATGGAAGTTGGAGCGCCGATGAGGGTTGTTCCCGTGTCAATGGCAGCAAGACCTTGGCTGGACGATATTTGAAGGGTCTTGCCCTGGACCGTAATAGCTACAAATATGTATATAGCAGCGACCCTTCGAATGCGCGCTGACTCCCGAAAACTTACTGCTGACTTGTTGAAACCAATAAGAAGGTGTCGACCCACTAGGCATATCGATATACTCGATGTTACCGGTGTAAAGACTGGTGTTAGTTCCACCAAGGGTGAGAGAGCCACCCGGTGCGTCTGTTATTACAGTGGAAGAAGTCACCCATCGTTCGAGGTAGAAACCGAAGAGAGGTTCTGCCAACATATTTGAATTGTACAGTGTTTCCCAGAAGGGTGACGTTTGGAGGGAAGAAATGGGTTGGAAACCGAGACCGATGATGCCCGAAACACCAGGCGCGAGCAGGTTGTCAACGACGGTTGTAGCTGACACTGAAAAAGAACGTCTCAGACGTTGGGAGAGTCGGCGACAGGTAATGAAAGTGACGTACTGAACACTTGGCCCGGTACGGAGAACCCACCGAAGCCGACTGAATCTTGGGCGGCGGTGCCCTTGACCGAGCCAGATCCATAAGTGATTGTTAGTTGCGAGTTAGAGACCTTGTAAGTCGATGACTTGGAGGGGTCAAAGGTAGTCATGTCCGATGTGCAGGCTGTACATGACGTCGTAACGACCCAGAGGTCCGCTGATCCTGTGTATGGCAGGAATAAGAAAGGGGTCAGATTGGGTATGGAGGGAGAAAAAGACTAACCGGTATCGAGAATGACCTGAAAGGTTTGTGGCCTAGAGAAGTTAGTGAGGACCAGATAGTTGTGTTCGTGAGTGATACGCACGGCGTTCCTATAGTGATTTCTCCGGAGTAGCTGGAGTCGTTTTGCTAAAAAAAAGACGCCGGTGGATGATCCATGGCGAGGGATCAAAAGAAGGGGGGTCGGCGCACCTCGTCGGTGATAGGTATAGAAGCTGAGTTTCCTGCTCTCTTCTTGGTGGTCGACCCGATGCCGTATTTTCCTTTGAGGGCTGCAAGTGCCTTTGGGAGGTCTTCGACATTGTGGGGGTTGCGTCTGAGAAGAGGGACGTGGATGGTGTCGGGGCTAGGTTGGGGCTGAGGAGCTGCCAGCACAAAAGGAAAGACAGACAAAACGAAGAGCACCGCGAAGGGGATCATCGTCGGCAGGGAAGGAAAGGACTGGCTAGCACGGATGTGGTTACTTTTTGTTTTATAATATGGTCGACAGAGGCCATTGACGTCGTACCTTGATCGTGGCAACGTCTTGGCTGTGCAGCCAGATTCAAGACGAGGCTTAGTCTGGATTACAACAACGTCCATGAAAAGATCACCACAGGAGCTGCTGGCATCACAGCCCAAGAAACCGAAGGTGTCCTCCGATCGTCAGACAGATGGCGAACCCAACGAATGGAGCCGCGTAGAGAAACGCAAGGCTAAGAAAGCCAGAAAGATCGATGCAAAACACGAAGTGTGTATGTCCGCCCATTCCCATGCATTTTTAATTGTCGGTTCCCCTCAGGCGTTGGTGCCAAGATTCCTGTATGTGAATGGCGAAATCGTAAAGAGAAGAGATGCTATACACATCGACGTATGTCTCTGCATCCTCGTTCCATCCCGTCTTGACCCCCTGCATCCGTAGGACGTCAGAGACTTGGTCCTGCACATCATCGCAGACGCACCACCCCCAAACTGGGCCAAGGTAGAGGTACATGCCACCACATCCCGTCTTGCTTCAACAGCGTTGACTTCTCCCGTTAGAATGCGCGGTCAATACAAAGAGTCGTTGTCCTCCTCGTACCAGGAATTCTACCCTCCTTCTTGTGTCTTCCCCCGCTCCCAACGTCAGCAACCGCCAATCCTAACATACCTCTGGCCATACCCCTCCCATCGGAGTCACATACTCCTATCCCATTCATCGCATCCACCTTTAGTCATGCTTGTCCGACACGTGCACCAGGGGACCAAACCAGAATGTATTCCGTCCTCGGCGCGTTTTTCCAAGGTCCCGTAAGCAGCGAGGAGAAACGCAAACGGATCGAAGCTCGCTTAGCGTGTATGTCCCTCTCTTCATATCCTTGCAGCATCTCATGTCCCTATCTGCAGCAGAACGCGCCGCCGGGAAAGACCCTTCTTTATATGTCCTTACATTGCAAGAGATGATCGAGAATGACTATCCCATACCATCGTACATGGCAGACGTGTTCGAGAAGCCTCCAGGTTGGGTAGAAACCCCTCGTCCCGAACACGATTCCATCTTGTCAATACCTGCAAAACGCCCAAGAGTGTATGCCGTAGACTGCGAGATGGTATGTCGCATACAGCGCTCCTCCTATACAGCACCTTACAGAAATGCTTCTAGTGCATGACAGAAGACGGCAAGGAGCTCGCTAGGGTCTGTGTGATTGAATATGAATCGGATATCGTCGTATACGATAAACTCGTCAAGCCTTCGAAACCCGTCACCGATTACCTCACGCGGTACGTCTACGTCTCTGCGACTCCCAGCCAAACTTGCTAATTGCTCCGTTTACTTGCACAGTTGGTCCGGCATAACAGAAGCCCACCTGGCAACAGCTACAACAACACTTTCTGATGTCCAAGCACATCTTCTCACGATCCTCTCACCTCCCGGCGGCCCAACCTCCGTACTGGTGGGACATTCCCTCGAGTCTGACCTCAAAGCTCTCCGACTGTGTCATCCCCTCTGCATCGACACCGCACTAGCCTACCACCACCCGCGCGGCCGGCCGCTCAAGCCGGGTCTGGCATGGCTCACAAAAAAGTGGTGTCATCGCGAAATTCAGACTCGCGGAGAGGGGGGACATGATCCGGAAGAAGATGCTAGGGCCTGCGTAGACTTGCTACGTCTCAAAGTCCAGAATGGTGCAGGGTTTGGAGAGTTCAAGACTGATTACGAGAGTATTTTCGACAGGATGAGTCGTGCAAGCGGGAGGGGAGGACCTGGGAGCGTTAAAAGTGCTGTGGTCGACCTCGGAAATCCAACCGCAATGCATGGTGCCAGAGCAAATACCTCGCTTGGGTGTACAACTGATGAGGAGGTGCTAGAGCGGCTGATTCAGATTGTACCCGCCCATGAATTCACGTTTGGGAGATTCATGGGTTTGGCAGATGTTTTGGGATGTAAGACGTCACGTCTTTTGATATCTAGACTGACTGATGGACTGGCTACTGTAGGGGTGACACCGAAATCTACGACAGACGTGCCGGCGCCACCAAAGCCTTTTGTCGAGCCAACTCCGGAAGCACTCCTTGCTGCGCAAACCAAGCTCAACTCACACCTCACGACGCTGTATGCTTCGTTGCCGCCGCGCACCGCGGTTGTCGTTTTCACGGGTCACTCAGATCCGAGGCATATGTCCGCGCTCAACGCACGTAAATCCGCGTTTGAGGGCGCGATACGGAGTGGAAAAAAGGCAGAGGAAATGGATAGGAGCGAGTGGTGGACTGCAGCTGATGGGAGAGAGCTCGAGGAAGAAGTTACACGTGCAAAGAGAGGGCTGCTGTTCTTGGGTATTAAGTAGATTAGACGGAGCTCCAACAGGGTTCTTCACGTCTTGATCGTAATTCTCAGACTGTCTCCCTGCTACGCACCCGGTCCTGTCACAGTGCATCGGCGACCGCGGAAGGCACTTGAGATATCCAAACGGAATTGCGGATGGGATTCCATCGCGAGCATCGAAATCAATCATCCCAATCCAACCCCAAGACGTCACTTCTTCCACCTCTGACAGCAGTCTCGATGGCCTCGGCAAGCATCCTGAACGCCTTTGTGTCGTCATCCGTCTCGTGGCCCTGCATTTGGGTCTCGTTGATGTTCCCGAGTTTCCATCTGCCACCGTGTCTGCTGTCGATGCCAAGTGCGCATTGCAGCGCTCCCTCTCGTTCTGGACCGCGCAACTTGTCGATAGAGGTGAGAAGCGTTCGGAGGCGAGGGTTTGTAGTGAGGAGAGTGCGGATGGTGGGGGAGGTGGCTGGTGTGGCACAGGTGGGTGAGGTGTAGAGACGAAGAAAGAAAGATAAGAGACCCACCGATTGCTTCATATTGGTGGAGTGTCAGTGGTTTTGGGTCATCCCTCTTTAGAGGATCATCGTGCGTCGAATCGTCGGGGACGTATGGCCATTTCAAGGATGTGAGAGGACGGAGGGTGGGAGGGTCATCTAGACTCTCGGATGACTCGGCGGGACGGTAGTCGACTATGCATGCGCGATAAGAGACGAGCGAAAACTTGATGGCAAGTACATACCCTGGGTAGCAGGAGTACTGCTAGCGGGGGCCTCTGGTCTCGGGCTCAGCATCTTCTTCGCACATATCTCTGTGAACAGGAGATTCTTTTCAAACCGGATCAACGGAACAGAATCACACACACCTGCGTGTTGTTTGTAGCATGCTACGGAGCAGCTTTGGCGGAGGCTTGTGAGCAAGAGAAGACGGGCCCGGGCACGACTCACTACCGCGTGACTCTGCACGACGAGCAAGTGTACTTGGGTTCTGATTTGTTGCAGATCTGGCAGAGGGATCGGGGCATGGCAGTGATGTGTGAACAGGCAAACGCAACCATTCCATCATCATCTCCCCCCAAACTGCCACTTGTCATTTCATTTTAAAATATTGCTGGTATGCTGTCTGGACGTGATACACAAGGCCCAAAATTGAATCTGACCCTGGCAGTTGTAAAGAAACTGGATGCCAGCGAGACGAAACAAGAGACGCAAAGGCCGACACAGCGTGGACAGCCGCCAACACCCCGCCGGCACGTCCTGCGAAGAAAATCCCACCCAGTGTCTCATGTCTTCGCCCTTCTCTGTCACATCCTCCCCAGGCGGGAACAACAACGCCGTCCCCCCACGCTTTGCCGTTCCTTACAGCTACAACATGGCTCCCGTTCACCACCAGCAGCGACAGCGCTTTTATCACCACACATCGATGCTACCACCTGGGAAAAATGACCTCGAGGCCCTCGAAAGCCTCAAGACTATGATCAAAGACGGTCAACATGAATTCTACCGGGCCTACCCCCAGCCAGCTGCCCTCGCTTCCCTCTACTTGGGACCTCCCACCGGACTCTCCCAGGCGCCTCCCCATCCTGAACAAATGCCTGGGGAATATCGAACACCACACCTCAGCCGGCCTGGTCATGACGATTCATTCGATAACAATAATCTAAGCAGCGATGTCCCCAGCAAAACCTCAGCGGAAACGCACTCAGAGTGCTTGAATGATAATGTACATCCTCGACACTGTCGTCTTCCCAGTCTGGCCAAGCCTGACACTGACAATTTTCAGAACATCGAAACCCCGAGCCTTATCTCGGCCGGACCAAAACAACACGAGGCAACGAGTGTATCAGGCAATGGCGACTCCAGCAGTACGGTAGACATCAAGCCCACAGCCGCTCAGTCAGAGGAAGATGGTCCTCATGACGTTGGTGACGCCTCCGGTGGTCCCGCAAACAGTACCGACGACGGCAAGAACGATGGCCTCCCATCCGTCATCGAGCGTGAGGGTGAGTATAGTGCGGAACGCCCACGTGATACCTCACCCAGCAAGAGTGCGTGTGACACCAACGACGACTCCAAGTTACCTAGGGAAAATTCTTGGTCTCGTCCCGACGCTTCCCCAGATGACAGAAGAACTCGACAGGATGATCGCCAGGCCTATCCTCCAACTCGTTCCGCTTTCGAACCCAGGGGAAGCGGCAACGATTCCCGCATTCCTTCAGGGAATAAGGTGCCTTTTGACAGAGACAGGGATAGAGAACACGACCATGACAGAGGCAGAGACTGGGAGCGGGATCGCGAGAGGCCAAGGGACAGACGCCCTGACTTCCATTTCCGCTCTTATGGACGAAGTCACGCCCCGAGACCTCCACCAGAATTGCGCCATTATGAACCTAATTACTCCTCTGATTACCTCCCTCGCCGTTATGACTCAAGGGATATGGACTTAGACAGACGTGGAGGTCATCGAAACGGGTCTTATGACGACCGCAAGCCTCCCCTAGACGATAGGCGGTTTTCAACCGACGAACGTCCATCCCGCGCCTTCCTTCCATGCTCTCCCGATCACCGCAACCGGGGACGTTCTCTGGATGATCGCCCGATCACGCCGCCTGGTACTGGTAACGTCACTGAAGACCGCCCTATCCGACTGCCTAATTGCATCAGACGACACTGTCCCTGCCCCCCGCCCTGGACTTGATGACCGTTCTCGTTTACCTACCGATGAAGATCGAGGATCCCGTGTTCCGCCCCCACCTGAACAGCGCCCCACGCGACCGCCTGTGCCATTAGAAGAAAGAATATCTCAATCCGTACCTTCTCTGCAAGACCGTCTGAGTCAACCTGTTCTCGCACGAGTTGATAATCTCACTGGTCGTCAACCTAGTCTGGAAGAACGTCTCTCACTTGCTCCTCTGCCTACTGCCACTGCTTCCTCTGTGACGGCTCCCGCAACTGTTGCCACTGAGCGCTCTCTCTCTGACGATCGTGGTGGCCGTTCTGGAACCATAGACACTTCACGTACAACAATGTTGAATGATCGTCCTACCGACACCCGCTCTGCAGCAAACGGGATGTTTTCAAGGCCAGCAACGCCGCCTGTGTCTCGCACAACTTCCTATGTGCCACCCGCACGTGCGACTTCTGTCGCTCGTGACGACCACCGTATGCTACCACCTACCTCGAAAGACTCCATTCCACCAGTTGATCGTAGTAATGTTCGTGACTTCCGTGCAAGCAGAGATCTCTCACGCGAGAGGCCTGCTCCGCCGTATCGATCCGACGTGGAGCGAAGCTTCGGTGACAATAGAGACCGGACAATCATAGACGTTGATGCCCCGATCCGGTTCCCCGACACACGAGGACCCCCACTTAGGCGTCTCACTCCGCCGCCGCGGCCTAGTGATCGCGCTCGGGCTTACTATCCACCACGCTCGCCATCGCGAGACACGTTCGATGCTGGCGAGAGAAGGTATGCTCCCGCTGATCGTGACGCGTTTGACAGGAGGCGAGATTGGTATGCTCCGCCTTCCACTGGTGCTGGTACCGACGACGAGAAGCGTCCCATGTGGAGGTATGATAGGGCGCCAGCTGATCGAGATCATAGGGATAGGATTGACCACTGGGATGAACGCGAAGATGAAAGAGAAAGAGAGAAAGAATGGGAACGACGACGGCGGGAACGAGAAAGAGAAAGGGATAGAGGATTCCCTTCACCTCCACAACCTCGCTCGCTCAGTTCACGCCTGACAGACCCGTATCCTCCTGCGGGAGTAGATCACCGCACGTACCCGCCCCACTGCTTCCGCAAGGGATTACGAGAGGTTCCGGTACATGAGTGGCGATACTTCACCATCCTTTGTCGCGCGTGCGAGCTCGGAGCCCAAGTCCACCCCGTCGTGCTGGGGTAGGAGACGACCGACCGCCAATGAAGCGCCTACGTGATGACATGCCACCTTATGCCAGTGGTGTTGGTGGCGCCGGTGGTGAGGCTGGGGTGCCGTACGCCAGTAGCACTACCTATCCATCAAGTCGAAGACCATCAGGTACGGGCGAGTATGGGGCAAGGTCCGCTGTCGACACACCCCCACCAAGCAGCAGCGCGACCGGCATTTTCTATGATTCGCGGGGTCCCCCTCCGTTCAGTAGCAGTAGCGTGACAGGAGACAGAGAATATGGAAACGGCAGTGTGTATGGGTCCACGTATGAGAGGGAGGTCAGGCGCACCCCGCCACCATCTTCTAGAATACCACCCCCGCACGGTAGGGGGGCGTACATGCCACGGGGGAATGATCCACGGGATGATAGAAGGTACATTCCACCGCCCCCACGTCCCCCGAGGGCGACGTGAGGTAGCAACAACGGAGTGGCGTCGGCGTTGGCAATGGCATGTTATCCTCCTGCCACCTGCCATTTGGATTTCTTTCTTTTTTCGACTATCCTCCGTTTTTTTCTGCGGTCCATAACGTGTCGAGCGATCTACTTATATGAATGCTGTGCTTGCTGCTGGTCGTACAATAGGAATTGGCTCATCGATCCGTATGATTTACACAACGACCACACAACTTGAGAAACAGAAAGTAGCGCCCACGCTCTGTTACTACCACGATCCTCACTTTACTTTCCATCCCTGACATCTTTTTGTATCTTTATGCCTGGTAGAAGTCACAACAACGATCACAACCATCGCGGACGTGGAGGAAGAGGTAGAGGAAGGGGGGCTTATCGTAGCTCCAACGCCCGAGGGCGAGCTCATGAAAACTACCCGCATGCAAGCTACGAGTTAGACTCCGTTGTCCAGTTGTACCCACGAGAAGGGTTTGGTAGCCCAGGTGCGTGGAGTCATGCAGATTCGGTGAAGCTAACGACCGATCTCAAGCTGCAGGCGGGGCAAGCACTCGAGGAGGTAGCGGGTCAACACCCAGATCTCCATCTGGGGGAAAAACCCCCCAGCGGGGAACCGATAGCCCGCTAACGGGGAATGGATATAGCACACGAAGAGGCCGAGGCCAGGACTTCTGTTTAGGGAATGGTCAGCGGGGAAGAGGGAAAGCATCGTACCAGGCCACTGCTCGAGGACGGTCGCTTGGGACAGCGTCCCAACTGCGGGGGAGGGGAAATATTGGCATGAAAAGACAGCCGCCGAACCGCGATGCTTCACTGTCGGATCTGCTTTACTTCGAGCGGCCTTTACTGAGGCCTATCAAGTTTGTCCAGGCTACACATACGCCGTTCCTCTTCCAAGAATCAGAGGAGATCTTTCAGTCGCCTTCAACGGGTAATAGTAAGTTTCTAAAATGTTTTCACATCGAATGATATGTTTCTGATAGCACTTTTTTGTTCTGTGTTTACAGGTATGACAGTACAGTCTGACGTGCCAACTGCCGAGCGCGTTGCTTGTATATTCAACAATACCCAACCATTCTCACCAGCAGCCGAGACAATTCCAGAAGGCGAGACATCTGATGTACTAGAGGAAATTGATTTCGCGGACCTCGGCTCGTTCCGCGCACAAGTTGACGCTATGGAGCATGCGGCTCAAAGGAAGACGAAGCCGGACCTCGGGAATACAGTTATCGAAGAAACTTTCACTGGCGTGTACAAGAAAGAGCAGCTGCGTGATGCACAGGAGAAACGTGGGGCCAAGGAAACAGAGCAGAGAACAAAGATCGGTGAAGAAAAATCTGCCTTGGTTGCTGCTGGCGATACTACGCTTCGGACATTGGAGCAGTCTATCGAGACTCTTCAAGTGAGGGAGCACCGCGCTGGGGCGCTCCATAGTAAACCTTCAGAAAGTGCAGCGATCAAACCGACACTTCCAAAACCGAACAATGCTCTCGCTGATGTGGAGCTAGAAGACAGTTTGTCTACTGGCAATATAGCTGGTAAATCGGGCGACATACTCGAACAAACGGCAGCTGCCGCGGACACGGAACATATTGATGGTGACCATGGATCTGGCACCCCATCTAATGACCCAGAAGAAATTGATTTCGCGGATCTTGGCGCGTTCCGTGCACAAGTTGACTCTGTGCAGCATTCAGTCGAAAGGAAGACGGAGCCGCCAGACCCTGGGAACGCAGTCGTAGAAGAAACGTTCACTGGTGTGTGTAATAAGGAGCAGCCACGAAACGTACTGGAGATAAGCGGCGCTGAAGAAACAGAACAGAGAAGAAGGACCGGGGAAGGGGAAGTCTACCGCGGTTGCCGCCAACGGCACTACCCTTCGGACATTGGAGCAGTCTATTGAGACTCTTCAAGTGAGAGAGAATCCGCGACATTGGAGCAGTTCCTTGGTGCACGATCACCTTGGAATCCTTCAGAAAGGGCTGGGATCAAACCAACGCTTTCAAAGCCGAACAACTCCAACTCTCACATGGAGCTAGAAGCCAATCAATCTACTAACAACACGGCTGCTGATTCACACTACGTATTCGAACAAAGGGCAGCTACAGGCACAGAATTCGATGGCGGTGACCATGGGTTTTTTATCGACACCCAACCCACCCAACCATTTGCGGGCGGTTCTGCAAGCGATGCCGTTCTCGCTGATAGCCGACGAGATGAGATACTGGGTGAAGAAGAGGAAAAAATCGTCTACGTTGCACCCTATCCACGTTCGGGGCGTATACAACCTACACATGATACCACACCTCGCGTCACGTTGCCCACTTGCTCTCTACTCACCGGCACTTCAGAGACATGGAGTGCCAGCAAGGAGCAAAAGGACACATCTGTGATCGTTGGGGACACTGTGTCTTCAAACTCACAATCACTGTCACTGCATTCGATGTCTCTCGACTTTCAACGAATGGAATCCTCTGCACAACCGCGCCACCCCGCAGCGTTCACGCCTTCTCAGAAGAAGAAAGAAAAACTTCGTTTAAAGTCGAAAGCGTCACGTGTCGCGCGACGCCGCCACGCCCGTATGCAGTTTCGCACGTTCGGAGCGATGTTGTCCGAGTCACGGCTTCGCGACGCAGATGAACAAGAACTGCAGAGATCAGAAATGGGAGACAAGAAGAAAAGATGATTCGGATATTGATTGGGGAGACGATATTGACAATATGGAGAAATCTGGTATGAGAACTGGCGTAGGGGCATTGGTTGCAGACGACGGGGATGATCTATCCAACAGTGAAGGAGGAATGGATCTCGATCCAGACGTGGGCTCGGATATGAACGCGATGTTGCGCTTCGTGGATGGTATGAGCGCAGGAAGGATCACGCTTCGTGACAATGGATGACATCGAAGACCAGAAGCAGATGATTGAGGAAGACCAAGCCAAGGCTAGCGCTCATACTGCGGAGGATTCGAGCGATGAAGACGAGGATGAAAGTGAGGAGGACGAAGAAGAAGAAGCTGTTCTGCAGCTGGAAGAGCAGTTCATGATTGCGGAATCCGAAGGAGAGGGTCTTGAGCTTCACAGTGATGATGAGGATGCATTGACAGACGAAGAACCAAGATTCAAGAACAACAGGAGAGCGATGCACTCTGGAGACGGTGTTGATATCTCATCCTCCAAGCGTGCGTTATGCGTTACAATATTATCTGGAATTCTGATAATGAACGCCCCCTCAGGGCGCATGAAAGCCAAAGATAAAGCGGACTATCTGCCTGAAGAGCTACAAGCCCAGTGGGAGCGCGATCGCGCCAAGAAAGCTGAAAACAAACGCCTTCGGAAGGAGGCCAGGATGCTTGCGTCCCTGGATCCTTTAGCCCCGAAAAAGGGGGGAAAGAAAGCACGTAAACTCATGATGGCCGCACTCAAACAGATGGATCATCTCTGCATTGAGCTCGATGACATGTCGAGCATCGAGGCTACCATGAGAAGGTTCGCCGCGAACATCGACGGAAGGCGAAGTATGCCGCTCCTTCCGATGAAGAAGAATATGAGGAAGATTGTACACGAACTTGCCACTGCATTTAATCTAAAGAGTTCCAGTAAGGGCCACGGAGAGGGGCGCTATGTGACACTGGTGAAGACGAACCGCACGGGTACTATCAACGAGGGAAAGGTCAAGGCTATCGTGAAGAGAGCTACTCGTGGTTCAATGGAAGTATCACAGAAGAAAGGTAGGGTTTACGCATCAAGTCACCGCGAGGGAGAAGAAGTCGGGAAGGTGAGGAATTGAGCCACTATGTTGGTCCCTCTGCGTACTGACGTGATCTGGAAGGAAGCACCCGCTATCGGCAAAAGTAATGTTGGGTTTAAGATGTTGTCCTCGATGGGATGGTCGGAAGGAGTCAAAATCGGAGGAGACACATCTGTTGGCATCGAGGTACCACTCACAGTTGTTATCAAGAAGTCTAGACTTGGACTCGGGGCTACCCGGACGTAGAACATACGTGCGCACATGTATCGTGAACGTGTCCATTGAATGCAAGGCCGAACCCAAACGCCGTCATACATCCTGCACAACATCGAGTTCCAGTCGATGCAGCTCAAGTTTCAACCACATCCCAGTGTGGTGTTAAGTAGCGGGAAGGATCAAAGATAAATATTTAGAGGCAATGGATACAACATAACTGTGTCAAACGAGTGCGAACAATCTTTCAAGACATAAACACGAGACGAAATATGTCTGAGAAAGAAGACGAGCAGACAAGGCTAGCAGGGAAAAGGATTTCTTAACACTGAGTATATGCAAAATTCGACCAGAAAAGCCGCAGGTCAGTGCTACCTAACACTGACAAAGGCCATAGCGTAATCGGTGACTCAAGCATCTACCGGGCGTTTCTCGTCCTCGACGAATTCATGTTTCTCGTCGGTGTACCGAGGGGGAGCAACGAAGACGGTTTCGATATCTTGGTCGAGCACAATATACTCATGTACTTGCTCCTCCCGGTCACCTCGAATGGTGCGGTAAACGAGGACGGACAAGACCCAGAACATACGCAATAGAACACCGATACCACAGCCTAAAGGTAGTGAAACGATTATATCAGCGCTGGACAGATAAGACATGGATAGTACTGTAGTCGACTGCGCAACCATACTTGCACTGACACAGATGGAAGAAGACTCACCCATGACAAAAGCGACGGCGCGACCCTCCCACGGACCGAGGGTAGTCAAGGCCCTTGTGGATACGCCTGAAGAAACCCCTGATACGTTTATGGCACCTGAACTTGCGGAATTTCCTGTGTTTGTGATCATGTTCTTTGTGGGGATGGTGGGGCCGCTCCACAGGTCCGTCGTGAGGCTGGTCAGAGAGATCCTCAACCTGGGCGTGGTGACCGTGCACAAACGTCTCAGGGGTGTCCACGATGGGAAGAGTGACAACGGGGATGTGAACCTCCTCGTGGTGATGGGGTTTTCCGACGACACTAGCGCCGACTGAGTGGTGGTATTCACCAGTTTCGATAATGGGAAGACCCAGGGCATGTCTAAATGTGTTTGAGAGACGGATTGCTTTCTCCCGGATAGAGTTGCATAATGGATGCGCAGAACCGCTCTTCACCTCAGTAGAGGCGGCCACGACGAAGGTCGGGCGAACGCGCCCGACGTGTGAGTCGTCGTTTCCATTGACATTGGCGTTGGCCAAGACATGACCAAAACGGATGTTGGGGTTCGACTCAGAAGCGTCGACGATGAGTCGGATGGGCTCTGCGGCGACTTGGCTGGCTGCTCAGAGCATTGGAAGTTCAGTTGTCGTCATTCCAGCAATGATTCGTACACACCAATCATGCCAGCGCCCGCAACGAGGACGGGTAAGAATGAGAGACGCATAGTTGTTCTTTATCAGGGGCAAAGGAGAGGTCAAATGATACAAGATGCAGTTGGTGTAAGAAGAGGATGAGTGACGGGAAGATGGATGGGAGGGTTCTTTCATTCTCCGCAGCAGGACTAGGTCCGCCCAAACACAAATAGAGACTAACTGCGTCGCCACCATCACTGCGGTTCAATACGGCCCTTACGACCAGTGTACTATGTATGTAGTCATTCTCTCACAGCATAGTAATAGAACTGACGGTGAGAATTCGCCCAATTGTCTCTTTCCCTTGTCCTCTCGAGGGACCACTTTATCGCCTGCTTATGGGGTACGGTGGGGACCCGATATCTATCGGCCTGATGGCGTAGTTGGTTATCGCATCTGTCTAACACACAGAAGGTCTCCTGTTCGAGCCAGGATCAGGTCATTTCTTTTTCCTTTGTTTCATTTCATTTGGCCGGTTTCACTTCGCTTCTCTTTATCAGCTATCTAGTGTATCAGGCCTTGCCTTGGGTTTAGGTCTTTCGGTTTGGATTTCTCAGCTACGAATCTGCATCTCTACGATTCTTTGCTTTTCTATGAGTCTCCGTATCGCTGCCTTTGTCGTCCTTCGATCGCTGTACTCATTCGGAGCCGTCGTGCCTCGTTGACATCATTCACTATTTTTGTTCTTGCCTCTCCATGGGCTGATAAGGTACAAGGTACATAGGCCTGATGGCGTAGTTGGTTATCGCATCTGTCTAACACACAGAAGGTCTCCTGTTCGAACCAGGGTCAGGTCATTGCTTTTTATCATTGTTTTTATTTGTGATTTGTTTCCGTTTTCTGATTTTCGCCCGAGGTGGACTCTTTTAACATCCATCATCTTGCGTGATGGGCATCACTCTCTTTGCTTTTCGGCCTCGTACCTGGTCTTCGAAAGTCCTTGCACTGGGGGCACTTATAAGTCTTTTATTGGTCTTATACGCTTATTCCTCCTCCGAGTCCACTTTCCGCCTCTCAGATTGGTCTTCAGTGTTCGCAGGACGCCAACGGAGCTCTTGTTCACCAGAAGATTGGTCGCATGGTCATTGGGTATACAGTCCAAGGACAAACTTGACCTCCATCACCAATTCGGATGACGCTCTTGCTATGGCTGGCTTGCAAGGGTGTGCTGCGGACAGAGAATATGCATGGCATCTAGGAACCGACCATCCAGAGGAGTGGGACAGGTTCCCGGGCGTCAACTCCTACAAATGGGTCCCATCTAAGTCGGTGTAACATAACCCCTCTCAATGGCACCTCGATCGTCAAGGATATGGTCCAAAAGGGGGGTTGGCTCGTCCTCGGTGGTACGTTGTAACCAAAATCAATTCGTGCTCAAACCAAGTCATGTGCAGATTCGATAACCGAAAATCATTTCTTCTCTTTGTCGTGTCTTCTCTATCCCCATGTTCGCGCAACACCCAACTACACAGAGAACCCATACTTTGACCGCGCATGGATGCAAAACCTTTACCTCTCACCAACGTCGCCCCTACTGGATGAAATAGATCTTCCAAGTGGTTTCTCTATCGAGTCAACCCCTCTTGTTACATTCCACCGCGTTGACCTCCTCTTCAACAAGGAAGACCTCGACGCCATATATCGCCGCACTCTCGTGCCAGACGACGCATTTGGTCCTGAAACAGAACTTGAACTCGCAAACAAGACGTTGTTTAGCAAAGAACAAACATGGTCCATGTCTCCTTCGGAATATATGCCCAAATTCCTAGGCGACCTGCCCGAGTTTCACTATGGCACCTTGGTCGTGAGCACCGCAGGGCACTGGACGACAACTCTTATGAGTGCCTTTCGCGACGAAGAGGCGGGTGAAGAGGCAGGATATGGTATCGCTAATGTCAAGTCGTTCTTCAATATCGCCATGCGTGAGTGGGCACAGCAAGTCCAGACTGCTATAAACGAGTATAGGGCCCAAGGCGGGCGGCGCCCTAAGCAAGTGGTCGTACGAGCGTACTTGCCTGGCCACGAAGATTGTCATAACCATCACGAGCCGTGGACAGAGATTAAGCCGTACCGGTGGCGATGGTACAATTGGCCGTGGATTTCGGACTTCAACGAGATTTTCAAGGTAAGTATGCACTCAACCCCGTGACCAAATGGTGTCTTTCTGGCGATGGGCCGTTCACGTCCGCGGCCCGAATGGACTGAGGTGAGGTCGGTTGCTGACATTTGCATTTTGCTCGTGAAGGCTCTTCTTGCATCACCCGATTATCCCGACATTTTCTTCCTTCAGATTGACAGGCCCGCCCGACTACGCCCTGACGCCGTAAGCTTATTCATTCTTCCAGTTATCTAGGCTCACTAGTGTTTATGCTATTCGATTTACCAACAGCATGCGTCAGGTGATTGCCTCCATCTCCTCACCGGTCCCGGCGTCATAGAAGGATGGTCACACTACATCTGGCACTTTGTTACACGCGAGATTCCCGGCCGGATACGGTAGAAGATATCGTTTATTCCCTCCTTAACCTGGATACATCAACCAGGAATTCGTAGAATAACTTATCGATCGGCTCCTACCCTTCGACCTTGGAAAGCAGAGTTTAGCACATTCTGGCCCTGCTTTGTCCTGTCATACACACTACTGTTCACCCCCTCTCTTCCGCCTATCACGGCATCGGACAGATTAGCACAAGTACGCTTTACAAATACCTGATGCATATTGTTTTACACTGAGCGCTGTAGCATGCTACTCCAGAGGCGGTGCACTCATGTGGAGGGAGGCTGAGACATTCTTTAGAGTTCAGTACATGTGCTCATCCGCAGCAATTGGATTACCAATTGAGTGAAGCACTACGTCACTGCATATATAGATTATCAGGATGTGGAACCCCAAGTATTCTTGTTGTAACCTATGCCACATGGGCGTCAGGGCCCAGAACACACCGCCATTGTGACGGTGTGTCTTGACCGCGGGCACTTGGTATGGATGCGGTAACCGAGGACATAAAGGCACATACCCATAAGTGAATTCATCAGATAGCGCCATGGCAATGCAGAAATTGGTAGCAGCTGCTACGCCAAGGTTGCATCCTACACACTTGAACACATACAATCGGTGTCGGGCTACTACAGCGAATTATAGGTATGGATCGAATGTCGAAATGTAATGTTACATGAGGGAATCTAGGCCCTAAAACTTTGGTCTTCCTCAGCGATGGCCGGAGGGTGTGTCCGAAGAGAGAATTAAAAAAATAGAAGCAATTGGAACGCGTATAAAGACAGCGCGGCAAGGGCGTTAAGATAACTTAGACACGGGGAAATGGTGCCAGAGAGTGAGGATGGTGAAGCCCGCAAGGTGATTTGACGTAGCCAAAGGACAACTACGCGGGGTAAGGGTCCTGGACTCTGAAGAGGGCGGAGCGGCGGGAGGACACATAGGGGGGAGAGAACAGGAGCAACGGGGGAAGAACAATTAACGATGTGGTCCATACGGTATCGCCGTTTCCGCTGGCATAGTCTATCAAATTCCTTGCAGAGCCCTTGGACGGCCCTCATGGCAGAAATCCGGTGAGGTGACGAAGTCTTGGATGTTAATATATGCCTGGCGGGGTCATCGGGGTCTGTAACACCAACAAGCTTTCCGAAGACACTGTACGACCATGCCTGAGCGGGCTCCCATACCCAACTGCACGAACGGAAGGGGGAAACAACTTGGAAGGGTCAGACTGTTGTACTGTTGAATGACTTTGGCCTTCCCTCGATGGATCTGGCTGTTGATGAGGGTGGTGAGCTGCATTGGCAGCCACGGCGCCCACGACACGCTTGTACCCAGGGGGAGGATCGTTTTCTTGGGCCTACAGTTGCGAACCACGAATCAACATCCAACACAAGCAGGCACGCAAAATCATAACAGACTTACACTGCGTGGTTCGGACAGTAGCCCTAATTTTAACTGGAGATCACGCGAAGGGATCGAAGGTGCGGCGGTAGCTCGGCTGCGCTCGTCGGCAGTCGACACGATACTCGAGAAATTTTCGTCGCCGATTTGTATCACTCCATCCAAGTCAACGGCTTCGGGATCACCGTCTCCTTCTTCAGGACCTTCAGCTACAGCGCACCCTGGCTCGTTCCGATTTTCGCGCCAATTGGCATCGTGTCCGTGTCCAGTACTGCTCACGTCAATCCGCCAAGTCGCGGAGGGGAACTCGGCCTTGACCTCTTGAGGTCCCAGCCCCAAAAAGCGGAAAATTTGTTGCGACCACCGTCGCTGTTGTTGGGGGGGCGGAGCAGACTTGGCGAAACTCAAAGGAGAGTAGTCGTCGTCGGGTGAAGTGTTAAGTGGTGTCGAAGAATCTGTAGAATCCGACCTGGATTGGCGAAACTTGCGTTGGGAATCAAACTTCACGCATGGTGAATCCATTGAGTCATCGAGGATCATTGATTGGCTTGCAGGGGTTACTCGGTGTCGGATATGTCTCTCGAGCGCGAATGTGCGCTTGAACTTGGCGATCAGTGAGTTCCACAACCCCTCTGCGCGCGCTGGGCGGAATTTCGAAGATCGCTGACGATGTCGCTGCCAAACGAAGTATGCCGCGAAACACAGGAGAAGTCCCACTCCGACGATGACGGGTGTGACTATTTGCAGGGTTCCCCAGCCTGTTGAAGTTCCTTGATCGACACTCTCGTCTGCGCGAGCCTGTGATGGAACGCTTAGTCGTGCGCTTCGACAGGACAGTGGTGGTCAGTGAGCCACGTACACGAATATCCTGTATGAATCCCAAGGACATGAGTTCGTTCGACAACGGACAATGGGGGGACTGGGTAGGACGAACCTGACGCGATCCTAACAGGACGACCATCACATCCGTCTAGACACTCGTGGAAGACAGAGAGAGAGAGAGAGATAGGGAGAGGGAGGGAGAGAAGATAATCCAGTTCTTGCGAGCGCTCGCAGCAAGGAATTGATGATATATACCTACTGAAGCCGAGTGCCGGGACCAATCAAGGAAGCTCATCCTCTGACATTTGCTTAGGTTACCGATTCTGAGTCTCCCACTCTCACAGGACGAATAAGGTCCCCCCTACATTCCAGTTTGAGGTCGTCCGCTCGAGGCTCGGGATATTACCATCGCATTTGCATCAGCTGTGTATTGCATCTTACCAACCGATCCCCGTTGATCGGCTAAAAGATCATGAGCCGGTCGCTGAGTACTGAGTTCTTACGGAAAGTTCAGGGGAGGATGGCTCGGGAATTTTATTATACATACAACCGTGGTCAGCATTAATGTCGCTGTCAAGCTCTGGCGGTGCCGTTCATATCGCAATCGACTGGGTCTTCGATCAAAATGTTACTTTGAGAATGCTGCCCTCTCTAATAGCTGACAATCGTGCCATCGATGGTGCTTTGAAGTCGCACACGGGACTATTTCCTCGTCAAGTAGGCAACTCTTCACAGCTTCAGCATCGGCGAACCCTGGCGGTCATTTGACCAGCTTGGGGTGTCGTCCCACGACACATCCAGCAAAGTGAGTCAACGCAATCGATCTGTAACTACGACCCCAGCAGGACTGTTTTCCCGAAACACTACATGTGGTAGGGCTCAGTTGATAGTGAGTGCCGATCGCGCTGGATTTTCATGCTCCCACCAGTACTACCCTGAATCGATCGTCCGCGGTCGTCGCCATCGATCAAAAGATTCCGTGCGTGAATGTCTTCTGACGTCGTGTTTGAACTACACACGGTGCGACTATGTACTGGTTTGTAGTCTTCCTTTCGAATCCACCAATCGCGTATCCGGTGCCTCGTGTGTCGCCGGGCTAGCTCCGGGCACCTATCACGCCCAATTTGAGCCCACTCGACCGGGGACAACTTGGGGCACGGCCCAGTGTTATCCAGGTTTAAGTCAACGATATATTAAATACGTACACACATCGTAGAGTATCTGCAACCGTTTCACTATCATATCCACTCCATCAAGTTCAATCATAACCTTAACACACTTATCTACAGAGTTCACAGCATGTTGAGGGTGCCTGATAATCATGTATCAACCTGTGCACTCGGACTCCGTACAATGTCAGAAGGCTGGCAGTAACGAGGATGGGGCCCCCGCAGTTACATGGCAACACCTTCAGTGAGCCGTCTCTCGCCGATTATGTCAATAGCATTACATGCCTGACCAAGGGGCTGCAGATACTTATGCTCTTACCACTCGTTGTGTAAAAATAGAGATACGCTTTGAGTCTTCCGGCGGACGTACTAGATAAGCCATAATTCTGCCACCGGCCAAAAAATATTGTGACGCATCCCGTGGCCATCACGTCTTTGATTTCGCAGTTCGATAATCACACCCTGGTGACTACCAGTTATCGATTATACCCAAAAGGGCTAGGGGCTGTGAGTGATGGTGGAGTTCCATGTAGGAAGGTTTGCTTGGGTTTGATTTCAGTCGACACTAGTTTGACCACGTTGAGTCTGGCCTCGGTTACATAGTAATTAGCAATGTTTTCGAACACTCCCGGTCACCTGTAACAGTGGGCGTCAATTTTTACTGCTTCTTGTGCTTCGCGGAGCACCTTCCCCGTATCTGAAACAGTCATGCAAGCTTGTCATTACAGTGGAAAAAACGAGGTTGGTGTCTTATCAGTCTCTGCAGAAGCGACTCGCATATCTCCTGTGCAAAACTTCTGTCAAGAGTATGGAACGAGGAGTTGTGAGAGGCTTCTCGATTGCCACAGTCTCAGCCTCCGTGAAGTTCCTCCTCGAACGGTCTTGAGGGTCTCAAAGGACCTTGATAGTTACTGCAATCGCTAGCTAGGCTAGGCACCGGCTGCTCGGCCCAAGTCGCCGATAGTTATGGGAGGGAGCCACGCGTTGTAGGTCAGTGTTGGCATAAACAGTACCAGACAGCAGGTGCGAATCGGGATCTGGGAACGATACCCCCGGGGCTGCCTCGTGTTTGCTAGAAATCCCACGAAGCAACGGAGGACTCAGCATGGGGAGTTGCCATGTTCTGTGAGCTGGCAAAGAGCTCCACCCTTCACCAGGTCGTCATAGCCTGGTTCCTTCGATGGGTTGGCAAGCAGCCAGCCACAGAGTGACTTGATCAGGGATCATTCCGTTGGTGGATGGCCGTTTTGTGCTCCAAGCTTCCACAGCGCTCCGTTGAACTGCGGAAGCAGTTGATGGAGGTCAACCAAATATAGCGGGATGCTTAGTCATAATATAATCCCGCCTTCCTCAATTTTTACGGGGTGTACGGAAGCGGGCTGGGTGTGGTCTCCACGCAGGCCTTCGTTCTTGACCACCACCACCACCACCATCACCCGGTGTCACCATGGCCCCGCCTGCACCACCACCCCCACCCCCTATGTGCTTCCCCTTCTCTTCGAATCGCTCCCGTTTCAAACAAGCCAGCCCACTCGTCCGCACAGACTCGGAAAAGTCAGACGCTAATTCATATGGGCCTAGATAACACCTCCTATCACTCTCAGCACTCAGGCGAGCGCTCACCCGCGCGGTCTCGTCAGTCTGGAAACCTCGTTCGCTCAGGCTCTGTCTCGACGACTCGAACCCTTACCTCTGATCGTGATCAAGAAAAACTACAATTCGACTCAGATTCAGAGCCATACGATGTCCCTGCACTTCCCAACAACCGAAGCCAGTCTAAGATCTCACACCTCTCTCGCGATGCTAGTAAGGGCAGCCTCGTCAGGACTGATTCCAAGAGATCTGCAAGATGGGGCTATGGTTGGGGCATAGGCAAGGCCAAGGAAAGAGAAAGAGAGCTCCTGGACAGGAGTCCTTCTGTAAACTCAGAGAGGCCACCCCTTCCACAATATGACTCTCCTACTCGCTCGTCTTCAAGATCAAGCCGTAGCAAACGGCCCCCTTTCTACTCCAACGATTCTTCAAGCACATTGGTGGGCTCTGCATTCGAGCGCAAGATCAACGACGTGGAATCCATCAAGGAGCGCATCGATACTGCCGAGCGACTCGAACAGATAAGAAAGCTAATGATGAAGGATAACCTTGATTATTAGTGCGTGGTTTCTTGCGCCTCGTGACTCCCTTGCTCATGGTCCCATAGCGTTGTTCCAAGTGAAGATGCTCACCAGTCAGAGTACGTCTCAGCCGGCGACAAACGCAGAGAATGGATATCCGGGTGAGGGCGAATTGGAGGTTTCTGCTACTCAGCTCATCCCCTCCCTACAGGTTTAGCGGTAGCGCTGGCCAAGCTATCATCTCAAAGACTGCTGCTTACTTGGTCACCGATTCCCGTTACTGGCTGCAAGCACGGGCGGAGCTTGACCCAAACTGGTATATCATCACCGCTGGTGCTGTTGATGCCCCGAAAGATTGGATTGACTGGCTCGTGGTGCGCTCTCCTCGTTGAATAGCGTGTATGAGAGATCCCAAACCTATTCTGGATAGGATCGGGCCAAAAATACCAAAGTCGGAATTGATGCCCGCATGATCTCGCACGAAAAAGCGACTCGTTTGAATACGCTACTCAATGCCAAAGGATCCAAACTGATTTTCCCCCCTCAAAATTTTATTGATCTCTGCTGGAAAAACAAACCTCCGCGCTCGAAGGAACCCGTTTTCATCCAATCGATTGAATTTACCGGCCGTGAAACATCGTCCAAAATTGCCGAAATTCGACAATGGATCAGATCGCAACCACCCGCCGTAATTCCATACTCCAAGTCTCCACCATCACCAGCTCAAGCCCATGTGGGCACCCTCATAACTTCCTTGTCGAACCTTGGTCAGTTTTGCGTATATTAATTTGGCAAAACCGCTAACAGATGGAGTATAGCTTATTTGCTCAATCTACGCGGATCTGATATCCCATTCAATCCCCTATTCTACGCGTATCTGTTCATATCCATTGACAGAGCTATTCTATTCCTCGATGCCGCTAAGGTCACAGATGATATAGAGGATTACCTTCGTGCCCACAAAATTGAGAGACGGGACTATAACGATATCTGGCCCTTCCTTCGTAGGAGGGAGTGGGGTGAGGGTAGACTCCTTATCAACGCAGAGACGTCGTACGCAATTTCGCTTATGTTAACTCACTTCCGATATACTGTTGTTCCCTCACTCGTCGATAATATGAAGGCCGTCAAGAACGAGGTGGAATTAGAGGGTTTGCGGCGTGCCTACCTACGTGACGGCGCTGCCTACGTGCGTTCGCTTTTTTGCCGTTCAACTGACACTCACCTTCACGTGCTACTCCAGGTTAGGTGGTTGGCCTGGTTAGAGCACAAGATTCGCCAGGGCTATGATATCACGGAATATGAAGCCGCGTGGCGACTCACCGAGTACAGGAGACAGAACAAACATTACTGGGGTCTCGCGTATGAAAACATCTCTGCCAGTGGACCCAATGCGGGTGAGTGTTTATTGTCCAGATGAAATAAACGAGTTGGAGTCCAATTGCACGGTAGCTCTGCCGCACTATTCGCCATCCAAATCAACTGCCAAAATGATTGACCGAGAAACGCCGTACCTCAAGTACGCCTTCCCCGCTTAGCCATTTCTGACATTCATCAAACTTCTCTTACCTCAGCGATTCAGGCGCCCAGTACCGAGATGGTACCTGTGACACTACGCGCACTGTCCATTTTGGAAGGCCAACTCAAGATCAATCTGAAGCATATACACGTGTATTACAGGGTCATGTATGTCGTTACTCGATGCAGTTTCCCCCACACTCTGACTGTTACTTCAGATCGCTGTTGATAGCGTCATTTTCCCCGAGGGCACGACAGGTACTCAGCTGGATGTACTAGCTCGCCGAGCACTCTGGAAGGATGGCTTGAATTACTTGGTATGCGTTGTTGCATTAGGCTTAATCTCATCTATCAGGTCATCTGATGACATCGTGTCTACAGCATGGGACGGGTCACGGTTTTGGCTCTTTTCTGAATGTCCACGAGGGGCCTCACGGCTTCTCGAGCAATGTGCCGCTGGTTCCATGGCCATGTCATTACGAATGAGCCTGGCTTCTGTGAGTTAGGACGACGCATTCTCTCAAGCTAGCAAACTCAACTTCAGCCATCAGATCTGGAAGGCAAGTGGGGGATGCGAATTGAATCTGCGCTATGCGTGAGGCGCGTGAGGGTGCGTAGTAGACATCTCTCTGATTGATCTTTGGTGACGTGCTTTATGCCTGCAGACGAAGGGCGAGTTTAGCGGCGATATCTGGCTCGGTTTCGAGCGGTTGACTTGTGTGCCTATCCAAACACGTATGGTGAAAGAAAACATGCTTACCAAAGAAGAGAAGCAGTGGCTCAAAGTGAGTATGTTCAGTTGCTCGCGCGACCGCGCTGATATCGCTGGCAGGATCATAATAAGAAGTGCCTGGAAAGGCTTGAGCCATTCCTCAAGGAGGACAAGCGGGCACTCAAATGGCTGAAACGAGAAGCCGAAAGAGGCATCGGCATCGCTGCCCCGGGTCCAGGAGGGATCACGATCGACTGGGACTAGACGCCTGGAGCTCTCATCTTTCTGCGATACCATCTACCCTACTTTTGCGACACCCCCGACCCGTACTTGTTACGTTTAACCCTTGCGCTTCAGCGTAATGTTTTATCTCACTTGGATCTATTAGCGGAGAAACGCATCGGGACCGTTCTCTCCTCAAATATGTGATACTTACATGTTGACTGTTCAATCTTAGACGGTACGGCTTCATCCCGGGTCCTCCTTACTGTAATTGGCGATCCGTGCAGGCTTTGTCGTCGCACAGATCCCCGTGTTCTTATGGTGTGTCTCGTAAACTTGGATGTATCTGCCTCTTCCCTTAATCCTCCCGCCTTTTGTTGATGTGTCGTTTCAATATATACAATTAAATGTCCAAGCTCGTAATGACCATGGAAATGGGGCAAGGGCATGACCTACATATGTGGATGGGTCATTGTGATGGTAAAAACTTGCAACCTTGGTCATGCAACGCGAACTCATTGTATTCAAGTAAGCAGTAGTGAAGTTGCAAAGGAATAACGGAGAAAAAGGACGTGGCTGTTCTGAGGCAGCACACAATGGGGCTAAGTAACCAATCATCGCCTGTCTGTCTTTCCAGCTTTTCGTTTGCCAGCAAACAGGTGCTTGGGCTGTGTACCGTTCGTCAGCATCGGGAAAACCATATACGGTTGGCCAATCCCCCACCATTTTGACTCTTATAGCACGATCACTCTCGCCAGCTTTTGCAAGCATATTGCGCCGTCTTTGACCCAAGTTACGTAGCTTAACAGCTTTAGATGCTTGCTACGGATGGAATGAGGCCCAGCACGAACAAAAATAAACTTTCCGACGTTACCTGCTCGTCCCGCAAGCCAGCCAGCTGTCGGTTTGATTGTGGAGCCCTTGGATGTTTCGCAATAACAGCTCCAGAATTGCTCTTGGCACGTTTGTTGGGAGTTTCCTCACCGTCGACATCCATCCAATCGCCCTCATCACTTTCACTTACATTCTCGTTATCAACCTCCATACCAGCATCTGTCTCAGCTTCCGCCCGCTTTCGCTTGGCTCTTTGCACCTTGGCCAACGTCTCCGCCCGTTGCTGTATGCTACTCGGATCGTACCCTGCCTTCTTTAATGATGTCGTTAATTCACTTAGAGTGCGTAGACCAGCTGTTCTCGGTAATCGAGCCTGGTTCTTTTGTGCCTTCTTGATGCTTTGTGACTGTATCTTATGCTCGAGCGACTTTTGCATTGTGGCCGCTTCTTGCTCGTCCTCAGAATCAAACTACGAAAGAACGTAAGGCGTCTGAAAAAAAGATATCAACAGGTAAAATGACCTACCATATCTTCATCAATGTCGTAGTATCCTTCTGCCTCCAGCTGCTCCTCTTCGCGCTCGAGCGCCTCTAGCTTCTCGGCAATATCAGGGTCAACGAAGTCTGCAATGTTCTTGCCATCCATGATCTCCGGCATGATATCCATCTTCCATTCAGGATTCGCGAGCAAGTAGTTGCCTGAAGTGATGTGTTAAGGGCTGGTATAGAAATATACTCGACTAGCTCACTTTTCAGATTAATGCTATATACGCCAGGGCCGCCTTGCTCAGCTTCAACATCCCGAAGAAGTTTCTTGCCCCCTGTGTCATTTTTATCGTACTTCCTCTTTTCCTTGACAGCATCAGGAATAAACGGCGGGCGCTCGATGTCGTCGCGGGGCGTAGGTATGGAAACGTGGATCCTGTTAACTATGGAATCCACCTTGTTCCCTTTGAGCTTCGTTTCGACTCGGTGGGCCAGAAGGGCATCGCAAGCTGTATTTTTGAGTTGCATGACACCCTCTTCAGAATAACATGAAGTTTGGACACATTGCACATCTTCCTTGTCAATAATCTCCTGCACGAGGGCCTTATTTTCCGGCGCAAGGTCTTCTAGGCGTGTGACATCGATTTTGTTTATTACGAGAATCCGTCGGCTTCCCACCGAACAGGGGTTTTATGGAGTGGAAAAGTTTACACTATGGAAACTGGATTAGATGGTGGCTGAACACCCTGCGAGTGAGGAAACTTACTTGTGCTTCCACCGTGTAACCACATTGTTCACTCAGATCCATAAAATACAAAATACAACTTTTCAGGTGCGCGAGGGCAGTTATGCTCTGCATCTCGATCGTGTTCATTTCCTCCAGAGGATGATCTAGAATACCAGGGGTATCGATAACCTGCCACCGCAAATACTTGTAATCAAGGTGGCCAACGAAGAGTGATTTCGTGGTAAACGCATATGGTTGTACGTCGACATCGGCACGCGTGACCTTGTTCATGAATGAAGACTTCCCCACATTTGGATATCCGCAAATAAGAAGCGTTCGTGTATTTGGATCTATAGCCGGAAGACGTGAGATGTGTTGCCGGACTTGTTCCAGGTAGGCAAGAGGATCTTTCTGGCGTCGCATAACTGTCGCCATCCTATCATTAAAAGGTTAGAGGCGTCGAGATATAAGGTGTGTCACTCAGTAACATACCGACCAAGGGCAGCCGTCTTGAGTTGCTTACACCGATACAAGCTGTCGCCGAATTTCAATAGGCGCACATAATCCTTGGCGATGTGATCGATGAGATGGCGAGCGGTACGAAGCTGGCCCAAAGCAAGCTTGTAATGGTTTTTGTCATACAGCACATTCATCAGCGACGCAAGAAAGGGATGTAAGTCCTATACGGAAGATCGCTCAGCGTAACGTTAAAGTTAAGGCGGAAGTAAACTGACATCAAGCATGGGGAACTCGGAAAGGATTGCCCCCAGCTTTTCGTCGAATGAGTCTTGTGTAAACTTGACTTTGCGCATGTAGAAAGCTCGTATGCGGCTGATTTTAAAGTTTTTATGAATCACCTAGTATTTTGATATCCGTCATTCTGCAACAAGCATTTTAGGGAATAGAGGCACACCGTTGGTGTTTTACGTTGTGTTTTGGACAATACAATGTCCAAGAAATCGGCCGCTGTGGGCACTGGGGATATCGCTTTTAGGCCGCTGGTCGACATGGTCACTGCTGATGAGGTTCTAAGAGGAATACTCGCCAGGCATGCGTGCCTTCACAAATCTTGCATATGGAATTCCCATAAATGGTTATAGTCACATGATTTTCTGATTAGTAAGCTACCACCAGTTCCAATATCTTCCGGTTTAGTGGTACGACGAGGTGCGGCTCACGTCCATGAAAACTCACCACAATTTTTAACATGTAACAATGTGTCGCTTGCTTAAAGTATCTGAAACCCACTTCGCGATCGATTCTAAACGAGGTTTCTGGCAACAAATTTCAGCGTTTACATCTAGTCGCAGGTGGCGAAGGGAATCAGATATAATGTAGTTGTAGTACAAAGGAATCGACTACGCTATGTGGAAAAGAGGAAAAATCCATCGAAAGTCTCAGAATCTTGACATGTATACCCTGCAAGAAGCAGTGCGCAGCTCATGCAAGCCCCGTCTTTGCAATATGCGAACGAATAATGGCTTCGCCCACTACAAAAGAGAGACGCTCGTTAGGCTTGCAATTCCCGCAAGGACACAGGACACTGACCATTTACTATGATGGCCTGGGTTGCGCGAATATCCTGAAAGTTGTTCAGTATGTCCCAGGCCAGATTGCGAATGAACAAAGACTCCTACAAGCATAGAGGTAAAGTGCTGCCCAACTAATCAGTATTCCAACGATCCCCAACGAACGATACACGTACGGCATACAGAACCCTTCGTCCGATGTCGTTACGACGGTGGACCTGGATAAAGTGCGCACGAAAATACTCCGACACGTCCGCATATGTATTGGGCCGATCTCCGTACGATGTAATGCTGTAGGGTTAGCTAGTAATGAAAAAAGGCGACATGTACAAACAGCAGGTCGGGACGCACTACTTCCGAACTTTGATTCCTGATTCTAACTTCTTCTTCAGCAAGTCAACCTTTCCCGATGAACAGCACGGAACGGTTAGTTCAGAAAATATATTTGTGCTAGGGATTAAATACCTTGTTCAGCAAAAGTACCAAGTGAGAATTCTTTAGGAGTTTGTTCGAACATATCGCGGTAAACAACTGGAGCGAATCGTCCAGTCGATTAGTCCGGCCATCTTCTTCAAGGTACTGCAAAGGCGACATAGGCATGGTGAGATTCCTTCCAACGTGATTTCTCATGTACCTGATCGAATGCGCTGATTGGCGCAAGAAATATGATTGCTGTTGCTAAGGATAACATGTCAGAAACACGTCATAAATTGAAAGCATTGGCCGGACATGTGCTCTGGACTGAGCAAGGAGATAGAGGTGTTATACTTAAAAAAAACTGACATACCATCATCAAAATATGGTACCCATGCGTGCCTCTAACATTGAGACACAGCGGCAGCGTGATGAGCTCGGCGAATAGTTGCATACGATATGCACGGATGCTTACCTGACCCCGCTAGCGTGAAGTTAGCTTGCCAACAGGCACAAGATACTTTATGAAGAGATAGATTACTACATACCGCACCTCCTACATCGTACATCAGCCAATTGTATCGAGTTCCACAAAGTTCAATGTCGAAAGAGTGCTCTGATACGCCCAGCGTTTGTAGACGGACATTAAGTAAATCCGCTGCCACGGGTCTCAGTTTCCCCGGATGAACTTTAGTTAATCATGACACACCTGTTGTCGGAAGGTAGTCAGATTGTGCTATGCGTACGATATCATCCAAGAAGCTGTGAAATGCAAGTGACACAAGAGCCAGCCATTGTTCGAAGAGCAGAACTTACAATGGAGCAGATTCATCCAGTCGTATCCGGCGATTATTCAGTAATATCCGAACAGCTGGATGTTTCCATAGATCATCGATTTCGTTCTGAACAGACATGAGTGTCCTCGATGCTAGATTTGTTACGTGTGCGACACCAGGCGTCGGACCGCCAGTGGCAAGGGCTGCTTGGCTCCGATTTGGAGACAGTGGAGCTACAAGGGCTTGCCACCCAGCGCGAACATACACCCCACTGCGACCTCCAGCAACATGAACTCCGCTGTTTAGTTCTGAGGCAAGCGAGTCCTCCATTGATGTGAGAGGAACCAGCCTGGACCTGAGCCGAGATATCTCTCCATTCACATCTCCTAGAGGGGCCAGGGCGTGTGCGACGGCCTGGCCTTCGGTAGATTGATCGGAATCCAAGGTTGAAAATTCATGGTCAAGTTCATCGAGGATCATCCGTACAGCCTTAATGATATTGAAGTAAACAACAGGCCGCCACAGTGGCCGTTCGTGGTCGAGGGTTTGATGAGCATAATATAGTTGGAATTGCTTTTGCAGCGTGGATTTTCCAGATTCCGCTTGCCCTAAGAGCATGACTGAGAAGACACTGGCGCGTCAGCTACGTGATCATGATCGAGCCGACTAGCCATGGTTAGTACCTTTGACTTGTCTTCTCTGAGTATCCTTTCGTCGCGCCCATTCCCTCTGTAGGGGGTACTTCAGTATCTTACGGTCCCGAGGGTATTGGGAGACGTCAAACCTTGAGTTCATCATCAATTTTTTGGCTGACATGGGCAGCTTCTTCGTCGTAATAAGGAGAGCTCTTTGAAGTACCGCCAATGGATTGTAGGAAGGTTGGCTCTGAAGAAGAATAGGATATGACTCGATCGCTTAGCCATAGAGGAAACTTCGGCGTCGTGAACGGTGGAGTTTAACACACGTCTGAACTACATTCTCGGGCAGGACACTAAGTCCCACGCATGAACAGCCGGGACTGACAAGAAGCTGTTCAGCTCTCGGGCCTGGCCATCAAAACCATCATTCTGATTAGGAAAAATGTTCCTGGGTCTCGTGTACTGATATCTTCCACCGTCTCCATCGCTACATAATTGACGTCCGAACAACGGCTGACACTCTCGTGGGCTGCAATGGCCCTTGGCATTATTATGTAGACACTCCCAGACCTATGCCAGGTTACTACCTTCGGGTGGAAGTGGTCGTGGACTAAAAGGGTGGTGCCGGGATCTCGTGCAATGAAGATCACGATCACGGAGGCAGTACGAGTATCCCTGCCTTGCCAGATAACCCTGCAATCGGAGGAATTCAAGTACTCCACTGGGATGGTTTGGTTGGACGTTTGTAGGGAGACTTGTGCGGAGGATGAAGCAAGTTACCCCCTTTCAACGCTTTGTTTCAACCCAGAGCGCCATTCCTAGAGCCTCTTTTAGGTACCGAACGGATATAGTGATCACCCCGACGCCACCAAGAACGGCGAACTGTAGGTACCTCCTCGGGCAGCCGATAAAGAAGTACTCGTGCTGGAACTTACTGGAAGTGTCAAAGCTGTGTGAATACCTATCTAAGCAAACAACCTGTGCTTGGATACTTGGAAGCTTCCAATTTGACCGATACTAACGCCGGCATCCGTGCTCACCGCAATAAATTAGATGAAGGATGCTGATTGTGCGGCATCCATCAAGACAAGGTGCGAAAATTCTTGCCTGAGAAACTGTGGGAAACGCCGAAATAAACCCATCGTTGATGACCAGACTCATGATGCATACTCAGCGGATCCTATTACTATCCCCGTGGGTAGGATGATTCAGCATGCCATCAACAAGATAAGTATCGTGCAGCAAAGGAGGCCGAAAAAGCAGATAGTACTGTTAATTAGCTTCCAATCCTGCGGTGGGCAATTTGAGCGTCTAGCCAGCAGTGGTACGTCCAAAGGAACTAACCTGCAATGATCACCTGTACTTCATTCCACTCCGCGGGACGAGGTTAGGATAAAAGCGGACTTGGAGGACATGGGTCGCGCCAATCCAGGTATTCGTTTCTTCTCGGCTGAGACAGGGGGGGGGTGGGCACGTGACTGGTGGCTTGCCAGAGTCCGAGAAGCTAATACGTTGATCCACACGCTACATACTCACCGAACAACGCTAGCCCGCTACCGTTAACGCCGGACACCGGAGAATGGTTGCCACAGCACAGGCTGAAAAACAGATTCTATGGCACCCACGATCGCAGAGCAGATTTGTTGTCGGTGGAGGCTCCCAGATATCATTGTATGAGTGGGATTCTGAGCAGTCGGAAATACGTCATTTGAGCTCCCGAAGTGATTTCTCGTTCATGAAGGTGAATATTGTTCCTTGACAGCGAACATTGAATCAACCAGATGTCACCCTTCATCATGTGTTTTATACATAGTGTTTTGCCTGGTCTCCCAGCCCAGCTGTCGACGACCTTTTTGCGGTAGGCCTGGTATCTGGGCGCGTCGAACTTATACGACTAGAGGCAACGAGAGTGGCCCGCAATAATGTCCTTTCCAGTGGGCCAGTAGCTGCACTTCCAGTCCGCAATTCCCGATCATGTAACACGCTCGCATTTTGTCAAGCCGACCCAAATTACCTCGCAGTCGGCCTTGACAAAGTCCGCGGAGATCCCAGTCTCATCATCTGGGACGTGCAGTCGTGCGTTTCCACGTTGCTCCCCTCGAAAGTTGGCCTGCCTTCAAATGATGCGGTGGTCACACGGCCCCAACCACGCATAGCTAAGGCAGACGTCGGGCCTCGAGCGGATTCGCGAATGCTGCAACAATATGCTCCCACGGAGGTGGTTTCAGCGCTCTCCTTCCTCCCGCAGTCTACCTGCTTGCTGCTTGCCGGAATGTCCTCTCGGTGGTTTCGTTTATTTGACCTTCGCAGTCCTATGTCAGCAGCTACCAGTGTGGCGAACAAAGTGTCCGGGATAGCTACGAACGCGATTGATCTACATCAGGTTGGGTGTTATGGCGATGGAACGGTAACGATTTGGGACATACGAAAGTTGCCACAACCACTGTTAACATTTACGGATAAAGACGCTATTGCTGACGGTGAACGCCCCCGTCCGGGATCAGTTGTACATCACATCGAGTTCTCCAGCACCCGCAGGGGCATGTTGGCGGTCTTAGAAAAGGACTTAACCTACGTACGATTCTGGGATATTAGGAGCGCGAACGCGGCAGATGCATCGGAAGGGGGGCGTTCTCGCGATGCTTCTCAATCGCGTGTCCCACGTCGGTCTTGGACAAATCTGCCTTGGACAGCATCGGGATCCAGTGGGGCAGAAGGTATACCAGAATTCCAAGATCCTTCCTCTGTGGTACTAGCCGATACTCGCAAGAGTGAGGATTTTCACATCTCCCACCCGAAATTTGCTGACCGGACATATTGAAAGCGAAACATTTCGGTCGTCCGTTGGCGTCCTTTGCCTTGGTACCTGATGCACGCCCATTTTCGGCGACTTCTGAGGTAATGGTGGTCAATAAAGATGGTGATTTGGAACTGTATGCACTGCATGACATGCCAAAGCAATCGACGTGGAGTTCTAGAGGAGATCTCGTTATCGGAACCGGTTTATCATGCAAAATATTTCCCGGAAGCCAGGATGAAGACAGGCCCTTCTCATCTGCCCATCGACCAAACCGACAGCGCGCCTATCCCACTCGGGAGTAGAGAAGCAGACAACCCTCTAGTTTCAAGGCGAGATGTCAATGGTTTTCCGGCCCTACTTACGGCTGGCGTTAGAGATCGTCGACAGTTGAAATCTCGAGCTTATAGCCCTGCCTCGTTCCGACATTATCCGTTGGAAGCGTCCCTTGCACGCTCTGAAGCAACTTCGCATCATGAACGGAAGTGCAGAGCGACCATCCCAGCGTCAATACGGAGAAAGAGAAAAGCTAAAAGTCCAGCATACTCCGACTGAGAGGAACACCCCACGAAATAAGAAAAGCACCTCCTGTACAATTCAACAGGTCGTCGAGGACGACGTCTCTATGGTCATGCGAACAAGAGCTATTTGTGGGTATGGGATTAGCAATGTGCGTGCAGTTGTGCATACTTTGCAAGTCCTCACGAGCATTGGCATAGGGTTTTCACAACGCAAAGCTCACCCAGGCCGATTCATTTGGTCGCAATGGTTTGTCAGAATTATGGGCTTGGTTACTACGTACGTGTCGTAATTTGTAGCTGAATAGTGGGCTGAGCATCTCCCAGATTCGCGAGATTTATTGTGCTATCCAGCCTCACGTGTACACGGATATGATTTTTCAAATCAAGGCCTACAAGGCATATGGGATGGTTTCCCCGCTTTGCCACGTGTGGCTGCGGCCAAGACCAAATCCACAATCAGTTTGCCTGCAGAGCTGCTTTCCACATCCTTTGAGACCACAACTACTGATGCAAATTCATCCGGCACACCTTCACCGACAGATATTCCAGGTTTGTTGGGAACTTCGCCACAATCCGCCGAGGACGTATTTTATGGTGATTTCGATGCCGCTGTGGGTTTACTACTCTCGCAACAGAACCCAATGCGGCTACCGTCGTCCCCCTCGTGCCGGACGAAAAGGGCGAAGCAACGGCAATTTGCCATTCAGCTCTGTGGATGGAGTCTGGTAGATGAAGATCTTTCCTCTGCGATAAAAAAGTGACAATAACCATTTGCCCGCTTCTGCTTCTGCTGATGATCGCATTGGTTTTCAGATGGGAAAGAGACGGACAATACACCCGTGCAGCATGTTGGCTCGTATTCACCAAGCAATATACAAAAGCTCTTGAACTTCTCATGCGAAGCAAAGGTCAAATTTCATAGTTTGTTTTTTCATGACAACTCAATGGCTTGCCGAGACAGATGAAACGCACCACCTCATAGCAGGAACGCTTGCAGCACTTGTACCAGGAGGATCGAGGAGCAGCGAATTGTGTGAACTCTCCGAGAGATTGATCGTTCGGCTCCTTGATCCTTACGTCCGCGTTATGTTAACACAGCTAACATCTAAAGATTGGTCCGACGTTTTGGAAGAGGAAGCATTACCTCTTCGCGAGCGGCTCGCCATCGCGTTTCAATTTTTGGAGGACAGGGCGTTGTCGTCATACCTTCGCCGAACCGTGGAGCGTCTCAGCTCAAGAGGTGATATCGAAGGGCTCATCATTACCGGATTGACGCCGGCCGGGATGGATATACTGCAAAGCTATGTCGACCACACCGGAGATGTGCAGACAGCCGCTATTCTTTCTTCTTATGTTTGTCCCGCCAGATTCCAGGACCTGAGAGCCGAAAGGTGGCAAGAGGCATACCGGGATTTGCTGGATGGCTTCAAGCTTTTCCATCATCGTGTCAACTTTGACATTGGTCGTGGCCAAATACTTCAGGAAGCTGTACAAAATGGAGACCTGTCCCCGATGTATAAATGGGCACCTCAGCACATTCTTATTCGGTGTAATTATTGCTCAAAGCCTACGAATCCGAACAACATGGACGCTCCAAGCAACAACCGAGTGCGTTGCCACTGCAGTTCGTTCCATTGGCATGTCTTCACTGTACTCCGAACATGCAGGTGACCGCCTGTCGCTGTGATCGTGCCTTGCCAAGGTGCTGCGTTTGCCTGATGACACTTAGCATCGTTCCTGATGCTAGTCGGAACGCCGATTTGCTCAGTTCCCACTCTACCTCCAGGGGTGCGTCATTCTTCAGTTCAATGTGCAAGATCGACTGAAAGTCGCCATGGTAGACACAATTGAGGACGCCATCATTATTTGTCAAACCTGCAGGCACGGTGGCCATGCTTCCCACATATTGGAGTGGTTCTTCGGCGAGGAGGGTGCTGGTTCCCATGGGAAATGTCCAGTTGCAGATTGTAACTGCCGTTGTGGGGATGAGTTGTGAGCACGGGATGTCGAATCTACTATTATTGCCTCGAGCACATAGGATACGGATAACATGTAGCTTTCACCACTATCTAGTAGTCCATCATTGCCGCTTGTGGAGACGACATAGTGCTGCTAGCGAAAGCGAAGCTCCCACTGGTTGGTCTATGCCTGCATTTATGTCTCCTCGTTGTGTGCTGCTGTTGCGAGGGGTGATAAGAACAGGCAAGCGTTTGAAAAACATTTGGTCGTGGTGTGTGCCATTTTTTAACAGGACTCGGGAGAGGCCGCCGGAAACGACCGAGCGTGGGTCAGCCGAACAGTCCGGTCACGTGCCACATCCCCGAGCCCCTATTACGAAGTTGCAGCCCTGTATTTCTCATCCTTTTCCAGCACCTCCTCTCCCCCATCCGACCTTGTTTCTTTAGATGACTTCTAACTAAAGTGATACATACTCATTTGTCATTCATTTATGTTACAAGTGCACAGGACCCAAGACGGTTGTAAACCCACAAGATACTTGGCATTACTTCAACTGACGAACGTCCGAAAATCCTGTTTTAAACATTAAACAGAAACTCCTCATCCTCCCATTTATCCTCGAATATGATCAGCCCCTCGAGATCTTTGGGCGTCTCCAGAAGACCACTTCTCGGTACTACCTTGGGATCAACTTTGGGAAGCGGTTTGCTGACTGTTGTCGATCTTGACCTGACAACGGCTGTAGTGGGATTCCTCACCGTTCCCTTGGGGACCGGCTCTTTCTGAGCAGCGAGGGGTAGAGATCGTGTGGTCGTACTCGTTGCAGGTCGTGTTACAGTGGCGAGACGGGTTGATGTCGCAGGTCCCGTTCTAGTCGATTGTGCAGAACGTGAAACGGAGGACGCTCGGGTGCCTGGTGCTGAAATAGGGCCACGCGCAGACTGGGGACGTTTAATCGGCGGAGCCGTTCGAACCCGCCCAACGGGCGGCGCGGCCGTGGAAGAAGGTTTCTGCGATACCGGAGGCCTGGTAGCTGAAGAAGTATGCCTAACTTCCTTGGAAGTCGTGCAAGTACGAGATCCACTATTTTGATGAACCCTCCGAGAAGTGGGCAAGGTACTCTGAACATTACCAGTAGCAGGATATCTGGTCTCAGTGTTTAATTCGGCAAACATATCGTCTTCCAAGGCTCATGTCAGGGCGATAGGGACAAGACATGATGGCCAAGCGTACCCATAATTGGCAGATGCAAGTTTATCATCTTCACTTTCCAGTTCTTGCAAAGTAAATGAAGGGTCCGGCGGTGGCTCGTCGTCAAAGGGATATGATCGAATGAGGGCTATCAGGGTATTGCCGACTTCCCTGTAATTTGGTAGCTCGAAAGGCGGCTCGTATGGAACCCCTGCAAAGGAACCAAGGATCCATCTCAAGTTAGTGGATACCAAATGTACACGCTATTCGACTACCTACCATCGACTTTTGGTGGCATGTACTCAACTTCATCGTAGTCTTCTTCCGCGAGCGATTGATTTGCCACCACACCTCCAATCTCAATATCTATGTCGCTCGCATCCCAGTGATTTCCAGCGGTGACTGGTGTCTCAAAGCTCTTACTCGCACTTCGGGGTAGACGAACGCGTCGTCGTACAGAACTGGCACGACGAGATTCGTCTGGAGAGCCATTGGCTGTTTTTGTGCTGGAGCTTGAAATGAGGGTGGCCCGAACGGCGGTGCGGTTTGGGAATGGCGTCTTGTCACCGAGTGGGCGAACAACGGGAGTCCCTTTGATTTTGGACACTACCGCTTGCTTTCCAGGAGCATCTTTGACTACACGATCCGTTTCTGTGCCTATGAATCAGACATGGAGAGTAAACCTAACTGAACAACCTACGTGTGACCTTCAGCTGCAGTGGTGTACCCTGGACTACCCTCTTCCCCTTAGCGTTTACCGTCGTGGGCAGGTCACGAAACGTATTTTCTTGAAGTGCATGTCGCGACTTGACGAGCCCACGTCCTGGAGTCTTTACGATGTTCCGCCTTTCGGAGTCCAGAGAAACGCCCGCTGGTCGCAAACCGAGCATTGCGTGGTTTTGAGGTGAAGCCAACCAGCTGGTTGAACGACTCGAAGACGCGAAATTGAACGCGGTCACGTGCCTCAGGGGACCCACCAAAGATAATGAATTCGCCGAGGACAAGCCGAGGATGGCATCGCCTGACCGATGTTGAAAGGCAGGGAGTCCCGCAAAACCATTCCCTGCATGGGAAGTTGGACAGACAAACCTTTCACCTCCTCCGGCAAGCTGTAGTCACTCCATTCCTCAGTAGGTAATACAACTGGGATGCTCAGCGGCCCCGGTATTAAGGTCCGGCTGGTCAAAGATGACAATGCTTCATACCAGAAGCGACAACAACTCTTCTGGAAGCAGGGCATGATCAACTCCCGCACTTCAAATCTAAGCTAAAGTCCGCTAGAAGAACGCCAATGGAATCGGACTGTCTACCGCTGGGTTTACAAATTTCCCTTCATAGCGTAATCGAACCCGCTATTCCCTTCGGCCCATTGCTTAATGAGCACGCCTGCAATGGCCGTTGGGGGAGGCATTTTGAATAGAGGTTCAACTTCTCCTGCAGAGTCGTGACTACTGGTTGCTGAGTGGGCACCCGCTTGGTGGGCAAGGACGGCCAAAACCTCTTCACGGGTGTACCATCGAGCATCTGAACCGTTTTCAGCGTCATTAATGGACATCAACTTCCGTGAACGCTCATTACCTTCTAGTTCGTTGTCCAGATCTGTACGAATAGGTGCAGAAGAATCCGCAGTGGCATAGAAGCCAAGCATAAGGTTAGCGGGGAATGGCTTAGGTGACATGAAGAATGGTGGCGTCAGCAATGGAATGCTCAGTTCACGCAAAACTATGCACTGCCAGAATCTGGGGCGACCACTTACCCAAGGTTGGCCGGAGTGGTATCGCACATTCCGTACCCTCACACCGGCTTCTTCCCACATCTCACGCTTGACAGCATCTTCGTAAGACTCACCGGGCTCAACGAAGCCCGCCAGGGCGGAGTAGAACTTGAAGCGGAAACCTTTTCTGAAGTCAAAAAAAGTTAATCAATTCACACCAAGGCTGAAGAGGCTTAGAGCGTGGCGTACATTCCGGCCAAGGAGGATCTTATCGCCAGATTCGTCCATCACTACCATAATAACCACGGGATCTGTCCTTGGATGACAGAAGTTCTGCGTACCCCGACTACAGCCGTTCTATCAGAAATGTTTGCCAGCGATGGAACAAAGCGACTGACCCTGAGGGGCACGACTTTCCGCCAGCATTAATTGTCCATGGTAGAAGAGACTGTACACGAGAGCTTCCAACCAGCCCAGAGGGAATACGTTGGGGAACCGCATGCGGGGCAGAACTTCAGAAACTTCATGAGTGAATGGTGGTGGGCTCTCAAACCACTCACTTTGTTCCTCCTATTCCAATCTACCATACTCCGAGCTTCCGCAAAAACAGCGGCAGGTGAATACATCAAGGCTTGTCATTGCAGTTCTCGATCCATGAAATTCAAAGAAGAATCCGCACACTGGGAGGTTTGTATGGCCTCCTTCACCAAAGAGTCCTCGAGATCAGCGACTTCTATAGTAAAAAATGGTGTTCCTTCCAAATTCGCAACAGTAGCTTGTGGATCCTTGAAATCAGAAGATGGCAAGGCTGCCGCGGCAAGAGAATCTGCCTCTTTCAATCCGAGGAAGACTATCCGTGTTCCACGAAGTCGGGCAGCCTCGAGAACAGGTGCATCAGAATGATTCGCTTCTCCCTCAAATTGGCCTTGACCGAAGTACGGCTCGATACCGAGTAGGGGCCTCACATCGTCTGTGGGCAGCAGTGCCAGAGTTCGTTTCTGAGTAATTGCATGGGTCGCAATTAATGGTAGTCCGTCGTTGAACAAGATCCATCGGGTCGCCGGCGAGGATATGACTGCGTTAAGGAAGGACTGAGATGGTCGTAGCCACGAGAGTCGGTTCAAAGGTGAACCACCCATGAAATTCACGAAACCTTGCACCTTTATCAGACTCTCCCTAGTGCCGTTAGTTTTCACTTACCTTTCAGCCATTTCAAAGGCCGCGTCACCTGGCCCACTCTCGAGTTTCTGCCGCTCGTCTGATCCGCGGAGAAGTGAAGAGTTGACAAGCTGAAGTCTATCGCTTGCAGGTTACTGACACGAGCAGATTGCATGCGAAAACAATGCTATCGGCTAATGAATCATGTGCACCTGGTCAGCGGGTAGAGATATGATATGTGATATGATAAGAGGTCGGGCTACTATAAGCGACTGTGCATCTTGGAACGCAACCATAATAATTTCATGACAAGGTACTGCGTTTCTCTGGCGACAAGCGCGGGATTTCTTGACAAGACTTGACTCACATGGCATCCCCGGTGACAGAGACGAGTCCTAATGCCATCCGGATCTTTGTACATGATATCACTCAATTCGGATCCGTTCCATTAGATAGATGGGGTCAGTACCATTACACCGAAAAATAACCTTGTCATATGAAGAAGGACAGCCAGTCGTTTGTTCGGTGCAGTTTTCCTCTTCATCTTTCTATAACTGCAAAGTGAGGAGCTCGACAGATCCATTACCGTTCCCTGCGAACAACGTATTTCCCATAAGTAGGTGACAATAACCAAAGGCACAATTGGCTTGTCCGTTTCTTTCGAGGAATCTCTTACTGTGACTCAGCAATTGAAAGGTGTAAGATCCTTGACATACCTTTATTTAAATCCTTAGCTGCACGAGTGCCTCGCAGTGTCCTACGTACCCCAGGAAGGTGGGGAGTAGTCATCGTCATGGCCGTAATTCGAGGGAATATGTACCACATGGTGCTTCATTAATTGCCACCCAACTACGGGGCTCGGTTTTACGACACCCGCAGCTTCCCTACCCTACGTCATTTGGACGAGCACAGGCAAGTACGTTCTTCCCTGCGGGTATAGTGAACTGACGTGGGTCTATTTAAATCGAGACTGGTCACAATGAATGATGTCCTATGATGTCTCGCTGTTATTTCCCTCACCCCTGATGGATGAGTACCGAGGTGAGACTTACGTGCCCTGACCCGCCTTGAAACTTCCTATTAGGGTAATTCGTTTGTTTGCTGCCCATTTACGGCTCTTCATTGCGAAGTGCGCGAAGTTCATTCGCAAGTCATGTTCCAGCTCAGAAGGCGGATATTCCGTCGGGTTTTTCATCCGTACCTTTGAACTTTCCTTAATAGGGGAACAAACAATGGAGAGCGCCCTCGATTCTTTATGGAGCCCCCTTACGAACAGGCGTCGGCACTAAGCAATAGGTCGACGTACAACCTTGTATAAAGGTCACACCCAGGGACCCTATCCTGTAACCACGCCTGAACCTTGAGCTGCTGTACGCCCTTTTTGCTTGTTGGTTTGTTTCAACTCCGGAATGATTGAACCATATGTTTTCTAAACTGCTAGCATGCGATGGCGTCCGACGTTCCCCGACCAAAACAAGATGGGAAAGCAGAGCATCTCTACCATGGTCTTGCCGTGAATCTCTCGCCTGCACAAATAATTGCGGAGGCATGGCAGCGGGAGTCCGCTCAAACTCAGGAATTCTGGCGGCAGGCAGAGGCAAAGCGGAAGGAACGATATTCGGCCCCTCGACCTCCACGACCACGGAGTGGGAAGATGTAGATAAAGTTTAACGTGGAGGTAAGGATTTGTTTTCTGTAAGGTCGTAACTGCTTACAACTGTTCGTATTCTAACGGCTGCTCTTACCCAAGTTTCGACCTTCTTTGTATATATCGTTCCTCACCAACACTACCCATACGCAGCGTGATTGCAAAAACACGGTTGTTGCTTAGTATTTAAATAGCAGTTACATACCCGAGTGTCCAATGAGTGCGCAGAAAGCATACGACAAGTATTTATTGATTGCTGCTACATTGCACGAACAATTATTAGTGTCCTGGTGGTTACGGAGTAATGTCTAAGCTTTCAACCCTGTCCACTTCATGCGAATCTGATTCGTCGTCATTATCGTAATCCTCATCCTCTTCTAGTGCGGCTTCCGCCTCAGCTTGCGCTTGCGCTGCCGACGCAGCATTGGCAATTGCCTGCTCCAAAAGTTTCTTCTGCTCGTCAGAAAGACCATAGAGAGATAACTGAGGAGCTGAGGGGCTGCTGCTGGGAGGCACACCTCCTTCCTCAGCAAGCGACAAGTCTGATGAACCTGCGGCGGCGGCCGCACCTTCAGGAGTGCGCGAGTGTGAATGCCCGACATTGGTGGGACCCTGGGTGTCGTTGGCAGGCAGGAGAAGAGGTTCGAGTTGCGAAGCCATGCTTTGCATTTGTGCCCTGGCTATTACGCTCGCCAGTGTTGCTTGTCCCCCCGTAGGATCCAGGTGAAGCGGTGGCGCAGCATGATCAGTGCCCAATGCCTGCGACACATGAGCCTGTAGCACAGAGTGGAGACCGAGTACCGCTGCCTGCATACGCCGGATAACATTATTGTGCAGTTCTCCTTCCTCCAAATTACTTTGTTCTCCGTGACTAACGTATCCTGCAGCCACGGCACTGTTGGTCACAAGATCGTTCCACATCTTCGTTCGCCTGCCCTCCCGAACATGCTCCTCATCACCATTCCTGTCAAGCTCTACTTCCCGTACGGCAGCATCCACACAAATCCCGCCCTTCCCACCGCGCGCTGCGCTACTGTTTTTATGTCGTTTAATTGCGTCACGTCTGGAAAACAACTTGTCGCAACCCGCGCATTGCCAAGCCCTCTTTTCATGCAACTTTGTGTGACGTTTGAGATCATGGTTGCGAGCAAATGATGCAGGACATATGGTACAACGAAACGGCCGATGTGCAGCGTGTATTCGTTGGTGGGCGCGCAGACTGAAAAGTCGAGAGAATGTCTTCCGACAGCGGGGTACGAGACAGGGATATACAGCGGTGCCGATATCGCTGAAAACTGGACGGAGTGGTGTTCGATTCCAAAGGGGTCAACGGTCCGAGGAAATTGTGCAGGGGCTTGAAGGCCTGATGGCGCTGGGGCATTTTGAGATGACGCCGTCGGCGCAATTTGGATGCCGCTGAGCACCCCTATGACTTGGATCAATCCACCAATTTCCTGAAGGGTGTGCATCTCCTGACCACCGCGGGCGGACAACGTTACGGCAAACAAGAAGATCTGGTGCAGTTGCAGCTGCATAGACGATACGATAGACGGATCTAGCGGACCGCCGCCAGTATGATGGTGTACATTAAAAGCATTCGAAACCGTCCGAACGGCTTCAACTACTTGCTGCTCGATATCGTAGTGACCGATATGCTGTCGCTTGAATATGCGAGATTCATCCAGCAGTTTCTCTTCGTCATCTTCGCGTCGACGCTTTCCTTTGTCAAGTTGAACCGCAGGAGCGCTCGAATTTCGCATGATAGCAAACAGAGTATCGGAGCGAGCAAGAGAAACAAGCCTAGGACTAAGGATTTTTGCATGATCTCTGGAGATGGCACTGGAGTCGACCGCGCGGCTGAGGATATCGAGCACGTTACCATTTAACCCAGGAATGAGGGTCGATGAAAGCGTGGACCGTGCTTCAGGATCCTTTTCCGTTAGTGCCAAGATGGTTTTCATGGTCTCGAGAGCCGCTGACACCTTTGGGGGAAGCTTCCGGCTCATGGGAGTTGCACATCCTAGGCCGTATTGAGTGGTTTCGGCACCATGGGAGGTAGTCTGTGCATTCCGTAGTCTTTCGCTCGCTTGCGCGGCCTGCGCTTTGCTGATATCTGCCCACAACTGTTCCTTCAGCCTCCGTGCTATTTCCTCTGGGTCTTCCTCCTCCTCCCCATCGTCTTCGTCATCCTCAAACTCGTCTTCAAATGTTTCGGCCGCCTCATCACCGATGTCGTCGTCCGGAGGCTCCGTTGTTACCCGAGCTGCTGTGGGATGTTCAATGGCAACCCGTGTCATGGCGCACACATTATTGCCGTCGGGTTTCATCGCTGTGACAAAGCCCACATATGTGACTGCTTCCAAATAAGGAAGCCAGTCTTGGAGGTCACTCCGCGAACCGGTCCCTCCCACACCGCGTCGAGATTTTCGGACAGCTGGCAGTTTTGTCTTTGCACTTCGACTCACAGCTCATACCAGGAAGAGATGTCAATCAATACCATCAAGGATCTGACAGCGGGAACGGCTGGGGGAATTGCGCAGGTGAAAACCTCACGTCCCCCCAGTAACATTTGCGGAGGGCTTGACAAGTTTGGTTGGTGCAGGTCCTTGTCGGTCAACCTTTCGACATCGTAAAAGTGGTCAGTGCATACTCTTCAGCTCTCAAACAAACCCTCGATTTTATGTGAGGACCCTCTAGCGTATGCAAACATCCCCCAAGGGCACCTACAATGGCATGTTGCACTGCGCTACTGGGATCCTAAAGAATGAAGGACCCTTGGCGTTTTACAAGGTAGAAGGTTTTTGGCTTGCCACTACGCTCTTTTTTCCTTCTAATTTCAACCCGATCATAGGGCACTCTCACGCCGTTATTAGGAATCGGCGTCTGTGTGTCGATACAATTTGGTGCACTGGAGTTTGCAAAACGGGTTTTTGCAGCCCAGAACATCGCCAGCGGTCGCGGTGGTGAAGGAGGAAAGATGCTTTCTAACGGTCAACTTTTTATCGCTGGTGTCGGTGCTGGCATTGCAAATGGATTTGTCTCTGGACCCGTTGAACACATTCGAATACGTAGGTTGCTCGTATTTATCATCTAATTTGCATGCTGAAACGCCACAGGACTGCAAACACAGTCGAACACAAATCCTATGTATGCCGGCCCTTGGGATGCGATTAAGAAAATAACTTCGCAGCACGGGATTCCCGCTCTTTTCAAAGGTCAATGCGTCACCTTCCTTCGCGAGGCAGCGGGCTATGGCGTCTACTTCCTGGTGTACGAAAAACTGATACAACGCGAGATGCTGACGAAGGGCATCCGCCGTGAAGAGATAAACCCTATTAACCCCGTTCTATATGGTGCAGCTGCTGGATATGCTGTGAGTACTGGTCATGACGTGATTGCTCACCCTGCTTATCCCAAATTGTAGCTGTGGGCGGTAATATACCCGATAGACATGGTCAAATCTAGGATGCAGACGGATGGTTTCACATCCTCCACTGGTCAACGGTACGCTTCAGCAAGGGACTGCGTGCGGAAAGTCTGGCGGACAGAAGGCATTGGTGCCTTCACGCGGGGGTTAGGTCCCACTCTCATTCGGTTAGTGTCCACTGGTTGATTGTTCACATCCTGCTGATTGAATCTCAGATCTCCCTTCGCAAACGGTGCTACTTTCCTTGGGTTCGAGTTGGCAAGCCGACTCCTTTATTCATGATGCGTCGCTGGCCGGCAGTTTCTGTTGCATGCCACCCGATTCACCATGAGACATCATTTGAGCGTGCGACCCTTACGGCGCATAGACGTGGCAATCTGTCTTGCGTTAGTTGCTACTTGCGAGCCAAAAAGTTATCCCTTAATGTCACCCGTGTGGAAGAATGTCGCTCTCTTTGTCTATGTGCCTCTTGGATAATATCCCCAAGCGGGTCCCTTAGATCGTGCTAGATGCTGCTCGCTGAGGGACCCTGACGACATTCTGAACCAAAACCCACGATCGGCATGACCACGCGTCATTGGACTTGCAGAAAGTGCTGCCAGGTATGACGCGACAACAACGACTACTGAGGCGCCGAATACCAGCCTAGCCACGAGTACTCAGACAGACCAAACACATCATGATCGATCAGGATATCCGTAAGTACAACGGGTAACCTACATGCTCAAAATTCTCAGAAACCAAGGCGGTGATACTTTCAATGCCAAAAATATCCATGTGCCCAATTTCGTGAACACCATTTATGAGACAATGAGGATGGTATACGGGTAGTACTTGTGTCTAAAATTTCTGCAGAAGGATAACACTGTGAGGCATCTTTGAAATCACGTCGCACCTCTACGTATATTAACCGCTAAAATTTTCTTTATTAGTTGCTCTTCTGTTTGGGCTTGCCGTTGGCATCGAACAGGGCGTGTTCGTCACCCAGGACCCTCGGGCCATCGCCAACACAGGTGTGAATGAGTCCTTTCACGGCACCGACTTCATGTCGCTTCGCGACTGCCGAGTTGAAGCCAGGCACAAGAGTGCCCTCAATGACCTCGTTAAGGAAAGGATCCTTGAAAGGCTCTGGTTGAGGGAAATATTGGATGATCATGCCGATGATCTCCTTCATATTCTCTCCGGGTGCATAAATGACGGCGTTCGGCCCAGCGTCAAAAGTGTATGCTGCTTTGCGCTTTCCACCTGCAGCGATGGAAACGCGATTGTACTCGGTCACCACGCCGATGATCGCACGACTGACGTCGTTCATGTAGAAGATCGGGGGATCCGTGTCAAGGGCGACAGCGTGAAATTGATTAGAGTCTTGCATCGTGATTTTCGCAAAGGTATCGAAATCCTTTTTCAGGATGGCCTGCTTGATGTCCACCAGCTGTTCCTCGACGTGCTGGATTCGGTATCGGAAGAGCGCTGATGTCTCCACAGTGCGCTGCATGCCAGCAGTGGAAGACGTGCCCTTCTTGTCGTCGGAGACAATGCAGATAAGGGCATGTATCTCTGGCCAGAACGTGTGATCCGCGACCTGCACGGCACGCGAATCGGATCCGAGAAGGTCATCTCTGCCCATTTGCCACTCTACAAAACCTCCGAAAAGGGAACGACAAGCAGAACCGGAACCCTGACGTGCATTTAGGGAGAGATCGGAGATGTCGGCAGGATCAGAGAGAGGTAGATCGTAGAGATGAGCGAGGGAGTAGGCCAAGGCTGCGAAACCTGATGCGGAAGAAGCCAACCCAGCAGCAGTTGGGAAATTGTTCTCCGAGCAGATGTGGACCTTCCATTGGGATATCTAAGAACACCAGATAAGTCAACAAATCGGAAGAGACGGGGCGCAATCAGACGTGCCTTTGGTTCATTAGGATATTTAGCTTCATAGCGTTCCCGTTGCTTCCTCATAGCTTGAAGACACGTGTTCAAGCGTTTGTCATTATCAATCTTTACTTCTTTTCCATTGAGCCATAATAAGTTTTCCTCGTATTCCGCACATGTGCGAGATGTAGTGGTGGAGCAGAGATGATCCTGGCTTAGCGTGACCGATAAGGATGGGTTAGTGGGTAGAATCAGTGATTCATTGCGCTTTCCCCAGTATCTAAAGCACGATCAGAGTTTGCAAGGCAAAACACCTGCGAACTGACTTGATACAAGCGATGTTGACCGGTGCGGACACGGTGGCCTGTTTGACGAACATAGCTGTTGAAAGTCAACGCCCTCTAGATCGGCTCAGACACCCACTGTAATCAGTGGCTGTGTCGAGTAGACGTCACGCCAGTGTCACACGACCCGGTCACGCTCCGGTCCACCTGTGACACAGTCACACGTGGCACCGGCGAAAGCGACCTTTTGCTGAGGAGAGTCTGATTCCAGTGCTTCTTCATCAACTCACAACCAACAACCCCGCGACAGCGACAACGGCACTGCGTTGGAACAACCCACCGAGAATCTGATTTCTGTCTTATTTTCTTATCATACGCTGGTGGATAATTGTGGCACTCACCCCATTGTCTCGGCTACCAAGACCTACGATCCAGCCAGCCTTCAGGATTCGTCGCTCAGTTGGCTGCATAGGGTGACTTTGCTCACACAAATGCCATGTTTTATCCCCAGCAATCCCCCGCCATTTCTCACAAACATCCCAACCACCACGACCAGTCCCCTTGGGGTCGCACACATCATCCTGTCCTCGGCCCTCCTGGCTCACAGAACATCGGCCCACCGCCTGCGTCGCCTGGATATGCGCTCTACACAAATGGATCCGTGAACCCCATGCAACACCACCCAGGACACCCTCTTCCCCATACTCCAATGACCCATCACCAGCACCATAACTCGCTTTCTCATTATCCCTCTCCACCGAATGGCCACATACACAACCAGCATATGGGCCAGGCATCCCCTGGAAGCGCTGCCAGCCAGATAATTACCCCTCATTGGCAACAGCAACTCCTGAAGTGCGAGGTATGCCAGCTCATGTTGCACGTAATACTGGGACGTTGGTCTAATCGGGCCGTATGTTCAAAGATGATAAGATCGTCCCGCTCTCCGCACCACAGGGCGCGGGCTAGTGCTATGGCCTCTCGTTCAGTCACTAAATCAGCTATCCTCATCACGAATCCGAACCACGTGAAACCAAACAATGGTACAGACGTTCCCGATGCGGCGTCAAAAGACAGCGGGACTTCAACTGCATCTAGCACTCCAGCTCCTACAACTGCTTCGGAGAGCTCTCCGGTGTCATCTAACTCGGCACCTAACCACCCCTCTGCCACAGTGGCACCGATCGCGGAGGCTCCGCGACCGACAGCAGGACCACCCGAAAATACTTGGAATTCACTAGACATGGGTGGCGTTAACCTAAAGACAATTCCACACAACTCTGGGCTGTTTACATTCACGTTTCTCATTAATCTCTACCTCAACCACAATTCTCTAGCTGCAATACCACAAGAGATCTCTAAACTGCGTCATCTGGAATTGCTAGATTTGTCGGGAAATGCACTCACCACAGTGCCTCCGGAGATGGGCATGCTTACGCAGCTCAAGGAGCTCTATCTTTTTGACAACCAGATCACTACGCTTCCACCGGAGCTTGGCAGTCTTCACCAGTTACAGACACTTGGCATAGAGGGCAACCCTCTCGATGCAAGTCTGAAGGGAATGATACAGAAGGATGGCACGCCAGCACTTATCTCGTACCTTCGGGACACCTGTCCGATGCCTCTGCCTCCCCCCCAACGGGCATGGAAAAACGTCATCAGCCCAGCGGAACGAGAAGCTTTGGCGAACGACCCTCACACGGAGACCTTTAGCGTTCTTTGTTACAACATTCTGTGCGAAAAGTACGCAACAGAGAAGTTGTACGGCTACACCCCCTCGTGGGCACTGTCGTGGGACTACCGGAAGGAATTGATCTTAACCGAGGTGATGAACTACGATGCAGACTTTCTGTGTCTGCAGGAGGTAGACATTGCTCAGTACGAAGACTATTTCGTCAAGCATCTACAGGCACAAGATTATGAGGGCATCTACTATCCAAAGTCGCGATACAAGACTATGAGCGATGTCGAGCGGCGGCAGGTCGACGGTTGTGCGACTTTTTACAAGGCTAACAAGTACGTGCATTCCATCCAAGCTGCTACACTACATCCTAACACCATTCTAGGTATCAACTTGTTGAGAGACAACTCATCGAATTCAGTACTGTCGCGATGCAACGGCCGGATTTTAAGAAGACAGATGATATGTTCAACCGCGTGCTCGGGAAGGATCACATCGCTGTCACGTGCCTTTTCGAAAACAAAAAAACGGGTACTCGCGTCATAGTCGCCAATGCTCATATTCACTGGGACCCAAACTTCCGAGACGTTAAGCTTGTTCAGGTCGCGTTACTAGTGGAGGAAGTTGAGAAAATTGCTGCCCATTTTTCCAAATTACCCCCCCGCCCACCGATCAGCTTCGATGATCAATCGAGTCCATCACGGCCACTACCTACGTATTCGGATGGGACGAAGATACCTACCATCATTTGTGGAGATTTTAACTCTATTCCCTCGAGTGGCGTGTGGGAGTTCCTGTCTACTGGTTCAGTGCCACCGGATCACCCAGATTTCATGTCCCATTTGTATGGCAAGTACACCACAGAGGGCCCCAGACACAGGCTCAACCTGAAGAGCGCGTACGCTGCTGCCGGGGAAATCTCCTTGACAAACTATACACCACGCTTCCAAGGTGTTGTCGATTATATATGGTACTCGGCGAGCAATCTATCTGTCAACGCTGTTTTGGGCGAAACTGATAAAGGGTACCTTGAGAAGGTCGTTGGCTTCCCAAACGCACATTTCCCTTCGGAGTAAGTGTCAATTCTTTGCAGTCACGTATGAAAAAGCCTGATGTTACCCTTTCCTTCCAGCCACGTATGTTTAGTGAGCGAGTTCCGGGTGAAGCCCATACGGGACACACTCCCCCCACCGTCAACGATTCCGACACCCAACGGTATGCACTCCTAAGTGAGATGGAGTGTGGCTTTCATCCGCCTCATTTACCTCCTGTATTTCTTTTTCACTTTTTTGCACATATAATTTTTCTGCAGTACATTGCTTTCTTGCTTGCGTGTACACGAGGAGTGATTGCGTATATACAACAGTACTTACGTGTTGTTTGTTTTAAATCCAGTCCTATATCTCCACTTCTCTCTCTCTTCCTGTGTTGTCCCCGGAGTGTGCTTGCTTGCCCGGCGTTCATGTACGCCGCTTCTTAGCTGTCTCTGTTCGTATATATGTCTGTAGCATCTGTCTGCCTTGTGCACCTCTCTGATCTGAACTATATTTTCCTTATTCCTTCATCTCGTAGACGATGTGCAGCGAACCAAGTTGCAGGTGGAACAGATAGCGAAGCAATGGTGCTCGATACGTAGTGAACCCGCTTTCCAGCATGCGTGTGTGGAGATGCCAAGTCTCGGGGGAGTTCTATTTCGGTGATTACAAATAGTCTACTTGTAGTACCAATCGGAAAATCTCTATAAGGGTACAGGGGGGGGGGGGGGGGGATTGCCATGTTAGCTAGTCATTGAGATGGGGTAGGCAAAACAATGAACAAACGAGTGATGAGGAAATGGAGACAGGGAATCGTAAGCTACGGATATGACGTGTGATGTGCGCGCTTGTGAACCTGTTAAATAAAAATCCGATATGAAAGGACAAAGCGGAGTGGAAATACCTAGTATACCAATTAGCATCTTCAGTTACATAAATCCGGGAAAAACCCCTACAATCAAACTGAGGGAAGACACTAGTGGAGCGACGTCATCTCGCCCGATTCATGTCCCGAACTCCTCTCAGCTTCCTCGTACGAGGGCAAGCCTTGCATACTTGTCAGTGGTGGTACGCCCCCAATGACCCCACTAGCAGATGCCCCGTAATCAGGCACCTCTGTTAGCGCGCGCATCCTTGACTCGGTCATTGAGGCAGTCACCTCAGCGGCCGGGGAGGCTACCACAGGGACTGATGGCAATATCGCATGAGCGTAATGTCCCGTTGGACCCGACGGTGAGGTAGAAATCGCGGACGACGATGACGACAACGCGTTGGCGATGTTTGAATACGAACTAGAACGCGACGGTCGCCATCCATGCGCCATAGGTTTCATCGTCACGCTGAAAATCCCTGGGAGGGACCGACTTGCTTGGCTACTGTGCACGTGCGTCTCACAGGATGGCGAATTACTGCCGGGCCCACCACCAACGCTCGTCCCCGAAATGGAGGTCATTGTCAAATGTCGCTCTGGACTGGACGCCCGGCTTCCACGACGACTCACTAGCCTCGAGCTTGGGTGACTGGCAGCCCGGCTACTCCCTTCCGAATGCGAGGAGGAGGGGTGATTAGGAGTTTGCGAGGATGCGTCCCGCGACATAGAGAGCAGTAGCTCAGAGTTGATCCACTCAAGTGAGGTATTTTCTTCTGCCTGAGGGACGTATGGCAGGTGAGGAATCATCGGAGCCCTAGGAGATCCGGGTATTGGCGGGCTCCAATATCCTTCGCTCGGCTGCGCCCCTGGGTGATTCGTCAGTCGCACTTCGCGGTGGTATACGTCGGGGACACGGTCCCGCACGTGGGAGGAATAGCTTGGTAGTTCCGCATCTTGCTCTTCCTGAAGGGGAATCTCGGATCCACCAAGGATGAGGCGACGGGTAGTTGCACAATTAGCACGCGATTCATCGAGAAGACGGTGGTCCAAGATGTGGATTGGGAGCGAACACCGCAACTCAGATGTATGCCCGTCCAGGTTTGACATGAGGATAGACCATCGTATTCGATGGCTGACCGTGATGGGTTCCAATAAATGCGACGGCGTCGCAGACCGAGGTATAGTAAGGGAAAGTTGCGTAACCACATCGGCGGGGCCCATCTGATCTACCTCTGCATCAACCACCCCCGCAGAAGGTGACTCCCCAGGTGCCGATGGCAGAACTGGGGGAGGAGCGTCAAGGGAGGAAGAGAATCTCCCCGAAACCGGAGACCTGACAGACAACGAAGCATCGTTCTGGCCCACTATTGATCCAGGACTCGTGTGATCTTCGTTAGATGGTCCACCGGGTGGCGATGGAGTACCCGAACCTTGCACCACCGGTGCAGGTTCACCATAATGCTGCTCACGCTTTGGAATTGCCCTTTCACCAGAAAATGTGTGTTCGGCAGACACGATCCTCCGGGTGTGTTCCTGCGTGGCTCCACGACAGTGCACTTTCGTGATCTCAGTTATCTGAGTAAGCACCGTTAGCACGCGTACGCCCTTTGCCAACGGTGAAAATTTGACGACTACTGTGAGTATGTCACCGATGGCCCAGACCTTGTGGGGCAACACGATCGAATACATGAGTTTTTCGGGCCAACTGTTCTCGATCTCGAGTGTCTGCTGAAACTCGAGAGCGTCCGGTGCAAATGAATGCAGTAGGAAAATAGGTATAGTAGCATGCAGGTTATGGGCTAAGCCGGGTCGCACAGCGACCGCCCTGAGCTTATATGAAACGATCACGCCGCCATGTGCAGTGGTCGCCACACTGGATGGCAGCGACCCGCCGAGTTGCAACTGGAATGGAAACAAGTGGCGACCAGCCTTCAGGGTATGACTGTGGCGTTTCTCGCCTTCTAAAAACGACCAATCGTGCGTACAGATAGCGTACGTCTGAGGTGAATTATTTAATGCTCGCCTGGCCAACAAAAGCTTATAGATGGTAGGGAAACGAAACAGAGGATAGGACGCACTGTTCACTCATAGGGGCAGGAAGCCTGACTTTACCCCTAAACTGGAGGGTGATCTCTTTGATGGAAGTTGACTCGGTAAGATTCAACGCGACGTGGCCAGAGAGGAGGGCGGGTTGGACCTCCCCGCCCGTTCCTCTGACCGTGATACAGCTGGCATCGACCACAATATCTATGCCTGACCGTTCTTTGTCCCTGCCCATGTCGTGATCTGTCGAATGCGAGTGGGCAGACGAGTTGGGAACGAAGCCGGAGAGGGCAGCGTGGAGCGCGGAAGAGAGGGTATCATCGACATTGGACGAGTTATGTAGCTCGTGCGATGGAGAGGGAGGTCTGGTTAGGGAAAAGGCCATAGTAATGGAAGAAGGTGTAGCCAAGACCACCGCGAAAGGAGAATGGAAGGATAATTTAAGGAGTGCACGAATCGCGATTTGGAGACAAAAGAACTGGTATGGAGCCTGTGGAAGCGATTATCTATGGACGTGCGTGCGTGCGGTCGTGCTATTGGAATGATTGGAAGGCAAAAAGAACTTGGACGTCTCATCAAGCCTTCTTTATTTGCTTCTAAGATGCGGTGATTTTCCTGTTCGATAAATATGTAGAATAAAAAATAACACGGAATTCGAATATGTCGCTGGCCAGAACCGGAACAGCATAACAGCGGAAAACCCGTATTCGGAAATCAAGAGTCACTTCAAACACCCCAAGGCGGCTAATCCGTCCTGAAATCACCAAATTTGCACTCGAGACGGGACGTCGGAACGAATCTGCTGGCGGGTTGTTGCTTTGTGGCACCCGTCAAGGCACAGATAATGGAGGGATGTCGCTTGCTCGCCTTTATCGACACAGACCCACGTCCGACCCAATGTCGTGGTCCCATCTGACGATATTAGTCCATGGGAGTTCAGGCGTGTCCAGATGCACGAATCCAAATTTACCTCCAATAGCTTACCAGTGTCTGATCTGTTCAACGACATTAATTTCATAGGTCGGGTCAAATCATCAAAGTATATAGCCACTATCGTGAGAGCGGGCATCTGACATTTTGAGATGACATTCTGGTCTCCGTAGGTGTCAATTCTCGAGATATGATATATGAACATCCACGGACCGGTCTACCACCAATGGATTGATGACCAACTAAAGTCGACAACAAGGGTCTCGCCCTTCGGAGGCCCTCAATCGAACACCGTGCCAGTTAGCTTGCCGCTGTCCATTGCATTCCTATCATATCTGCATTTCATTTCTTTATTGTTCCCCAGGATATGTATCTGTAAACTTGTGGTGGAACGGCGTTGCTAGAATGCGGGAAGCCGTTCCGGCTAATACACGCACGCCTTTGGCCGGGCATCGGGTTAGCAACGGGATATGTCGGGAGACGCACCTCCAGTGTCTCACCAATAGGCTCATTCCTCTCCCGGAGTCACGCGCATGCACATGGCCGTGACACGCCGTAGCGCTGGTTGTTGCTTATTAGAGATCCCGCGAAAGGGAGACTGCAAATCACCTGTCTCCCTGTCTTTAGTCTGCCAGCCTCTGAGTGCTTCAGACCTTTCATTCGCGTCACCCGCTTCTGGGCGAAGTCATTGATGGTCGATCACAATACCCAATTGGTGGACATCTAGAGAAGCCCGTGGTGTGGTGAAGTAAACAGGCACCGGGGAACGAGAATGGGGCCGATATCATCATAGGTTGAAAATTACCTACCCTCCAGAACCTCGTGTCATGCTAGACACACCTGTCAATCCGTCGACAAAATCTAAACGCAGTCTTTTGGGATCTTTGGCAAGGCCGCGGCAGGCAGACAGCGTTGTAGTGCCCACGCGCTACACACCCCTACTATCCCACGCCTGAACCCAGCGTACCACCAGAATTGACGCAAAGGAATATTCGCTAATCGATTCAGCAAACCCGCGGGAGGAGACCAAGAACGAGCAGCTAGAGAATGCTTAGGTTTTCAAGCCTCCTGGATGCTTTCTTCTTTGCATGTCTTGCGCTGGGGCTCGAATGCGCCCGTGTCAGCGGGGCCACTTTTACTGAGACAAGAAACGTCATCTTCCACACAGTACTGCGGGCCAGAATCGAGGACATTGGTACTCTCACCATACCCGACGTCATTGCTACCATCTGCACGATAACCATACCCAGGGTGACGACAACAATAACAGCAGTCGTCGAAAGCAGCACTGCTAGTCCGCTAGACACGATCAAATCACTTCTGTTTTACTATGTGTTTTATACCTACGGTATAAAGGCATACCGCCACGTCCGCGCGAGAGGATTACGGAGGTGTATGTCAGAGACTGTGAAGGCAGTCGTCAAAGTGCGTCTCTCGCCCCAATTTCTTCTGATTCCTTAAATATTTTATTGTACCCCATTCCATGCACACATGTAGGACACCCTTCTTCTTTTCCTTGCTCTCCCACCTGGGCGATCAAAGGTCCAGTCAGAACTGTCCCAAGTTCGAATGGAAATCGAAAAGAAGCTGGTACCAGAAGGTACTGGTGTGCAGAGACATCTTGAGCTTCCTCACCAGGGTCAGTCATTGGAATGGATTTTGAAGGAGATGGAGAGAATGGATGAGGAGTTTGGCAGTAGCAACCGAGGCGAGAATGAGCAACATACGAAAGGGGTAGACTGGAGAGAAGGGAAAATAAGCGGGACTGTGTACCGTACGCATCCGCTTTATTCTCTCCTGTCTCATGATCTCAGTCTCGTGTTTAGACGGTGGTATGGACCTGACCCGCGTGATTGTCGCCGCGTTTGAGCGATACGCTCTCGCAAATCCGTTGCACCCTGACGTGTTCCCCGCGATCCGAAAGATGGAAGCCGAGATTGTGTCTATTTGCCTTAGATTGTTCCACAACCCAGACGGTGCGGGCACGATGACATCAGGTGGCACAGAGTCAATTGTAATGGCCGTGAAGACCCATCGCGATTGGGCGAGGGCAGTAAAAGGGATTACGGAGCCCGAAATGTGAATAGCTGGGCCACAATTATCGGATTCGAGTGAAATGGGCTTATGTAAACTCATTCCGCAGGGTCGTTCCACTCACCGCTCACGCGGCGTTCGACAAGGGAGCTGCGTATATGGGTGTCAAGGTACACACGATCCCCGTCGACCCCATTACTCGCGCAGTCGACATGAGACGTGTTCGTAGGGCTATGTGCGTCTTTCTTTAATCTCTCAGTATCTCTGACGCCATCCTACTTCATTCGCGACAGAAATTCAAACACAATCATGGTAGGTCCTTCCGCCTTCTGCTGACTTCGTCACAGACGACATTGTCTGCCCCAGCTCGTTGGTTCCGCTGTTAATTTTCCCGACGGAAATCAAGATGACATTGTCGCCCTTGGACAACTGGCTTCGCGGTATAATATCGGTCTTCATGTCGACTGCTGTCTTGGCTCGTTTGTTTTACCATTTCTTGAAGCTTCTGGGCTCGCCGACGGTGAGGCAGACGCGGAGGGGAAGGTGAGGTATAGACTGGAACCGTTTGACTTCAGGGTCAAAGGTGTGACCAGCATTAGTTGTGATACGCATAAGGTGTGTTCTGCTTTAACTTGGCTGGCGGAATGTGATGGTGGCACAATCTGCTAACTGCACTTCGGTGTGAATGTCACTTTTGTTTGGTTGGGACTTCTTCTTGATCGCGTTTTCCATTTCCTGGTCGTGGCTTACAACTCTAACTCTATAATGGACCACTATCATATAGTACGGATTCGCACCCAAGGTAGGTTCTCCTTGTACTTCTCAATGCAGTCCATAACCGGGAACGCTGGGGAGTAGGGTTCCTCTGTAATCATGTACCGCGACTCATCCCTCCGGCGGTATCAGTACTATGTCAATCCAGATTGGACGGGCGGTGTGTATGCGAGTCCGAGTCTGTCGGGGTCGAGGTGAGCGGTCTTAACCTTCTCTATTTGACAGACTCTCTTGTCTCATTCTTCTTAGACCCGGGTCGTTGATTGCAGGGACTTGGGCCGCGATGCAATACATCGGATCGGAGTACAACTTTTCCCTTACTTGTTGGCCTTCTCCCTTACTTTGGCTACAGCGGATACCTGGCGTCTTGTCAGTCCATCGTCACTTGTGCACGAAAAATCGCCAACGCAATTACTACATCCATTCCTTCTTTATACGTCATCGGTTCGCCACCTTCGAGTGTCGTCGCATTCGCGTCACGTGACAAGGACGTAGATGTATATGAGGTCGGGGATGCAATGGCAAAGCGTGGATGGCATTTGAACGCGATCACGGAGCCAAAAGGGGTGCATATTGCTTGTACAGTGCGTTGGTTTTTTTTTTAATTATACCTTCGAGCGCTGACTGGTTGGTATAGAAACTCACATTAACACTTGCGGATACGTTTGTAGAGGATCTCAAGGCATGTGTCGAGAAGGCCCGGCTAGCGCCGGAAGGGAAGGGGACAATGGTGGCGCTCTACGGTGTGTTCTGATCCCTTTTCCTTTGATGAAAATTAATACCTGCTTGGTTGGTCGTTTGGTCCACTGTGCACCTGGATTGTCCACTCGCGTATACCGCGTTCATGCGTTAGGCCTGGGCAGCTCGAGCCCCGTGGGACCGACCCTGATGGGCGAGGTCGCAACTATCTTCCTCGACACGTTGTATCAGGCTTAGCTTCTGCCAGTCGTGCATCGGAAGCGATGTGTAGTATATTGTTCTAGGGTGCAGGAAGCAGGTACCTTTTGGAGTCGATATATGAGTCCACCGAACATATACCTAAGTATTGTAGAAACGTTATACTGATGCTGGTTGTACGAGCACAGGTGTGTGTTGCATTGGAAGGTAAACCGAATGGGTTGTACATCTAGTGTTGGAAAGCATCATGCATGCTCCAAGTTGTTTGAGCGGCACTTGACGTCACATCTCACGCGGCTGAATTCATTTGCTACCTCAGTTGGGTGAGAAGACCACTACGATTTAATCCTAGGTGAGTCCTGATCTAATGTACATATCTTCGTCGACGCATTTCACGGTCCCATCAGAGTATTTGTAAGTCGGGTATCTGCTAAGTGACCAACACCTACTTTCGTGGATTGTGGAAAGAGGGGTACTTTTTGATAGGTGTTGGTGGGCTCCCCGTGAATGTCCCTGTGCATCAAGCAAGCTTCCTACCGGTCCATGGCTTCCACGTACTTCTCCATTATGGCTTCCCAAACTTCACAACCCACGTCTCGGCACACGGTGCCATCTCGGGCAAGAGCCTCTTCTTCTCAAATTCGTCGTCCTTTTCGAGGCCTTTGAAGACTGTCTTATCTCCGAGCCAATCAATTCTCTTCAATTTCTTCTCCTTATCTCTTTCCGCTCTTGCTTTGGCCGCTTTCTCGATCGTCTCGCGTCGCGACTTGTCAAGTATGCAGACGGTCCCCCATTCGGAATCTGCCAAGGGTTCCTGGAGCATCTTGTGCAACCCATCAAACACGGCTGCGCATGTCACAGGTGCCGGGATATCGAGTGTCCAGGGGAACGAATGGGATATTATACGGATGGCAGCTGACGGCGATGAAAGGGCAAGTGTAGAGCCGAGCTGCGCAGCCGTGGAGAAGAGAATGCCGTGCAATGGTGTTTTGCGAACGTCATATTGGATCAGGGTTGTGTCCACTGCAAGGATGGGATTGAGGTTGGGGTATTTGGATTGTGGGCGCAGGCGGTCTTCTGTGGACAAAGCCGATGAGAAATGTCAACGTCGTCAAAGGGAATGGACTCGTACGGGGCACGGGCCAGTAGTAGAGTGGTACGTGGAGACGCGGGTCACTCTGAGGGTGGTACCACCGGTTAGGGGCCCATCCTCGGTTTGCGTAAGGATTCATGGTAAGGGTGTACGAGAGGTGATAATAAAAGGGAGATGCGTGATGGTATGAGAAAAAAAAATCAGCATTTTATATACATGAGCGGCCCTGCGAGCACCTGTCAGCGTCTGTGAGAGGCTGTCTCCAGCGGTGTTGATCCAAGGCGAATACAGACTCATATTAATTAACACCATCGAAACGGGTGTATCGGAGTCATCACGGACGGATGACGGCAGCTGAGGCAGTTCGTGTGGTGTACAGCCATGACTTGGGGTCGGCGTCGGACGGAGCTCAGGGGGAATCATTGTCAATCCTTGAAGAGTTGACAAGAGGCAATGCTAGGAAGCTATCTGGACTTGTTTGACCCTCCGGCCCACATCCAGCTGGCAGAGAATGACTGCAAACGATTGCGATGCACATCACATCAGAACAGTGCTTCGACCGGCCAGTTTCGGTTCTTCAAAAGTTGTTCAAACGTTCCGCCATAAAAATGCATATTGGCTCCACATGATTCGGCGTTCTTTTGGTAGCCGGGAGATATGGATATCCATGTCCAAGGGCTTCGAACCAGATAGAATCAACCCATTTAATCAAGTTGGTGGATCTGCCTGGCTAATAGAAAGCCTGATTACATAACCATATGCACTGCCCACGAGGGTTTGTTGCTTTGACTTCTCCCTCTTCGTTACAAACAAACACTAACCATGTCCCTCGTTGCTGCTTGCCGTGCTCCTGTTCGCAGAGCCGTATTCTCTGCCTCATCAAGGAGGGCCGAGTTCAGGCCAAACGCCTACAGAAGGTTCACTACCAATGGGCCGCCTCCAGCGCCCAAGTCAAACACAGCTCTCTACGCCGGTATCGCCGCCTTCACGGCTGCGGCTGCAGGCTATTATTTGTACAATTCTGACTCTGATGCCTCACGCGAGGCTGCGACTGCGGTAAAATCTGCTGCTCAGGCGGGTAAGGCTGCTGCCAAGTTCACTCCCACCAAGGAGGACTACCAGAAGGTGCGTTTGCTTATCCACCTCATGTGCAACTCTGCCCCTCCTTTAACGACTGCGAGCAGGTCTACAACCGCATTGCCGAAGTCTTGGACGATGCAGGCGATTATGACGGTAATCCTTCCTACAAACAGTGCGAGGTTAATCCACTCACTGCGTCCGAAACATTGTCCCAGACGGCTCGTTTGGGCCCGTTGTGCTTCGTCTTGCTTGGCATGCCTCTGGCACACATGACAAGGACTTGGGAACAGGTGGAAGGTATACCCACCAATCACGTCGGTCGCATTACTTTGCGCTAACGTAAGCTTGGGATCATAATCATTCGCTTAGCAATTTCGCAACGATGCGTTTCGAACCCGAGTCCTTGCACGGGGCCAATGCGGGTCTCCACGTCGCTCGTGCAGTGATGGAAAAGATCAAACAAGAATACCCATGGATTAGCTATGGCGATCTCTGGACTCTTGGTGGTGTCGCTGCCGTCCAGGAAATGGCTGGTCCCAAAATCCCGTGGCGTCCCGGTCGTATCGATGGGTTTGCCTCTGATGTGACGCCTGATGGTCGTCTACCCGATGCATCTCAGGGTGCACAACACATTCGAGACGTGGGTTGAAGTTGACTGGTTATGTCCCTTGAAACATGCCACTTAAACGCTGTTGAACACAGATTTTCTATCGTATGGGTTTCAACGATCAGGATATAGTTGCTCTCATTGGTGCTCATGCTCTTGGACGTTGTCATTCCGACAGGTGGGAATTACACTTTCGATTTGGGTAGTATTCTGAGTCCTGCTCGTGTGTACAGGTCCGGTTACGAGGGCCCTTGGACATTCTCACCGACCACCTTCACTAATGACTTTTACAAACTTCTCTTCGATGAGAAGTAAGTCACGTGTGGTTGTGGCAGCTAATCCAGTTAACTATCTATCGATAGGTGGGTATGGAAGAAGTGGAATGGTCCCAAACAACTTCAGGACAAGAAAACTGGATCCTTAATGATGTTACCGTGTGTTTTCTTGACATTTGTATATGATATTTTGACCCTAAGAGGATGGGCAGGACGGATTATGTCCTGACTCAGGACAAGAGCTTCAAGAAATATGCCAAGGCCTATGCTGATGATCAAGACCTCTTCTTCAAAGAGTACATATATGTCTTGATGGGAGAACGTATACTGATGTTTCTACTAGCTTTTCTGCTGCGTTTGCCAAACTCCTTGAACTCGGTGTACCTCCTCAGCAATTCGTGACAGCGGAGCCCTGGACTATGAAGACGCTTGAGGAGCAGAAGGCGTGATAACTGGCGCATTTTTGTATCAATTTTAGGGTCTACTTGGCAGTTGTAATGTTGTGTCTGACTGACAGTATGGAGTACCGATGTCATCATATTTCGTCATGTGAACTGGTATGAATACTTGAGTCGTGGCTGATTGCCACAAAGCGCTTTCGTTACTGGCGCTTTGCTAGTCTTAGTCTCAAAACATGACTTCAAGCAGATCCGCAAGCAGCTTGTCGACGAGGCTCCCGACAGAAGTCATCTCGTACACTGTCGTCGACAGCTCGGAACATAGTGGCAACTACGTTGCCGATAATATCAAGGTCGACCGCCCGCTTGATCAAACTAGCAGATGGAGTGGGGCACAACAGGCACCGAGCATGAAGCAATGGATCCTCCTCCGTCTAGACATGCTGGCGGTTGTCAGTTGAGTATCTTTCTCGGTGCATCGTGTCATTTAGAGTTCACCCTTGCTTAGAAAACATTACATTTGGAAAGGTGTGTATTACCACTTGGTTTCCGAGGGCATTGCTCAACGCGCAACCTTGCTGTCATGCTATCTACTAGTTTCATAAAAGTAAGTACGCCAGCACTCATCATCGATTCATTTATTGTTGGTTACTGATGCTACCCCGGACGACACCACCAGAGCACCCATGTAATATGAAAGAATTCAAACTCTATGTCGGATTACACCCGGAACACATGATCCAGGTGCTACATACCACTCTCAAGGATGACTCTGTACCAGAGTCTTTCGCGATCCTAGGGGCAAACAAGGCAGGCCTCCCGTTTCCCTCACGTTTCGTCAAAATTCTTCCTCTTTCGTAAGTGGACCTTTGCCCTGTGCTGGCGAGCAAGTGATCTGATCAGTGCTTTGTCTCGTGCACGATAGTGCCCATGGACAAAGCTTTCATATCTCGATATGGCATGTCTCCGTGACCGGTATTGTTGAACCATCATATGTGGAATCCGTGCGAGCGCGGTACGATGAGGTCAGTCTGCCACGACCATCTGTACTCTCAATGACCTGCATGCTGATGTGACTCGTTCCGCGCGTTCACTGACGTACGGCGTTCTGCAATGTGAACGTAGTACCGCGAAACGGTTGTCGCGCGACATATCCTCAAACACCTACGCCAGCGCCGCATGCTCATGCCGTACACATCCATCCTTGCCCGTACCCGCCTTGAACTTGAACATCCCCTCGTGACGGCCCTTCACTCGTCGCTCGTGCTCCAGGGCGACTTTCTCTCAGCCGAGTTGGTTCTGTCACAAATGGCTTCTGCTCATTTGTTCGACAAGTACCTCTGCTCCTGCCAACCGCACGCGCGCTGGACTCGGCTGCACGGCGCAGATCCAGACGGAGATGCACCTGGTGCGCGTGGCGGTCATGCGATGGCGCTAGATGCGTCTCGCGGTGTGATATACCTGTTTGGAGGGTGGGACGGCAGGAAGAGTTTAGACGACCTTTGGGCATACAGTATTGGCACAGGGAGATGGGAAATACTGTGTAGGAGCACGGCCAAGGAGAAAAATGGACCTGGTCCGAGGTCGTGCCATAAGATGGTGTGTGACTCGAAAACGGGATGTCTATATGTGCTGGGTAGGCTCGGTGACGATGTAGGGAGAATCTCGTCTTCGCGTTCTCCTTCGGAGGAGGGCCAGAGACAAGCACACACCCGAACAGGAGATCGCAGTCCGAACGATCAACAAGGCATATCGTTTTGCTCTGAGTTCTATAGGTATCATACGAGGGGGTTGGATGCTGGCAAGTGGGACTTGCTCTCATTCGATACAGAGGTGAGTATACAGTCTTTTTATAGTTGGTCGGCCGCGCGTTAGTCGGCTTTGTCGTGGACCTATACTGAGTTGTTTCTGATTGCAGTCGTCCGGCGGCCCGCAACTCATATTTGATCACCAGATGGTAATGGACTCGGAGGCTCAGATGATATACCTTTCAGGAGGGCGAGTGGTCAACGGCGATTGGGATTCACCCAAGTACTCGGGGTTTTACAGCTATAATGTCAGGACCAGCAAATGGAAGCCATTGCAGTATGTCCACGCGATGGTATGCGGAGTAATTGGTACCGACCGCCAATTCTTTTCAGACCCATAAGCACTTCGGGCCCGCCTTCCTCTATCCAGCCACCGATTTCCCAACGCTCTGGTGCGTCCATGAACTTCAACCTTCACCTTGTTCTTGTAGAATCTGGACTTACAGTCTTGTGATACAGGACATTCCATGGTTTTTGACCCACTCACCCACACGCTTTTCATTTTTGCTGGACAGAGGGATGAACGGTATCTGTCTGATATGTGTGCATATGATACGGAGAGCAACACAGTCACAGAGTTGTTTTCCAACTTCACTTCTGTAGGCGGGCCAGATGCCTGTTTCACGCAGCGGGCGGTGATCGACCCGACATTAAAGGAAATTTACGTGTAGGTTTCCCCTCTTGCTTCTGTTTACATTCCATTGATCATTGACCCCTATACTTTATTTATGTGCTATCTCGGTCTGGACACTGGATTCGCCTTCGCACCCAACCGCTCGCCCATGCACAGGTTCTGCGGCCTCTCTCGTTCTCAACAAACAGAGGCACTTACCGTCCTCAAAGCCGACGCTCCTAACTGGGTATACCGATACACACACCCAAACGTTCCGGGAACGTGGACACGGATTCTACCTGAGCCCCTGTGTAAGGACTTGGAGGGCTCCAATACGGACACTGAGAGCATGCTCAAGTGTAGAGAGGGGGAATGCGACAGCGAATGGGATGACGATGCTCCCCGGCCCAGGTATGCTCACCAAGTCGTGTATGACGAGAAGACAAGAAAGGCCTTTTTGCACGGTGGAAACGCAGGAGAGACGAAGGTCGAAGAGAATGAGCATGGCAGTAGTTCTGGAGACGGGCAGGGTACCGGGACTGAGCCTCTGGGAGGTCCCATGGAACTTGAGGGAGCCGCTCCCGGCTCTTCACGGCATCGACATGACCTTACCTATAGGGATGGGGAGACGGAGGGAGACGAAAATAGAAATGATGAAGAAGACATCGAGCACCGTTCGTGGACACGAATGCAAGAGTTGCGGTTAGACGACTTTTGGAGTATGACATTAGTCAGGTGAGCTTTCAGCCCTTTTTTTGCTCGGTCTCGTCTGCTGTTTTTTGCAGCCAAAGACTGCCCTTTTCTGCCGCAAGTACGAAAGTGCTGACGGTGCATATACGCTGTAGGACTGGGCCGGAAGAAATAGTTCGGCGGGCCGTGTACCATATTCGACGGCAACGGTGCGTCTTGCTCGTTCTTCGTACCCTCGTCTCAACACCTCTATCTCACGCGTTACTTGCTCCTCCCCTCTTCGACGCTAGGTTCCGTGAGATGTGTGAAGATGAAACGCCGCTCACCGCTTTACGCTACCTCCGAACGGAGGTCGCAGACACAGTGGACCACTCCAATTCCGAAGAAGCCGATATCTTCCGGTCGCTACTTGCGCACTTGCTGGCCGTGGCACCGCTTGGAATCTCCACTACCGGGAACGTATCTACCCTTCGGGACCAGGGGAGTGGTGTCCGCTGCGGATGATGTCGAAGGCGATAGTGAAGAACGAGATCGGGAAAGAAAAAATTCCAGATCAGAGGGCGTGCCTCCCACAAAACGCACACGGTCCCAGTCTTCAGAAGAAGAGGAACCTGTATGGACGAGCATAATTGAGGGCGACGATGGGGGCAGGATAGGGGGTGAAGTCGAAGCATGCGGAGATGGCCCGACCTCCGGTTCCGCTTATTATCTATGGTCAGAGTCGACATCGCAGTCAATCGGACCAGCACCATTGTCAACCGCAACAATGACGCGTTCAGGTGCACAGAAGCGTTCGCATGCGGTTCTCTTGTTAGACGAGGACCCGCTTGAAGCATCGTCGAGTGGGGGTGATAACGTCCACGACGGTTCAAAGACGAGGGCGAAACCACTTTCAGCAGACCGATTTCGCCAGCGGACAGAAGTGTTCGAAGGATTGCTGGAGTTTGTCGAGGCGGATGCGAAGGAGCCCGAGGGCTCTTTACTGGACTTGGTAGATTCGGAGGGTGGGCTGTGAGACTTGGTGTTATTCCCGTGAATTCGCTGGTTTAACTTTCTTGCATTTGGCACAAGTCGCTCCGGCGTGTCTCTTCGCACAAATCGTACGCGCTGATTGCTTCCACCGGGCTCAGTTCGCACCGATCACTAGCGTGACGCGGGCTTCACCTTCTAATACTGCCTGGACGGTCTGTCGAAGATACATATGCTGAAGTATCTACCTACCACCTTGACTAGAAACGCATGCTCGTTGTTATCAATGTCATTGTGATTCACGGAAGTGCTTGCGACACTTGACTCCTTCATTCCCTGTTCATGTGCAAGACCATGAGGACTAGCGAAGAAAGAACTATCATCTATTTGTCTTTTGAAACTGGGACACTACACTGGGCCAACACACGAGGTTTTCCCCGGTGCTACTCTGGGTGACAAGTACCTCACTTCATTTGATTTAAGAGAGAAAACTAAGAGTTTTCCGTCTGAACAAGCGGAGATGCATGGAATACACCGAGACCTACAATAGCTCCCGTCCAGTAATGAGCCGCTACTCATCCAGATTGATCGCCTTCCCAAATTTCGCATATAGCCGTACCTTGAGGTCTTTCATACCTCTTTCACATTCCTCTGCAACGGCACCCAGCTTGGCTAGCTGCGAGGAAACGGAAGCTTGGTCGATTTCAAGGCGGAAGAGCGCATCTGGCTGAGGAAGGTGCAGAAAAGACTCGCCGAGTTTGTACCTGAGAGTTATGTTCGGTATTTTTTTCAAGTAAAAACAAAAGATATATTGGACAGGGGATATAGGAAGAAAAGAGTCCAGGGGAAAGGCAGACATACAGCACCGTTTGGTTTTCGTCCGTTAGTTCGAGCTCGGTAGAGAGATCGTCAAGTGCCTCCTTTTCTTGCTGAGGGATAGGAAGGGGCAATGAAACGCGGGTAGAAAAGTCGACGTCAGTGCATCATTTTACCGCGTATACGAGCGGAACATAGTATACACCTTGAGCTGCTCAAGTTTGTCTTCAATGCCCTTCAAACGCGCATTCAACTTCGCGAATGTGTTGATTTGCTGTTGATCCTCTAAACGTGCGGGTATAAGATCAGAACTACTCGTCACAAGACAAAAACATGACGCAGGGGCCAACTCGAGGAAAAGTAACAGGTGGGTGGTGACGTAGGGGTGGGGAGAAGGGGTACCTACCCCAAGTAACTTCGACTCCATCACTGGTTTCCTCTTCCTCTGCGAGCTATGCTTCCCGCATTCATATATGCACACATCGCGTGTGATCGAGTCGAGGGAGCCATTACGGGGTAGTAGTAGATCAGGTATACGGAAGAACAGATAGAATTAGTTCATATCCGTCAGTGAACTTGTGTCCCGTGATAGCTAGCGTGTAGACATACCACTCGCATGTTATTCATGGTGGGGAACGCAGGTTCAGATCCCTGACGCAACGGGCACTTGTGGGACTGCTCAAACTTTGATCTTCCGAAGCTTAAATTGATCGATCAACTCGCGAACTTCCAAACGTCTGAGCGCAACTCCGTTGACCTGTAAGATGTTAAGAGATCGCTGGCGGATGAAATACATACTTACGCTTACATAAGCGAGTTGGCGTACATATATCCTAAATTTAATTCTCGCTCTTTCTCCAGAGCGGCCCTCAGAAAAAAAAACACGCGTTTTCGACTGCCTGAAGCGACAAGTCGTGTCGATGGTTTCTTTTCAGTAGGTTACTGTCCTCTCAGGTTTTTTCATACAAATTCTAATTTTTTCACTCAGATGTAACGGTATGCACCACCTCTCATCTGCAAGAGTCCAGGAGACTCACCCGCACGTTGTAAACAGGGTGTGGTGACATTGTAAAAAAACCCAAACTAGATACCCACTATGCGCGATGTCATGCCCCCGTCGATTGTATAGACTGTTCAACCACGTTCAGTGCGCCAGCAGAATTCAAAAGCCACACTTCGTGTATCACGGAGGGGGAGAAATACCAGAAGGGCCTGTACAAGGGTCCTAAGGCGGTACGTTTTCACTTCATCTGGCGACGAGATTTAATGTGAATTGAAGGGCTTGGGTGTAGAAGCAGGACAAAAGACAAGATCGTGTAAAGGGCAAGGTGAATGGTGACGATGAACAAATGAAGATCGACGAGCAAGCCAGAGATCTGTCCAAGGAACAGGGAGATGGCACTAACGAAAAATTAGCCTCTGCCGCCTCGGAGCCACCCAAACCCTCGAACTCATCCGAAGAAACAACCGCAACTACAATGTCGGCTGGAAAATCCAAGGACAAGAAACGGAGAGAAAAAAAGTCCAAGTCGAAAAACACCACTGATAATAAGGTGGGTAATCTACGTATTCAGTCCACTGCCACATCTGTATTTAGCCACTGTTGGACGTCAGGACACTCTGAAATCGGAAACGTCTGCCACCATCACTGATCTAGCATCCGTACCTGCTCCATCATCCCCCGAAAAAGCCGCCGAAGCCACTGATCAAAAATTGCAGAGGGACAATGAAAGAGAGGAGAAGATAGAAAAATCGGAGGATGTCGCTGCGAAAGACGTAAATTTGAAGGCCGACCTCAAGGCGGAGGTTGAGGGAGGAGAAGGGACGGGGGCGAAGGAGTCGAAGAAGAAGAAGAAGAAAAAGAACAAACAGAAGGTTCCTAATACGACTACTGCAGTCGTGGAGGGCGATGAGAAGTGTGCGAAGGAGGACATTGCTATGGATGTTGACGACTCGAAGACGGCGCCCCAACAGGATAATAATGAAGGCCCGAAGAAAAAACAGAGCAAGAAGAAGAAACGCAAAGACACGTCCACTACTGGCACGGTAAAGGAGGTGGAAGCTGAGGAGCAGGTGAAGTCTCCGGAGAAGCAGGATGGAGAGATAGAGAAGCCCAAAAAGGAGACCGTGCAGTCCGACATCAAAACAGCGATGGCGGAAGATAATTCGAACAAGCGAAAGCGGGGTGAGGCAGAAACGGAAGGCGGTGTCAATGGGGGGGATGACAAGAAAGCGAAGAAAAAGATGGGTGACGGAGTGCCAGACCCAACGCCCGCGAACAGAGACGACGCTGATAGTAAGACTGACAAGAAACGGCGGAGGAAAGAGAGGAAGAAGGGCCCGGGTGCTAGTATTGTGGTGTAGTAGTGCACGAGCACGTGGTTGACTAGATTAGGTGACATCGATGGCTGATCTGTGCTCCTTGTCTCTGCACATCTCATAATTGACGGTTGACAATGCACACGTTCCAGGCAAGTACAACTGGTCCTGCATCATATCACCGTCGTTCACCTACGGTATCAGCAACAATACTGGGCAATCCGCGACTACATCAGTCCCGTGCGTACCCCAGCATTGTCATATCTTGCCCCAACCCAACGTCGTCGGTCAGGTACTCAAGGAGAGCAAGTTCAAAGAACACGGAAGGATAACTCCGGGTCTGTCTCAGTCTTGGCGCAATGGATCCTTGTTGACAATTCGCCACAGAGGAATTCGTCGCTGCAGGCGATTTCCTGACGTACAAATTTCCCGTCTGGCAGTGGTAAGTCCTTGCGATCCCTGTCAAAACCGTATCCCTGTCATCAACGCAACTCAGGGAGAAAGGCGACGCGTCCAAAGCCCGCGATTATCTCCCCGCCGATAAACAATATCTGGTCACACGCGGCGTCGCTTGTCTCCGACGCGCACAGTCTCTCGCTTACACCGATGCAGACGAAGATGCGGAACGCTTGCTTTCTTTCGGTGACCCCTCATCCGGGCTCACAGACGAGTGGGTCGAGACCCACGCAGGACGTAAAGACACTGCCGACTCTGCTGCGAACCCAGGCGAAATCGACGATATACCTGATTTAGATGGTGACCACGATCAGCTCGCAACTGCCATGGGAAACGTGTCCCTTACTTCTTCAGCCGGTGCAACGGTGGGAGAGACACCAGATATAGATGACATTCCGGACATGGAGGAGGAAGGCCTTGAAGCGGGAGATGACGAGGCGACTGCCGGCCCCCCGCCCAAGGCTAGGTGTGCTGTCATCAGGTGGAGTCATTGATGCCAGGTAAGTGGCGCGCACTTGCATTTCACTTTCTCTGAACATGGATACGCTGTAGTCAAGTTGAAGCGGCGAAGGGGAATCTGCTTCAAGTACGAACCTACGACGTCATGATCACATATGATAAATACTATCAGACGCCGCGGATCTGGTTAAATGGCTACGACGAGGCACGTCCCATCACACTTCATCTGAAGTATATTGGCATGACATATACTACACAGAATCGTAATCCCCTGACGCCCGTGCAGATCTTCCAAGACGTGTCTGCTGACCATGCCCTCAAGACTGTTACGATTGAAGCCTTCCCACACTCTACAACGCTCCAGGCTGCATCTGTGCACCCCTGCAAGCATGCGAGTGTCATGAAGAAAGTGATTGAACGCATGAACGCAGGCGTGGAGGAACAGCTGGCTGCTCGCAAGAAAGATGGAAGCAGCAAAGATAGCAGTAGCAAGAAAAAGTGGACGTTTGGGCGGAAGAGTTCCAAAGAAGACAGCAGCAAGGATAAGAGCTCAGCGAACGAGGAAGACGAACAGCCCGAGGCTATGAGAGTGGACTTCTATCTCGTTGTGTTTTTGAAGTTCATCGCGTCTATCGTGCCTACGATCGAAGTCGACTCCACGACATCTTTTTGAAGGTGGGTTGGCAGTTGGGTGTTAGTAGCGAGGCATGCAGGTGGAAGGTAATGATGGAGTCAAAGTAAGCTTGAGGCGTGCGGTATACCCCCGCTGGGTCTCGCTGTGAGACGAATGTACACTTGATTTCTGGTTAATTAAACAGTCGACCGTTGCAGACCAGTTGTTTACAACGTCGTCACTTTGAGCTGCTAGCCACTACATGTACCATAGATGTAGAGCCATGTACTGTTTTCTTCCCGAGGTTTCAACGACTTCAGAAAAAGCTTTGATGCACACAAGCTATCCAGATTCTAGACTTGGTCCGACGGAAGAAGTGACCGATCTGGAGGGACACTCTGTATGATACAGGCATGATTAAATAGACTAGGCCCAAGACGTGTGGAGCGAAGGAAGCCAACAACTAGACGGCATGTCATACGCTGGAATACGAACTACAAAGGTACTACATAGCAGGTAACTCTACATCTATATCATATGCATTCCAACACGTTAACCATGCATCTCCCGGTAAGTCGAATTGCCATAATCAATGCTGGTCTTCGAATGGATTCTCGACGTACTCCAGTTCATCATCGCTACTCTCTTTCCGTTGCGCAGGTGCGTAACTACGACCACCTGCAGCCGCTGCGGGCGGTGACAACGGCCTTACCAGCGAAACGGGCCGTTTCGGGAGAAGACCAAGTTTACTAAATTCAACGTTGGAGCGTGGTACTGTGCCCTCAGCTCCCTGCGGTCCTGAACTCGGTAGCATCCCCGACACCGGAACAGCACCGGGTCCAGAAGTGGAGCCACGTGGCTGCGACGATGCAGTGAAGGGCGTTGGGCTGCCGGACCTCAACGGGAACGCGCCAGGTGGTGCGTGGTCCGGCGAAGTTGGAAGTGCAGACAATGGGGGTTCACCCTCAGCTCCTGAACTCCCCATTGTGATGTGTTCGCTAGGAAAAGGGGGTGGGGGTGTATGAGCTCGGGGTGATACACCGCCCTCGGCAGGATCGGACAGATCGTAACCTCTCACAACAGGTGGAGTAGGCGTACGTGTCCTGGTATTGGGTCGTGTATCGATGGGAGGAATTGGCGGGGCGAAAGTTGGCGAGGCGGACGCATACGTGTTTGAACGGGGTTGGCCTCCACTCCAGGAAGTGGTGGATCTACCAGCACTGTAAGGTGATGAGTGAGTGTAACCCTGAGCCGGGGTACTCTGGAGGTTTGGGTCATGAGCACCATAAGCATTGGTGCTAGCGTTCCCAGAGCCAAGCCCGCTGCCTTGGTCGAACTCTTGCATCTTAGCTTTGACTTTGGAGACGATCGTACTAAAGGTTCTCTTGCCGGCTAAACTCGAGAGTTAGGGTGGTCAACACGGTTCGAAGGGACGGCGGAAGACTTACTTTCTGCGATCTTATAGAATCCCTCCTGAAACTCTGCCATAGTATCCCTTTGTCCCTGCCCTGGAGGTTGTGAAGTCCGATGTTGTCCAGTCCTCCAATCAGTCCAGCTGCCTGAGTCGCGATCACTGCTCCTTCTAGGCTGATATGCCTGGTAACTGGCTTGCTGCTGGTGTTGTTGTTGGGGTGGCGGTACGCCTCCCCACCCTGGCTGTCGATCAGACGACCAAGTCCTTGCGGCCTCTTCCTCTTCGGACGCAAGTCTGCGAGCAAGTTGTGCATCAAGATCTTCCTGGGTGAGGTCTGGTTGCTGCTGGTGCGGATGTCGGGATTGGATGGCGGGGGATGGTGCGGAAGGGACGTATGTAGGATCGTTCATGCCGAGGAGAACGTCCAACGCGCGGTCCTGGTCATTGTCGACGGATTCGAGGACGGAGATACTAGGAAGGGGGTCAGGATGGAATAGCGAAGAGTAAGCATCGAGCGTACATGACTGCCTCATCGAAATCGGGGAAGATGCCCTTGAGATGGGCGACAGGCGAGTCTTGCGGTGGGGTTGGCGAGAGGGTGATCATGGCTGGCGGTGGTGGGGCTGGCTGGCTGTAATTGGCATGTCTCGACTGGGCGTCTTGGCTGGCCCCGGGCCCGGAGTCTGACGTCGTCCTAGAAATACCGCAGTCACTGCGAGCGGCTGTACACGTTCTGCAGCCATGGACGACTTCTTCGACTGGTTTCAGGCCAACGGCGGCACTGTCGATCGCCGTGTACTGGGCATCACTGAGTTCCCTGGAAGTGGTCGCGGCGCCGTCGCACTCTCTGATATCCCCGTGCGTTTTTTTTAATGCTTCGCAGGTGGCCCGTTCACCGACATTACAACTGGCAGGCCGATCACACTCTCTTTACCCTTCCACGCTCGCTGACTCTCTCTACTCGTACATCCCCCCTCCCACTCCTATTTGGCATCGACAAATGGCGTGCTCATAAATTACACAAAAACTGGGTCGGCTTGATCCTCTGCATGATGTGGGAGGATGCTCGTGCGCATGAAGACGTGCCGTGCATACCTGGAGCCGCCAAATGGTCCCCTTACATGCGCACTCTCCCCATGACCTTTCATACACCTATGTTTTGGAGTGAAGACGACCTCCAAGAATTGAAGGGGACAGCTGTGGTAGGTCTGTCATGCACACTTTACTCGTATTGCGCGTCCTGGCCATACGTGTGACATACTGACGCTGGCATACGTGTGGTGCAGACAAAATAGGCCGGGAGGATGCCGAGCGTGCATATCACGAGACCCTTCTCCCTGCTGTTGAAGTACGTATGTGCATAGTGCTCGACGCTCACGGTCTGATCTATCGTGGAAGTCGGCTCCTTCGCTCTTTCCACCGTCTCACCTCTCTCCATGGTATACCCTTGATGCCTACCATCGCGCCGGGAGCCGCATCCTTTCGAGGAGTTTCACCATCAGCAAATGGACAAACGATGACGATCCGGATGAACAAAACCTCGGCGGCGGGGATGTTAACGATCATGAGTCCGAGAGGGAGCCTGAGGGCCCCATCTCTGACGATATGGACAATCGTGCTAACACTTCTCTTGGAAGTGCGATGGATGTCGACGAACCAGTCACAGGTAGCGAGGGCAACCTTCACCTAGACGATCATGACGACACCGATGACGACGAAGACGACCCTTCAGACGTTGCGATGGTGCCAATGGCAGATTTGCTGAACGCAAGGTGGCGAAGTGAAAACGTATGTCATCACGTTGCACATGGTAGCTACTTCACTGAATGGCTTGTTCCCCTTAATCTCATTCTCCCGACTGTTGCGTTCGCGACCATCATCAATGCCCATTTCACGCATATGGTCATGGGGTAATGTAGGCAAAACTTTTCTACGAGCCTCACATGCTCCGAATGGCAACGACGAAACCCGTCAAAAGGGGAGAACAAATCGTACGTCAGTAGACCTGCTTCAAAACTATTTGTTACCTTACTCTATTCTTTACCCCCCCTTGCGTTTGATGCTCTATCGCCCAATCAAACGACTGGTCTCATAGTTTAATACTTATGGGGACCTGCCCAATTCGAACCTGTTACGACGGTATGGTTATGTTGATCTCGTCCCCCTGAACGTAGACACCGAGAAGAGGGCGGCTTCGACTCCAGTGGGTAATCTTTCCCCGGAAGTTGAAGTTACCGTAAATGTGCTTGGCAACCCTTCGGATGTCGTAGAGATTAAGGCGGATTTGGTCGTTGACGTCGCCTGTTTGCAGTGGGCGACAAAGGAACAGGGAGAAAAGGATACAACGGACCGGATTGAGTGGTGGTTGGACGAGGGGGGTGATGAGTACGTTTGCTTAATTTTGAGCCATTCGTATCATCTGTCGCTTCTAATCACTATGACTTGTTTAGTTCGTTCGTTCTTTCCTACCAGGGTTGCTTCAACTCGTGTTCGTCAGCACCTTACCAGTTCCCTCGTGAACTTACGGCTTTCATTGCTCTCCTTCTGCCGAGTGCCGACTTTGCTGCCATCCGTACCAAAGGAAAGCCGCCGAAGGGTAAACATTCTGACCCCAAAGTACTGAGCGTGCTCGCGGAGGTGCTGAAGAGGAAGGAAGGGATGTATGCAGGGGGGAGTGTAGAGGCGAGCCTAATTTGCGTGCCGTTTCGTCGTTACAACTTAACAATGCCCCCCGCCCCCCCTAGGACGACGAGCAACTCCTCACCTCGGCTTCTCTCACTACAAACAAAAGACACGCCATTATTGTTCGGCTGGGTGAAAAGCGGATTTTGCGTGCTGCACGGGAGAGTGCAGTAAACATCCTTCATGCGCTGCTCGATCAAGCGAGAATCGAAGACCCTGCCAAGACCAGTGATAATCCGAAAGGAAGAAAGAAAGAAAGCGGCAAAGACCGGCCAAGTAGAAAACGCGACTGCGCTGGTCCAAGTACTGGTTCAGGACGTTCCCAAAAAAGAGCACGGCAGTGAGCGGCACACGGTTGTATGACTCATTATTGTATATCGTCCCCATCCTCATCTAGCCCTATAGCCATTACTGGTCCTGCGCGAAAAAAGAATTACTAGCGGTTGAAGGCTTTTTTTTCTTCTTTTTCATAGCGGGCTTGGTTCTAACGACATATCATCTTACCATATCTTGCAGTTCACATCCTCTTAGAAGTTTCAATATGATTCATTCAATTTGGATAAGAGTATATATTTGTGGGAGCTCTCGTTATGCTATTGAAAAGTGTGTGTGTCATGTGTATGTGCTGCTCAAAGAGATCCGTTGAATTGGAATTGTCGTGTGCGTGTGATCGGATCTGTGGCACCGTGATAGTGAGTGAGGTGGTCCACGGTAATGAAACATAAGCATGTTTTTCTACAGTAATCCTTGACATGGGAAAACAGGGTAGTCGAAGTGTTGCTCGCACGCGCCAGGTGTTGCACAGCCCAACTCGAATCGTAATTGTCTGGTATCTCTGCAGTGGTAGTACGTTCGTAAGTGTGCTTGTTCAGATAGATTTGTCAATTCAATCTGCCGCACGCACGGTAACGGAGAAAACGAGGCAGACAAAACGAGTATTTGCTGGCAGCACCATATGTACATTCCACTAGTGCAGTCGAAATATACTTCTCCATCGTTCGACGGCAGTTTCTGCAACACCCGCTAGCCAGTTCCACAGGACCTCGAGAATTTCTTCAAATTCACCACTATCCCACCGTCGATCCCCCCCTGAACCCTGAGCGGCCGCATTGAAACGTAAGACATCCTTTACAGTTACTAGGCCTGTCAACTTGCCCCGGTCTTCGACGAGGATAACACGAGGACTAGACAAAGTAGAGTCCGTCAGGATTCACCTCTGTATCGAAAGCGACTAGTAACATACCCCATCCGCTTGAAAAGTTGCATGACGATCTCAAGGGGCAATCGCATAGGAACCGTGAGTGGTGTCTTGGAAAGTTTCAGCAAGCTCAGAAAGGCAAACAGTGAGTGAAACGCGCCTGATTTACCCAAGGCCATAACTTGAGGACATCATTTGACGCTGTCGTCTCCAATAGTTCCGCAGCAACCTCTTCCTCAGCACCCAGCGCGGAGCCAGACGCCACGTTAGACAGAACATGGTCAACTTGATCCGTGGAGCCTTGTCGATCAAAAGAACATTCGGACTCAGGCGTAATGTCACCCATATGCTGCGCTTGATCTACTATAATGTTGAGACGAGTTCTGCAATTCTAATTGAAACCCTACCGAGTACATAACGTAGCTCTGGACGCCCAATGTAACCAGAAAGAACGCATGATGATTTTGATGCGACGATAGGGAAGCCTTTGACATCAGTCGAGGAAAGTATTTGTTCTGAGAATCAACGATAAACCCGAAGTTCACCCAACGGAAATGACTACTTGCCAACGTCCTGGACCCTCATTCCCGAGGCATATAGGACAGTTAGATCCTTTTTCATGACTTCTGATACTAGGATATAGTTCAGTGCAGTCACCGGTACTACTGGTGACCTGACGCACCTGCAACGTCCAGAGAATGATCTTCCTGCTCCAAAATGGGGTAACCATTGAATCGAATCGTTTCCTCAGCAATCCCGCGTGTTCCAATGAGGTCACCGACAGCTTTGGTGACGAGAATCACAATCTGTTGGGAAAGTGCACAGATATCCCACTACTCCGTAGTTGCAAAACGTGTTGAACTCACCATCGTAGGTAAAATATATGTCAAGGCACCAGTAAGTTCAAACATGATGACGACAACGGTAACCGTAATTCGCATCACCCCGCTCAGAGCCGCAGCAGCACCGAGAAGAGCGTACGTGCCAGGCGTGATACATGGCAAGTCAGGGTCGCAAGAACTGAAAATTCCTGACTGTTGATTCGTTCTAGGTAAGGTCATGAGGGATTCGTAAACAGTGGAGGAAAAGGGTCGTACAAGTATATGGCCTTAACAATGATACCCACCATCCGGCCAAAAGAAGCACCGATCGCCATGGATGGAACAAAAATTCCAGCGGGAACTTTTGAACCATAGGATATGACTAGAAATCCCATCCTTATAATAGTGGCGAGGAGAAGGGAGTTAACCATGGACCACTGCACTGATTGCCTATGGAGGTTCTCATAACGAATGCAGAAGAGCGAGTGTAATGCACGTACTGGCACAGGTTGTTGTAATCTCCGCCACCCTCGCACTCCCGGAATAGTATCGACATCATTTCGGTCATATCGATACGTAGGAATCGATTGAAATATCCAACCATCGCCGTGAGCACGGCGAGGACAACGGCCTCTGCCACCCCATGGTTTGCCAAGTGTTTCCTGCGAAAGGCGGCGGCTTGCATGTTTAGTTTCACTACAAAGGCACCATAAAGTCCCTGGTTACCGATTAACACAGTGGACAAGGGGGTAGAGAGCTTTCTTACTCCAAATATGCCGAGGATAACCCAAAAAATGATTTCAAAAAAGTGCCAACTACGACTGTAGGTCACTTGGAACAGAACAAGCTTCCCGGTCCGAAACGGATTCATTACCTGTAAGTTACGATGAGAGAGAGTGCGTTACAAAGCGTGAGAGGCTTCACGGACAGAAAGTGTAAATGTAGCAACCAACGCACAGACAAAACTGCGCCACATGGTTTTGATCCGGAAAATATGGTTCATTTCCTGGGAGGGCGGTGATAGTATCACGGTAAATTTGTCTGGTTCGAACATTACCTCTATTGAAAACAAGACCCCGCCTATAGGCGAGCCGAAAGCAACAGCCACCCCGGCTGCGCTAGCGGCCGTAATGACCTCCCTCATCTTACCTGGACTACGTCACTAGGATGGGCACTTCACATAGAAAGTTAAAGTTACCTTGGCTCCGAGAGAATTTCTGGAACCAATTGGCAACGGCGGTGCCAATGCAGCAGGCCACATGAACAGACGGACCTTCTTTGCCAACAGAAAGGCCAGAAGCAATGACAAGCGGCTATTGCCGTTCAGTACGTACGCAAGGATGAGAACAACTAGGAGATGTACCAAGGTTATACTTTTGATGACCAACGTCGAGAAACTAAGAAATCCTTGCATTACGAAACCTGCAAGGATGCACTTGATTTCCGAGATCCCTGACCCAGCAGCATACTTTGCCATGGTGCGAACCAGATGAGCTGCAACAAATGCAAACACACCCTACAGATTTGATTAAGGTTGGATAGTAGAAGTTGAAAAAGGAACACACCGCGAAGATAACGTACAATAGCCATCGTGCTGCGGTCACGGTGCTCCAAGGGTGCCAGGATGGGCAAAATTCCTCGTCGCTGTCAACCTCCCAGCAACAGAACTGCTGGTTCAACCACCAACCATCGGCACAGTATCCCATTTTTATGTCAGAAAGCCATTTTGTCACAATGGATATCAGAGCAGCGTTAATGCCGATGATAACGCCTACAGCAAGGACTCGGTACCGGTTGATCCATACAACGTATGAAACACTGACCGACCAACGTCATGACAAATGCCGACTCCCCAGCACTTAGCAATCTTTGGAATTGCGACCATACCCAAGCAGGTGTAATTTCACCTCGTGGCCCACGACAAGCTGAACGCGCTCGCTCCTCGCGTATCCGTCGATTTCTTTCCGCGATTGATTCTTGTATCCAGTCTAAAAATCGGGAACAGAGTGAAGACGAAGAATACGCGTCAAGCTCCCAATGATATACCTATGGTTGTGAAGTCCTCGTAACGTCTGCACAATCATAAGTGGAGTCGTGGCGCAGGAGAAATGACCTACCGTATTTGTTCCAGCTCCTCGTACTCTTCTCCATCTTGTCGCCCTCGAAAAGTAATGGCTTCAGGAGCCATGAAGGCAACAAGTAGTATACGACGCAGTCCTATGGAATTAAGAGGATAGGCAACCACCGGTGTCTGACTTCACGTGACACGAAAATGTACGTAGCACGGTCGTCGGCTTGCAACGTTACGCATCTGCCACTGCTCAGCCTAGCGGAATCTTAAGAAGCACAGTTGATGAGGTGGTCTACAGCGCAACAGGTAACTGAATATTCATCACCAGCTGTCCTGCTATCTAATGTCTAATAATCTACACACATACTGGAGTTCGAGCTTGCTAATCAGATGACTAAGCCAAGGCCCATATTTACTACGGAGCTTTTGACGAGCCCTCTGCAGTTGTCGACGATCCACCATGTCACCCACGGACGAGATCAAAGTTCCTTTTTTCAAGAAGGGAAAATCGAGACCGACAACAGCCAGGAAGAGGTCTGCTTCGCCACCATCCAGTTCGTCTGTGCTGGCGGTGTCGGCGTCTTCAGCGACCAAAACTGAAGTTGTTCTCCCTGCTCGCAAAACGATTGGGAATATTTTGAGTGCCGGCACGAAACGAACGGCTGCACAGAGACGTCAAGATGAAATGACCTTGGATGATGGCGATTGCGATTCGACCGCGAGAGAGGGTCCCGACGTCAAGTGGACATCCGCTGGATCACATATACATACTGCAATGGAAATCATTGCAGGGGACGAAGCCGAAGAGATGGCGTCAAAGCGTCAAAGGAAAGAAAAGGAAGAGCAAAATGGCAGTGACGATGATGCGCCCGACGACGGTCTATACAGGGGGCAGAACGCGTACCGGAGTCATATAAAGAAGAATCAGGAGGTGCCTAAGGCTATGAGAGTGGGTCCACAGCGTAGTACGAGTACCATCCGGACAGTCACGATCGTCGATTACCAACCTGACGTTTGTAAGGATTATAAAGGTGAGTGTCACCGTCAGGTCCCGTGTAGACGGGCTCCGCTGACTATCCGACTTTCTGCTTACAGAAACTGGTTACTGTGGTTTTGGCGACACTTGCAAATTTCTGCACGATCGGGGAACGTGTGAGTACTTTTACAATACGGACATGTCAAGTAAATGAACTGTTCGATAGATCTAGCTGGATGGCAACTAGACAAGATAGCGGAGAACCCTAAGAGACGGGCTGATGAATCCGAGTCCGACTCGGACTCCTCTGAAGATGTCCCTTTTGCTTGCCTTGTCTGCCGGAAGCACTTCACGGATCCAGTAGTGACTCGGTGCGGTCACTACTACTGCTCCGCCTGTGCCATAAAGCGATATGCCAAGACCCCAAAGTGTTTGGCCTGTGGTGCACCAACAGGAGGCATTTTCAATCGCGCTGATAAAATTCTTGCGAAGGCCAACAAAAAACTCGGGGAAGACGGGGAACTGGAAGACCCTGATACTGACAAGACTAGTACCGTCAAGATTGAAGGCCTTGTACAAGACAATGAGGACAATGACAGTGACAATTCAAGAGATGACAATTAGCAAGCTTCCCGTCACTGCCCACGGCGGCACATTATTTTACTCTTCTTGTATTCTAGGTTGAATCTGTTCGGTTGCCTGACACTGCACAGGAACACTATCACTCTCACTCACGCTGCATGTATCAAAGCCTGTACCTACTGGCGTCTTTGGCAAGATACTGGGATATGTAACTGCGCACGACTGTCTCCCTTCTGCAATGCTCTCCGCCCTGACCCTATCAGCCCTGTATGGGCATTGCACTTGCGGAGCGTAGCAGGGCTCAACGCCAGCCAAATTGGGAATCGACTCTTATCATGGACCTGCGGTGACTCCGAGGAGATGCCTGTATTTGCTAAGCCTATATTCAAGGAGATACGTATATGACGATTGCGTGATGGGACGATCTTGTCCCACTGTCATGTCAACGTCAATTGAGTAACGTTTGCCAGTGAGTTCTTGGACGCTGGTTTGGCGATTGCGATCACTAAGCGTATACCTGTGCAAAAGACAGTACATATGCAAGTGGTGGGGCTGTGGTTGGCCGGATGATCTCAACTGAGCGTATTATTTTCCAAACTACACGTGCTCAAAGATAAATGCCCAATCTTCACATATGGAGCTTTTCGCAATCAATTAATGAAGATAGTCTGAACGGCGAAGTGTTAGGTAAACTACGCATTAGGACCGGAGTACGGCACGAACATGAAGCCACAAAAATGTGCAGTGCAAAAAGAGAAGGCTAGCTCCCGTGTCACGGCTTGGGGGAGGGCAACTTATCAGAAGATGATGGAATCCAAGTGGACTGTCCACACGGCCCTGTAAGTTGATGCGCTATATTGCGGTTTCAGCCTCCCGGGAACCCGCACAGAATGGGCAAATCGACCACCCGTCACCACGTGCCGTGTGGGCCTACCCGCAGGATGCGTGCCCTTTCTATCTCGACACCTAAGTTTCGCGTTACTTACTGAGAGCCGGTGCTGTACGACGGTCCACATCTCCGACATGGATTCACAATGACACCGTATGTGGCCCTATAACCCAGTGCCGGTCTCTGTGCGACGCCCTTGCCAGTCTACCCATACGACTACGATCGGATACCACCCACGTTGCATTTGGGAGTCGAGAACACCTATTACTTTCTGCCACAGCATTGAAAACGGTCAACCGAACCAAGAGATCGTGGGCCTGTGGCACATCAAATGGTTGTTGGCTGCATATCAAGACCAGAGGAGCGGACCGCCCCGAATGTGCACCATCACTTTAAAGAGACAGGCATTGGAAAGCTAATCGCCGCAGGATCTACGTTTCAGAGTTCTTTTCCCTTGTTAAATGGTACCTACTCTAGGGCGATAAACAGCGCCTAAGACCGCCCAGCATGAAGCAGACTCGCTAGTACAAACCTAGACCTGGTGCGATGGCAGAATAAACTATTTAGCCATTCCTACCATGTACAGCTACTGCAATCTGGGTGTCTGGGGTTGAAACAGGGTTTCTGATACCACACCAAAATTGCAACGTGATATTGCTGACAGGGGAGCGCTCCAAGCCTGGCTCGATTCAATTGCACTCCACCCCCGATATGCACGAGGAGATATGTACACGCTCACAGAAAAAACGGGGGATGGTTCTTCATTAAGCTCGAGCCTTGTACAAGTTAGCATGGCATAAACGGACTTTAGCATTCGACCACCGCCAATCTCAAGCATTCGCGATTTGCATAGGGCGTTGTCCTAGTGGTACGGCCTGTGGTGTGCACGCCGCGCCATGTGAGTCACGCCAATCGGGTTGCGTTTGAAACGCGTGCAACTTGGCCAACAGGCGCTCTTGAAATCAGGAACCCAGATACATCGAGATTAAGCGGTAGAGTAAGCAGCAGGAGAATGGACAAACTTGATCCTTCCGAGTTCAGTGCGAGGATAAGAAAAAGGGGTGGAAGAAGAAATAGGAAATGATACACGTGTAGATTCAGCACAGCACCCAGACCCGTCCAACAAGTTTGGGTGGTTCCGGTGGCATACTGCAAGGAATACAGTTCCGAACGAAGTGGAATCTGTCAAGTACTGATGGCAAGCCCAGACGACATTCGGGACTCGGGAGTGGATGAAGGTTGCAGGGTGATAGCAAGTAGAGCATAGAAGGCGAAAGTAAAAGGTACAAGAAATAATCCCGGTATAATGTAAACCCCATCCACAGCATGCTGGCTGCCAAGTAGTATCGCACAGCATGGCATAACGCTTCTCACCTATTCTCCGTGTCTATCGGTGGGAAGGCATCTCATCACATCCATTATCAACATGACGTTTCAAAGAATCAGCACGACTAAAGTCCTTCTGGCAATAGCGACATTTGTGAAGGGCAGGTGTTGCTGCATGGACCGTTTCGTAATGCCGACGGCGATCGTGAGACCGGGTGAAAGTCCGCTCACAGAGCTCGCATGGATAACGCTCGCCAGACGCACTCAATGAGTGCGATTGGGAGTGTGAATGCTGAGACCCAGAGTGAACGCCACCGCTGCCTCTTCCACCATGCGACGTTGCCGCGTGCGAAAGGTGCTGGGGATTAGGCGACATGTGATAGTAGGGATCCATACTTGGACGACGTTGTGCCGGACCCTGCGAAGCTGTCGAGGGCGAGTGTGAATAATTTTGATGATAGGTTTGTGAAGGGGTAGTGAATTGTTGTGGCGGCCGAGATGGGCTCCGGGGAGACTGTGGGTCCACGGTGCCGGGTAGGTACGAATGCGTGGGAGAGTGTGACGAAGGGAAGTTCTCAAGGCTGCTACCCTGCGACGCCAAGTAGGATCTATGGTCATCCCTCAGAACACCCGGCGCTTGCGGAGGGTAGGAGTATTGAAGAGCTTGGTTCATATGGGGCTCTGCATTCATCAAGTTAGTAGTTGTCACTTATCATAATTGTGACCTACCTATATATTCCCCTTGTATAAGGGCATTCGTTGCTGGATAGGAGCTGACTTGGTGTGAATTGGATTGTTCTGCGTAACCTAGAGAGAGATGGTCAGGTGGCGACCGAGCATGGTGACTAGCTGGGGAGGGATAAGGTTGGCGGTTATCGTGGTCATGGGGATACACGTTGTTGTACTGCATCGTCAGGAGCAGGAATCTGGGCGGCGAGCTCTAATGGGCCACTCAGGACGAGGTTTATATAAATTTACCGACGCATGCATCGTCTATGTTAGTGTCCTGGCAACGTACCTTAATGAAGGAATGTGTTACTCAATTATTACCTCTCTAAGGGGTACACACCTACTGCACGCCTGCAAGCGACTTGGTGCATGAAGCAGAATCGGGTTCAATCTGGCAACAACGACAGATGGTGAAAGATCATGATGATCTAAACCCAAAGATAGAGACGAAAAGGTGACTCATCAAACAAGTAGTGGTTTCGATCATGGAGCTTTTCATGCGTGATGTCTTTCGGAACAGGAGGTTCATGCGCCACATAAAAGCGGAGGACAAGGTTCAGAAGCCAAAAATGCGGTGCGCGACGTGGTCTCCAGCAGGCGATGCGAGTGCTTGGAAGGTCAGACTGAGAATATGGGGCTGATTTCTGCGGTTATCTCCAGGAAACGAAACGTGAACGCTTCAACAGTCAAGGTTTTGCAATTCCAACGTGGGAATTACAGTCCGATTAGGATACCGGCTAATAATCGATGTAGGGACAGTCGCATTTGCGGCGCAAGTATTGGCTTTCGAGTCCGAGAGGAGGCGGGATCGTCCCTGCTCTCGTAAGGAACATACACTTCACTGATCAACCTTACCCTAAATGCGGATATGTCAGGATATGCTGCGTCATGATAAAAACCGTTACATAATATACGGCGTCTTGATAATTGTTTGCCATGATTGCTCTTTCCCGGCAGGCGGTCGTCAACACAGGTTCTGTGGAAAAGAAATACTAATGCAAATGCCGTGATCCTATGCACTACCTGATGACTGTTGGGTCACTTGTAACTTGACAGACTTGAAGGTCAACTGACAGAAGCAGCGGATCGATTGGATCTTGATTGTCAAGGTGTAGTTTGTGCCAATCAACTAATGTCACGACCCTACATACTCCCAAAAATGAACCGCTCTTACCTGCACTAGCGGAAGATGCCAGCCAATAACGTGAGGAGATATTTTGATAGTTCCAAAGGAAGACCAGATGCGGCTTCTCTGCCATTAGAGCCGGGTGGGGAAAGATGAAGCTAAGTAAAGGTACCACACAGCAAGGCTTGGGGTACACACACATACCGGAGTCTGAACAATGTAGATTAGCCCGATTTTGCGGAAAACGTGCAAACACGTTCCAACCACACGGCGGAGTACCGGCTATTCCGTGGCGCGGTAAACGATTCACCAAAGCACGATATTATTGAATACGCCCGTTCATACCTGCCACTGGCACATGACTTCCTCGATTCGTTAGCATGAACCCATCTATCCTGATTAGTACACGTGTGCATGCTGCATGAAAATGAAACGTGAGGGTATAACATTCATCCCATCATCGTTAAAGCAATGGATTCTATCTCCCCACGTGTCCGCTAGCCTCTGTGCGGACCCGGCCTTCAAAGCAGAAAATGCTGGGTAGCGTAATGAGGTCATCGTCGGCTACGAGGACCAGGAGCACAGAATTGCTAGTATCAATAGCTGCCGCACGTACTACGGGAAGTCTCACTTGGCTGGACCGCGTGTTGCATGGGAAACTATTTTCGGTGGAGAATGCTGTGACTTTTGATCCTCATCGCAAATATTCGGACGAGAAGCCTTTACAAGTCCTGAAGAGGACACGCTGCAGACAATAATTATGGGTAGTATCCAACCAAGAATATGAGAAGAGAGTGGAGCCCTCCATACGACGTTTCCTCACCGTGACAAACGCGTCCTGCGGAGAAACACCACGGAAATGCGCTGGCCTCGAGGACGGGAGCCAGTACGTACCTACTCCCATGTCTGATTTGACAGGAGTGCAAGGCACGGCCCGTCATGGTGGAAGAGAGGAAATTTCCGCCTCTGCGCGCAAACTTAACCTTGACCAGCCTGCTTATTAGGTTGGCCTTGCCAAGGAGACCGCCTTGGCCAAACGAAAAACATTTCGAAGAAAAAAAAAAAACGCGAGCCCCCTCGAAGGGGGGTTATCGCTGGTCTGTCGCCAAATAAGGATAAACAACATCAAGCTTCCTGCACACGCAACCCAACCGGCAGCCAGAAACACAGACATAACTTGGGTGCCATATGGCTCCCTTCGATCTCGACGCGTGTATAGAGCAGCTACTGCGGAAGCAACTTCTTCACGAAGCTCTGTTACGCGAAATATGCGAGAAAACTAAGGAAGTTTTGATGAGAGAGTCAAACGTAGTGCATGTGAGTGCTCCTGTGACTGTCGTTGGAGACATTCATGGGTGAGTGGTTCTCTCTTCTGCGGGCATGCATGATTGTTCACCACAGCCTCAAGCCAGTTTTACGATCTCATAGAGATATTCCGCATCGGAGGATATGCACCGCACACAAACTACTTGTTTTTGGGTCGGTTGACTCATTCCAAGCGGTCAGAAATGCCACATCCTGACGTCTGACGTTTTCACCAGGTGATTATGTCGATAGAGGTCTCTTCAGCGTCGAAACCATATCACTTCTCACGTGTCTCAAGTTGCGGTGGCCAGATCGCGTTCAGTTAATTCGCGGTAACCACGAATCCAGGGCCGTTACGCAAGTATGTCCCTTCTCTTTTTCCTTTTGCATATCACCTGCTTAACTTTGAAGCTATCAGACGTACGGGTTTTATACGGAGTGTGTTCGGAAATATGGGTCTTCACACGTGTGGACCTATTTCACGGACATGTTTGACTTCTTGACCCTGTCTGTCGTCATCGATGATCGGATATTCTGTGTTCATGGAGGTGCGTTCTCATGGCAATTTTAATGGGCGCCTACTGACAGCAGCATTTTTGATCATGTAGGTCTCTCACCGTCCATTCACTCGGTGGATCAGATCAAGGTAGTGGATCGATTTCGAGGTGAGTCATCTTACCATGCCTTTTCCCATGTGCTCCGTAACATCGTGTCATCGAGCAGAAATTCCTCACGAGGGTCCGATGGCCGATCTCGTCTGGTCAGATCCGGATGCTGAGAAAGAAGACTTTGCTATTTCTCCAAGGTCGGTGCTTTTACCCACCCATTCGGTGGTTTGCTTCTTATGATTTCCTTCGCCTACTGGTTTTCACGTGCCAAAATTTGCCGTGATGAGGTCTGACAGTTTTGCAGGGGTGCAGGGTACACGTTTGGTTCAGGCGTCGTGCACAAGTTCCTTGAGACAAACAACATGTCTCACATTCTGCGAGCACACCAGCTGTGTATGGAAGGATATTCATCGCTTTTTGATAAGCATCTCTCTACAGTCTGGTCAGCACCAAACTATTGCTATCGCTGTGGGAATTCTGCTAGCATTCTCGAAGTAGGGCCGGGAGAGACGATGTATTTCAATGTCTTCGAGGCTGCCCCGGAAAACGAACGCGACGGGCCAAGTCATCAGGCTGTTCAGAATGCTGGTGGAAAGGTGCGCTGCGATGCTGGTCAATTACTGTTCTCTCGCTGACTCATACTCGCCGTTACCGTCGTAAACAGCTCCCTGAATACTTCCTTTAGCTCACCACCAGATATCGCCGTCCATGTCGATGGCGGTGATGATGGGCAATGATGATATCTTCTCAGCAGATGACACGGGCTAGAAGTTCCAACATTCACTTTTCCCACCGCGGTGTGACAGGTTGTTACGACTTCTGCACTCGATCAGCTGACTACTCGGCCTGGCCCACGAATTTGTTACCCACATTCGGAGACCTCGCACTGTGACACGATACCCGTAGCCCTCCCTACCCTTGCTCATAGCACTTTGCCTCCGTCGCTTGGTCTTACATAAGAGGTGTTTTGAGCATGCACTCGCCAAACAATGTCTGCAGCAAAGCGGGGTGCATGGATCGGATAGGAATAATCCCTCGGCAAAACCAGCGTAGTTGCAGTCGCAGTGCAACTGAAGATGAGAGTAATACAAGGTTGGATCTGTATGCGTGGTTGCAAAATAGCCGGAGTCATTAGCAGGCACATTCAGTCGAAATCTCTGTTGTCACAGCATACGTAACAGACCCCGCTTCCGCCCTCTCTGACGATGTCGGAGATATCAGAATAGACAATCGAAAGAGCCGAGGGATCACTGTATGAGGCACGTCTTGTGGCGTTACAGAACACTGAGGAAGAGGCGACCCAAGAGGAGTCTGATGTAGCCTTGAGGTGCACTTACGGAACACTAGCACAATACAGCAATACCAACGCGCGCACAGTCTGCAAGGAGGAAACCAGACTGTGCCTTAACCCTGTAGTGATGGACCCAGCTGATCCACCAGGATCAGGGTGAGGAACTGTCAAGTTCCGAGGCATAGATGACAAGGAATGTAGCAGCGAAACAATGTTCCAAAAACCTATCGCCAGCGGGAAAGGACACACAAGATAAGTGCAGAAATACATAGTACCAACGTCACAATGGATTATTTTACCTGCTGGCATCGGCCGACAATCCGAGAAGAACACCGTCAAGACAGCATCAGCAGCCATAAAATTCGGTACCATATTCTTCAAACGGCTAAGGCTGAGGTTCTGTATTAACACCACGACACGTGGATCATACACCTATGTACATACCTCGAACTGATGGGCCGGAACAAGAGCATCGTGACAAACACTTGCTGACAGTATCGACACGACTAATAAGGGCAAATGCCGGCTAAGGTGCGGACAAAGAGTAGAACGCAGTCCAGTTCGGAATGATGCCCAATCAGGACGCCGAGAAGTGCTAGCGAGAGCACGACTGGGATTGTTCCATTGGTCTTTCTTGCAGTGCACCAGGAGTTTTCAGTGAGCGTTCACGTGGAAGTTGTAGGGAAGCACATTTGACTGCCAGCTCAGCTTCATGGTAATCTTCGGGTAATTTCCTCGAGCATAAACCATTTATCCAGGGACTGGGGACCAGCATCGGTTTATTGACTATATTCTTGCGCGCTTCGTCTGCGATATTTTGATCAGGGTATGGCAGGCGTGCATACGTATCGGCGTGTACGTTCATGGACTGGTCTCGCAAGACGCTCAGAATCACAGCAGAGCATATCTAAACTCGCACACGTCGTTACCAGTGCTAGCAAGAAAATGTCCACGACGTGTCGGCTGACTCCTGCATACGTGGAGGCTCCAAAGTCATATATGTGTGTGGGGGAGATTACTAAAACCGAGCACTGCGGCTAGAATGGCAGGCACGGGATTCATTCGCATGATCATACCAGATGCATTTCAGACCAGTGCGCAAGCAGTATATTTACCAGCAAAATACGGAGTTGGTCGTTGTTTTCTCCGCGCTTCTTTTCGACCTGATTGCCCATGAATAACTTCATTACTGTAGGTACTGTGGCACCAGCTGATGGTCCAGCTAAGGCCGCCGCAGTGAATTGGACTGCTATCATCGAACCTGTGAGTGACCAGCGATACGCCGGTTCACCCAACGTGACGGACTCCCTTTCAGCCGGCAGAACTGTATCGGGGACGGCGGGCAGCGCTTTCTCTGGACATCGTGGTGGTCGGTTGCGGCTTAGGGGGTCTCGCTGCCGCATTTTGCCTCGCAATGGCAGGCCATAAAGTCACCATCTTAGAAAGCGCAGCGATAATCGGCGAAATCGGCGCCGGAATTCAAGTTAGTCCCAACTTAAGTCGCCAGTTGATTCGTTGGGGTCTCGCAAAGCGACTAGAAGAAGTCGCCGTCAAACCAGAGTCACTGACCCTCCGGCGTTGTATGTGTTTCGTTTCCACTTCGACCTTCCTTTCACCACTCACCTCGGCTTCGTGAAAGGGTGCACCGGAGAGACATTAGCCTGGACACGGTGGGGTGACTCGATGGAAAAGAACTACGGGGCACCGTACTACCACATACACGTCGGCAATCATTTCTTTCTCTGGCGTTGCTTGTTTTGACATCCTTACAGAGAGCTGACTTTCATCGTATGATGTACGACCTTGCAGAACCATATGTGAAGATCCGAACGAATTGCCGGGTGGTCGCCATGGACCCATCCATACCCACTTTGACGCTAAGATCCGGTGAAGTTGTCCATGCGGACTTGGTAATCGGTGCAGACGGTTTGAAGAGCATAACTCGCCAGTATGTCGTTGGAGCACCGGACGAACCAACACCCACGGGTGATGCAGCTTACCGCGCTGTAATACCAACCGAAGAACTCCTTGCAGACCCAGATTTAAGGAGCCTCGTTGAAACTCCAGAAATGGTTGGATGGTTAGGCCCACAACGCCACATCATGGCATACAACATTGTAAGAACTCGTTCTTGTATCCTTGGTTCTTTCTGCCCATCCCTGTCGGCTGCCCCGGAAATGTATACAAACTGACGCCTGGTTTCATTAGCGAGCCAAAAAGGAGTACAACCTTGTCATGTGTCATCCCGACCGAGACCAGGAAGAGCCCTGGAAACCAGAGGAAAGCGCCGCTAGGATGAAAGCGGAGTTTGTAGGGTGGGAGCCACGGTAAGTCTGATTCCTCCTGTTCAGGGAGTTTCTTCCACTTGTCGGGAAACTAGCATCCAGAAACTGCTTTCACTCATCCCTTCGACGCTCAAATGGAAATTGATGGACCGCGCGCCGTTAGAAACGTGGGTGCACAAGGACGGCAGACTCGCTCTTCTTGGAGACTCATGCCATCCCATGCTTGTGAGAGCCTGGTCCATTGATGCGGATTTGGCTGACATGATTGTTCCGTGGTTGTCGTGTAGCCTTACCGTGCACAAGGGTCAGCTATGGCTGTGAGTTTCTCCACGGACTTGTGTTGATCCTAAATTTCTCATGCAACCATTACCTGTTAAATTTCATCCACGGTCAGATCGAGGACGCAGCGGTCCTTGGGAACCTTTTCTCCCGCTTGTCTTCCCATGCTCAGATCGCGCCCCTCCTGCATGCCTACGAATCAATCCGTTATGAGCGGGCAACTAACACACAGGCATCCTCCTGCCTAAATCAAGTCATTTTCCATCTTCCCGATGGACCGGAACAAGAAAAGCGTGACAAACAGATGCATGCAGCTATGGAGGACGCGCTGAGAGAAGTCCGTGGTGAAACGTCCGTTGACAGCACCGATATGGGCACTAAGGGCAATGCCAACCAATGGGCTGACAAGGAGAAGAGTGCCATCCAGTTTGGGTACGATGCCGATGAGGAAGCTGAGAAGTGGTGGCGCGAACACGGCAAGAGCGAAATTGCTCCGTTTGGGTTACCCTCAAAGTTGTGATGTGGTGCTTGTCAAATCTGGAGTTTCCATCGTTTTTTAAGAGCTGGTAGTCAGCGACTAGTAGTAAATGCAGGTGGTGTCTTGTTATGTAAAGTGGTATTAGGAAGTGTCTTTTTGTGGCTTGTGGTGGCTGTCAACAATAAAGTCAGTTAAGTCCCCCCACGTCAATCAGCGACACTGTGATTACATAAGGCAAGGTTTACCACCAAAGTCGCTGGTCCGCGAATTATTCTGTATGGAATCCCTACTTTTTCTGCCCGTCCTTGCGACGTGCAGACTCTTGCTAGCATGGGTGCATTTTCCTGTCCCTGATGGCCTTCTGATAGATCACCAGCTGACTTCACCCTTGACTTCATACTTTCGTCGTGCGTGTACTCATCAAGTTCTGGTGACCTGATACGAAGCGCAGTGTTCCCCCTGTCCAACAGTTAAAGAAGGGCTGTGGCTATATAACCACGGTGTTGATCCGTACGTGGGGGGCATTCTTAAGCATGTGAGTGGCAGAGTCTCCTTGTCGAATTCCATTATATCCGCCGTGTCCACAGTCCCCTTTGTTCCTTTCGCTTTTTTCAACCGTCCCTCCAGGACGTGTCGCATGGGCTCTGTCCGATATTGTAGGAGCATGGGCTCTTGTCCGTATCTGGCGCTCTAGGCAACAGCTGGGCCAAAGCCGCCGTGACGGACTGGTCGGGACTGCCTATCTGCTTAACCCGTATCTTCTCTTACCGTCCCTCGCATCCTCAACGTCAACTTTCGAGAATGGAGCAGTTCTCCTTACGCTTATGTTTGCTGCAGAAGGCAAGCTTTGCTCCAACTCGAAATGTGACTGTTTGTCTCACTTTCTAAGCAGGGAGGCCATCACCCGCTCTCCTTGCTCTCGCGTTATCAACACACCTCTCGCTTACCACGTTGCTCCTTGTTGTTCCCGTCCTCATGTTGTTGGCGACTTCACCCACTTCTCAGCTTGCATCACCACGTTTGTTCGGAGGGAGTTATTGGAAGGTGCTCAGGTATGCAAGTGAATTCGTGGTATACTGGTTCGTTCTCGTTTGCGCAGCCTCCATCATGGCTGGAGGTGTATGGAATTGGATGCGCGAATCCTGGGGTGCAAGGTCATTACTTCTGAACAGTGTTCCTGTGCATTGTATGACAAGCCTCGTTTATTGCAGTTTGATCTTGCCCGATCTGACACCTAATCCTGGGTTCTGGTGGTATTTCTTCACCGAAATGTTTGACCACTTCCGACCATTTTTCCTTATGGTATTTTCTGTGCGTTCCAATTTTGTGATTTCCATGCTCCCACCATTGATCCGCTCAGACGCACCTTGTTATCTATGTCATGCCAGTCTGTATTAAGTTCCAGTGAGCAGCTAGCTTTGGTAGGCGAGCTCCGGATCTCTGACATTGAGCAGGCACGACGCACTTTATGCAGCTTTCCTCCTGCTAGGAATTTTGGGTGCCTTCAAACCATATCTCACGTTAGCGGATCCTGGTCTGTTTCTCAGCATGTTCGCAGTATTTCCTGAGATATACCCATGTACGTTCACATGCAGCCTGATGCTTGACCTGAGCCCTTATTCACCACATACTACGTAGACCTTCGCCACGCAATAGTAACCGCTCTTTTGCACGCCCACGCGTCATTGTTACTCCCACTTTTCCATGCTCTGTGGGTCATCGAAGGTCGTGGCAATGCAAATTTCTATTATGCATCCAGCTTGGTGATGGGTATTGCAGGTGGAGCTGGTATCGTGGACGCATGTTTCGCTGGGATGAGAATCGCCGTTGGAAGTGTTCCCGAAGTGGAGAGAGGTAAATGGGAGGTTATACAGCAATAAAGGCTCCCTGAAATGATCAGACATCGCCTGGGCTCATGGCACGTGGGTATATTTTAACGTGTATTTCCTCTCGGTGCGGAGGCCCTTGGCAAAGAGTGTTTTCGTCCTGGCGTTCAGGGACTGGGGTTGGATACCTTGACGTATTCACCCCCCATCACCGAGTTCAAGTAACCTGCAAAAATGTTCCGTACTGTCCGCATTGCGGAGTAGTGTTGCCGCGAGGCAAACCAAACTGAATTGAGGTGGATTAGCTGACCAGTTTGACCCACTTTGATAGGGATGAAGTGTAATGAAGCAAGTTTGTGAGACTTTGTGAAGTGGCAACTATGTCTGAGTAATGTTGTGGTTGCAAGTATCTGGTACCCATACACAACACATATACCTGTTTCATTGAGCCAAAAACCACATGCAAATTGCTATCTAGACACTGGTATGTATTTTTGTAGATTAGTATCTGAGTCAATACATATCCTACTTGTTTGCAAAAGGCCACTGAAGTTTGGGATCCAAAGCACCACTTGCCATCAACTCATCAACAGCCTGAGCAGTGACTGGACCAGAGATGGTGTAATCTCACTCACTAGAATAAGATCAGTCATGTGTGTGATTGTCAGTTGATCTTGCTTGTATGCAAATTTATGTAAGTCCTTGTAATGCTTCAAGTGTGGCTGGAGACAGCTTGCTGCAGCAGTCAGTGCAGGCCTCCTTGCTTGTGGAAAAAACTTGCTTGTAAGGCACAGATGATGCTTAGGAGGAGAATATCCATTTCAACATAGTAAAGTAATGGAAAATACATGTGTCTTCACCTATGAAGTCAAAGTCTGTTCACAACTGAGGACATAATCTAATTAGTCTATTCATTGGATTGTGGGATGGCAAACACCCAAAAAATTGCTTTGCTTGAGGCCCATAAGTTGTAACTGCAATTGTATATCTGTTCATCTGTACACAAGAGACATACAGTAGCTCAAAAAAGTGTCCCAATGTTGGGTGAATTTGGAAAGAGTTGAGATTTATGAGAGAGCTAATAGGAATTAGTTCAAACTCCTGCAGGACCAAAAGTAGTACTAACTGTTGCCTTGACAACATGGGCTTTCTTATGTAATTCAGTTGACATGGCACCAAGATATGACCATTCTAAAATGACATGTCATTGGGACACTTTTTTGAGCATGATGTTGTCAGTCATTATTTAGTGAATAATGTAAAGATTTGACAACTTCTGAGGGATTTTGTGCTTCAACCCTGACTGATTATGTAATGTACATAGTCCTGAGCCATAAAAATGGCTTGGGTCCCACTCAGCTAACCCTACTTCACCATGAAATGCATTTTTGCCTCTACTAGAGCAAATATCCATCTTCTTTCTGAATCTGGCCTTTCTGCTCATCAAATCTCCTCTACAACTGGTCAGGGGAGCTCTACTGTGGCCAGGGTCATCAAAGAGTTCCAGCTAGATTAAGGAAAACCTCAAACTAGGACATCTTTACCAGCCTTCTTCTCCTGGCAAAGGAGAATAGTCTCTGACCTCTGGAAGAGCTGAAAATGCTGTCCAGGCTACCCATATAATGTGTGTGGCCCTTTCCTCTCCTGTCACTTCCCAAACTGTTTGCAGTGTGCTCAATTACTGCATCCCTGAAGGCTGTAGTCAAGCAGGAGAATTATCCTGCAAACACTTCCCTACCACTTGCCACACAAATTTCCTTCCATCTGGTCCAATACTATTGATCTTGGGCTCAACTGACCAGATGACCTCAATGCAGTCATCCACAGTCCAGTTTTGGTGCTTAAGAGTGAAGGCAAGTCACTGTTGTGTATGCTTGCAAGACAAGAGTGGCATCTCCTGTTTGACAATCACCTTCAGGGATGCAGAATTGAGCACACTGCAAGCAATTTGGGAAGTGACAGGAGAGGAAAGTGCCACACACATTATATGGGTAGCTTGGACAGCATTTTCAGCTCTTCCAGAGGTCATACTAGAGACTATTCTCCTCTGCCAGGAGAAGAAGGCTGGTAAGGATGTCCTAGTTCACATAGTGTAGTCACACTTAGTCACAACACATGGGCAGCCTGTGTGCCAAAACACCAACACTTATATGGACCCCAAGATGGGCCCACCTAAATAGATTAGCCAGTACACATGGACAGGCCTGAGGGACTAAAGTGAGAGCAACATATGTATGGGCCCATAAGTGCATTACTACAACATATGGGAGGGCCTGTGGTGGGTAAGGATGTTGAAACATTTAGATGGGCCCATGACCAATTAAGAATACTGAGCTGCAGTAAGACATGGATGGGCCCATCCTGGTAGGTTACACCCCTGTTGCAACATCAAGGTGGGCCTGCCTATCATAACATGGAGAGGGTCACAACATAAGGATGGGCCTGTCTATGATTAGAATACAAAGTTGGCAACATATGGACAGGCCCAGGAGGAATATCATTTATGGTGTTGCAAGATATAAACAGGCCCATTCATAATAAGCCATACCCCTGTCACAACATAAAGACAGGCCTGTCAGTAATGTCATTTCATAATGTCACAACATATGGATGGGCCTGTCAATAGTAAGATGTACTGCTGTTGAAACATAAAGACAGGCCCATCACTGTCACAACTGTGTCCAGACTACTCTAGACTGGCTCTACCCTGGTCTCAACCAGTCTCATCCAATCCTTGCCCCAGTCCCAGCCTTTACCCTTAGACCCAGAAATGTGTTAGCTTGTGAGGCACTGCAAGGCAGTGCCCAATCAAGTTGTCTGCTCAGTTGGTACCAGGCTGGTGTAACACCTGGCCCAGCCACAAGCCCTGCCCCAGTTCCTGGTAAATCATTTGTTCATAGTGTTGCTTGATAATATTCTTTGTAACATTACTTACCAATCAGTTTACCAATCATTGTTGTACTGGTGCAGACCGGTCTCTGGTGCTATGTTACACTTAGGTTACCTCTAGTATTTAAGCCATAGGGTAATCTGTTTTAGCCTCAGTCTGAAATCAGCTTAGTCTCATCTAACCTGGTATCTCTAATCTCTGACTTCTGCCTCTTGACCAGACTACAGCCCATGCAAGGGAATAGTGCTGCAACCTCAGTTGCTAAGTCCGACAGTCCAACCTCCTAGTTTCTAGACTACCCCCCCTGACCCCTGACTGGACTCCAGACAAGCCTTGGACTGGTGAAGACCTGGACTTAACAGTATTTCAGACTCACACTTGTGTGGGTCACTACCCTTCTGTCCAAGTCTCAGCAATACTTTCTCAGCATGCCTACCCAAACCAGAACTCAAGCAGCATGGGCATGTGCTACCACCAATCCAGATTCCACCTCAGCAGTTGACTTGTGCCATGCTGCTGCCCTGGTGTCCTTAGGGACAGCCAGAAGGTTGCCTGGTGAAGTCAACAACTTCAGGGGCTTCTCAGCCCACAAGTCTACCACTCCCACCCCTAATTGACCTCCCACACCCACTAACAATCTGGATGATGAACTGGACCTGGATGAACCAGATGACTTCAACCCCAGTGGTAATGACCCTGGTGATGATGGTCCTGGTGACAACAGGCCAGGAGATGACCTGGATAATGATGATGAAGAACCCATCCCAGAAGATGATGTTGAGCCTGGGGTAACTGTGCTGGACAACCTTGCCAAAGCCATTGAGCTTCTTGCATGCAATGCTCACACTGGCTCTGAGTCCTCTTCTAGAACCAAGTTGTGTGAACTGGACACCTTTGATGGGACAGACCCAAAGAAGCTGTGTGCATTTCTTATCCAGTGTGAACTCAACTTCTGGGACTGGCCCCAGGCCTTTTGAAGTGACCAAGCCAAAGTTGCTTTCATGCAGTCATTCCTGAAAGGGATGGCCCTCGAGTGGTTCGAACTGGACCTACTTGGGACTGAAGACCTGGAGGACTGACCCTATTGGATGGACTTGTGGAAGGAGTTCATTATAGAGCTCCAGACCACCTTTGGACCTCATGACCCAGTGGCTGATGCTGAAAGCCAGCTAGACCATCTTCAGATGAAAGACGATCACCAGGTCAACAAGTATGTGGTTGGATTCAACTGGCTTGCCTCACAAGTCCAGGGATACAGTGATGGTGCTCTGTGCCACTTCTTCTACACCAGTCTCCCTGACCATATCAAAGATGAGGTCTGCTGGGTTGGCAAACAAAGAACCCTGCATGAGCTTTGCCATCTAGCTCAGGAGATTGATGCACATTACTGGGAGTGCAAAGAGGAGATTCAGCAGTCCAGTAAGCACCAGGGGTCATCCTCTGGTAACAAGTCAACTCCCAACCCCAGTCATAGCACCCAGTCCAAGCCCAGTCAAGAGAAATCCAAGACTGGCAATAGTTCCAGATATGGCAACTGTGGTAGCCAGCTCTTGTCCAAACCCACCTCAACCAGTCAGACCAGCTCTAACATGCCCAAGCCAGACTCAAGCAAGTTGGGTAAAGATGGCAAGCTGACACTGGAGGAGCACAAGCATCACAGAGACAACAATCTTTGCATGTTCTGTGGAGGCACTGGACATTTTGCAGATAAGTGTCCCAAGAAAGCCAGGAAAGCCAAAGCTCACACTGCTGCCACCTCTGAGGCAGCACTGGCCTCAACCTTGGGCTCTGCCCCCAAGGCAAAAAAATAGGTAGCAGCTCTCAGGACTCCACACAAACTGAGAGCTACATTGACTCTGGCTGTGCACTCATGGAGGCTTGTCTCAATACATTCACTCTTTTCAATCCAAATTCATTGACTCCCCACATTTCTATTGTCAGTCACAATTTGCCCTGATTTTGTACTTTAGTGGACTCTGGTTCCACACATAGCTTCATAGATAAAGAATTTGTTAATCAACATTCATTTGCCCCTTACCCTGTGCCTCCTATCCAACTCTGGCTCTTTGATGGGTTGTCAAGTTTCATTATCACTTGAGCAGTAGATCTTTTGGTTCAATTTGTGACTGGTGATGTCACCCTGGTAACCCTGTTTCTAGTCCTGTTGGATACTGAATGTAAGATAGTCCTTGGACATGACTGGCTCACCCACTACAATCCATTGATTGATTGGGTACTGAGCAGTCTAACTTTCTGGACATCTACAGGAGGAATGCCAACCCTGTTGACACCCCCTGCCACACTGGTCTTAACCAGTCTTCCCAAACCTAGTCTACCTGACCAGCCCAACCCCAGCCCTGTGCCATCTGTACCATCTGTTGACTCACTGGTTTGCACCCCCCTGAAAGCTCCCCCTATCACCCTGATCAATGCAGCTGCATATGC